CCCCATTGCTATTTCTGCTGGAACATGTAATAATAATCATCCTTGCACTTGATATAGCGCTTTTCACGTCTTCTAGATGTCTCAAAGCGCTTCACAGAATAACTGTAAAGTGAATTGACTGTATATTTGTGGGCGAACGAGGCAGCCAATTGCGCACAGCAGTGTCCCACAAACAGTCATGGATTGAAAAATGACCAATTTATTATTTTGTTTTTGGAGGGATTATTATTAGGCGTGTGGAGTAAGATGTACTTGTATGGATGATAGTTGAGGACAGGTTTGGGCTTGGCTTTGACATCCTCCCTCCTCCCCCTTGGAGTGTGATATTGGAGTATGACATTCTGCCCTTTCTTTGTGTTGGCGTCCCTCCTAGATCACTTTGGCTGATGTGGCTACCATACAATTTCATATCACACGCCTCTAGTGCTATGTTTGACTAGAAACTTCCTTGTTTATTACCCTAAGGTTCATGAAATTGTTTTTCTGTATGGGGATCCAGCACCTATTTCTGTATGTAATATTGAACAAAATATTTTTTTCCTTCTCTTAACTTGCGGTTAGTATAATCGAAAGGGGAAGAAAATGGAGCAAACAGGAATAGAGTAATAACAAAAGTGGCTTCGGACACTCAGCAGGTCAGGCAGCATCTATGGAGAAAGGGAAGTGAGTCAACATTTCGGGTCCATGACCCTTCGTCGGAAACCGTTGCTCCGTTCTGGAGCAACCCTTTCTGACGAAGGGTTGTGGCTCGAAACGTTGACTCACTTTACTTTCTCCATAGATGCTGCCTGACCTGCTGAGTGTTCCCAGCGACTTCTGTTTTTGTTTCAGGTTTCCAGCATCTGCAGTATTTTGCGTTTTAGTCCTGTTTTATTCCTTTTGAATGTACAGCAATGTATCCTCCTTTGTTTTTTAAAGTCCTTTTTATTGCTGTTTTACCTGACCTGAGATGTGAGATATTTTATTTCTGATGAGTTGTTTCTTCTGCTGTGTAACTGTGACCAACCCTGCAGCCTGCTTCACTCCAATGAGCTTGGGATTGCTCTGTGGGTGGGGCATTTATTCAGATAAACCACATGATTGTAATATAAGACTGGGTAAATTATGCTGACTTGTGTATTTTATGTAGTCTTAAGAGTTATAGGAAAGATCTGCTGCAAATCATAACGTTACATTTTTTTCTTGGGTTATTCTGGGTTTTGTTTTCTAATTTACTGATTTGGGTGATGGAAATTTGTTACACCAACAACAACAAAATTGCATTTATAGAGCGCCTTTCTCGTCGGGAGGACGTCCCAAAGTGCTGGTTACAACAGCAACAACAGCGTTTCGCCCACTAAATACACAGTATAAAATATTCAATCCACTTTGCAATAGATTCTGTGAAGCGCTTTGAGACGTCTCAATGATGTGATAAGGCACTGTATCAAATGCAAGGATTATTATTATTATTATTTATGTATTATAACATACCAACAATTTGCCTTTCAAGTAGGAGGGAGGGTGTCTCGCAGCACTTTATCAACAAAGCATGGAACTCAAAATGGTAGGAGGAAGATGGCCAAGGGTAAAGTTGGAGAGGGTTTTTGGGTGGGTTTTGAAAACACAGGGATTGAGCGAGGAGCGAGGTGGAGGGGTGTTGAAGAGAGTGAGGGTAAATTGCCTGCGAGAGTGTAATAATGATAATAATAATCCTTGCATTTGATATAGCGCTTTTCACGTCTTCTAGACATCTCAAAGCGCTTCACAGGATATAGTGTGAATTGACTGTATTTGTGGGCAGATATGTAATATATATAATTCTATATAATTATATATTATACATTATATAATTCTATATACTATACACTATATAAGTAATATATAATATATGTGTAATGGACAGGGGTCATGAAGAAATGCTGTACATGTAATGTATACTTTATATATACTTGTAATTAAAAATCATATTTCTATAGTGGCTTTCACGTCAGCAGGATGTCCCTGCTGGACAGTCCAGTGTTGGCAGTTGAGCTGGAGGTGGGGCCTGGTGGGGAGGGGCAAGGATGGCTAAAGAGGAAGGTATTGTGGGGGACCTAGAAGGGGTGAGTTGAAGGGACTCCAAGATGGAATTCCAGAGTGTGTGGGGGAGATGTGCTGAAAGCCTTACTGTCAAGAATAGGGCAGGGGGTGTGAAGCAGGCCGGAGCCCACTGAGCAGAGGGAGTGATCGGTTGGTTGAGTTTGAGGAGATTACTGTGGTAGAATGGAGCAAGATCATGGAGAGAGATAAAGATTAGGATGGGGATCTTAAACTCAGAGTTCTGGAAAGGCTGGGTTTTGTGAAGAAATTAGATGGGTAGACCAGATGGGTCTGCAGAAGACTGCAGAATAGGGTGAGGTAATGCATTTAAAAGTAAGGACAAGGTTCTTGAAGGCAATCCACACTGGAATCAAGAGGGGATATGGTGATAAGCTTGCAAAGCCTGATATGATGGCTTTGGCTGCGTTTGGAGTAAAGTAGTTATGGAGGTGGACAATATAACAGAGTTGGAGGAAAACAAGGATTTTGCATATTTTTAGAACTGTATCATGTCTAAACTGCTTTGAAGGGTGGCCCGATTACTCTCAAATATACATTTTTTAATTATAAATATAGAAACTGACACCAGAAGCCACTCGCTTTTCTTTCAAGTCGTGCCATGATGTTCATAGATATCCAACCTTGCATAGAATTACATATAATGATACAGCATGGAAACAAACTATTTGGTTTAGCTGGTCTGTGCTGGTGTTTATACTCCACATCAACCTTCACCCCTCTCCTACATCTCTATCCCAAACCCCTCTGTTACCTTCCCCCTCGTGTATGCAAGTTTCTTCTGACCCATTACTTTAATGGTTACCACAAGTTCTTTTTTTTATTGCACTCGATTTCATAAATATCCATTTTTTTAATATAAAAAAGAATAATGGGAGTAATGCAATTTATTGCACACTATTTGTTGAAAACTGCAGACATCTTTGACATTTTTATCTGCAATAGACTTGGTGGTTAAATGTTAATGCTGAAGTATATGGCCTGAAACCAGTTGAGCGCTTGCAAAAAAGATTTTGTCAACCTGACCTCAGTTTGAGTTCCACCTGCCCTGCCCTCTCCTTCTATCAGTCTTCTCATTTTAACATATTGGTATACTTTTAAAGGCCTGGAGCAGTACATTCTTCCTTTGTTTTCCAGGTAACCTCAGCTGGTACAGTATTACTTAAACAATTGAGATGTGAAAAAAAGTGAAATGCTTTCTGAAAACAATCCGTTTGGGGTCACTGGATTGGTTTTGTGCCATAAACTTTTTAAAATAGAAAGCACACAAGACAGGGCCCTGTGTACATTAAAAAATATATATAATTTATGTACGGTACTCGACATTGTCAAAACTGAAGCTATCTGGCTAGGCTCCTGTCAGCTTGTCCTCACTTCAGCCGCTGACCGTATCAACCTCCCCAGTTGCTTCCTCCAACTCTCGGAACCTGTGTGGAAGCTCGGTCTTTGATTGACTCTAGGCTCTCCTTTAACCATTTGGCCTGGGCTCTGGCTACGTCTGCTTGCCTCCATCTCTGTAACATCACTGACTTTTGCCACTACCCCACATAACTGGAACCCATATCCACGCCTTTGTCACCTTTAGACTTGACTTTTCCAATGCCCACTTGCTGGCCTCCCCAGCTCCACCCCCTACAAGCTTCAGACCACTTGGATTTCTCCAGCCTGCATTCTTTCCTGCAATAGGCTCCTAGAGCCTCTCACCCCTATATTTCCCTGGTTCTTTAAGATCTTCCGTCTCCCTCCTATCTTAGATTCCCCCCTGAGACTTTGTAAAGCACTGTGAGACATTCCCCATATGTGAAAGGTGCTATGTAAATGCAAATTGTTGTTCTAGTACTCTAGTTCTTGTACTAATTTAGCAAATATTAGCAAATCTAGTCAGCTTTGTTTCATTCTGAGTTTAGCAACACAGTTAAACTGCTCCCTGGTTTTAAGATAACTGTCCAGACTGAATTCTCGAACATTCCAGGTTCAATCTCTGATCTGCGGTGAGTTGGCTGATGTCAGCTGGGAGGGCATCAGAACTCGTAAAATTGCCTGTGTCTCCATTAGTGATGATATCAGTGATGATACAATTAGCTCCTGTCCATCTGTGTTTGAATCTTCCCTTGATGTTCTCTATCCAGACTCCTACGAAGAATGACCCTTAGATCAGATACTAGAGGGAACCCAGTACCTTTGGAATTAACCATAAGCATGAGGTACTGCCTTCAGGAAGGGTTTGTGCGTGAGAGAGAGTGAGGGGGCAGGAAAGTTGATGGAAAAAAGAATGTTGCAGCATTTAAATGTCATATCTAATTGATTATGCACATTTATATTAAATTAAAGTAGTTTCAAATCTTGTAGGAATGTTTGAAGTTTAGATATTTAATAATAATCCTTGGATTTGAGATACAGCCTTTTCACATCTTCGAGGCGTCTCAAAGCACTTCACAGGATATCCTGGAAAGTGAATTGACTGTATATTTTGTGAGCGAAAATTGATGGTTACAGATATTGACTGAATGGAAATTGAGTGTACTATAATTCTTGCATAGTTATGTGATTTTTTTTGATGGTTTTGTTCTCAGAGCTGCTCCTCAGTGGCACTGGTGGATTAGCCATTTTAATGTATTGTGGGAAAGACAATGTTGAAATTATTTACTGCTTGGTGACATTGTGCTTCTCTGCAGGAACATCAAGGGAGGGGTTGGGAGAGGGAGAGAGAATGTCACGCTTGCTGTAAACCTGGTTACTGATTAATCTTGTTTGATAATCTTGTGTGGCTTGCTTTACAAATGTAATTTTGTTGTTATTTGTTGTAATTTAAATCGGTAGCACTGTCAAGATGGAATGCTGATTTGCAATGCTACAGTAGTTTGTTTTGAAATGCAGGTAATACAAAATGACATGTAACCAAACTTCTATGTTGTTCGCAGGTCTTCTGGTGGGTGCTTTAGATGCAGTACTTGATTCCAACGCCCGTGTTACTCCATTCCGAATTCTGCATCAGATGCCAGGATCACAAGTGTATTGGGTCATAGCTTGTGGTATGTTACAAAGGCTTGTATCGTGTTCACAGCGATTTGTTCATGTGAAGGATAATTATTCCACAGGAATTTGTTACAATTAAATAATAAATCAATATCCTTATTAAATAGGCAAAATATTACTACTGTGTGCTCTATTTACCAATGTGAATATCCTTTGTGCTCTATTTGAATATTGTAATGCTGTTTCTCATCCAAAATAGGTTTTAGGAAGAGTTAACCTGCGCTTTATTATGGTAGGGCTCGTGTTGATTATGGAAGGAGATTAAGTGGTCTGGAGAGCTACCGTTGGCTTAACATTTCAGTTAATGCATCAAACGGCAGATTCTATATGGTACAAAATAAATAAAATTTGCATTTTAGATAACCTGCTGGTGTTGGAGAGAATTGGATAGGAATAGGCTTGGATTTTAATTAATAATAATGGATTTTAATTAATAATAATGATGCAAAAAGATTGCAACAAGATATAGATAGGCTAGGGGAGTGGCAGATGGAATTCAATGTTAACAAGTGTGAAATTATTCACCTAGGTAGCAAGAATAAAAGAACAGATTATTTTCTGGAAGGGGAGAAGTTAGATAGTGTTAGTATTCAAAGGAATTTGGGTGTCCTTGTACACCAGTCCCAAAAAGTTAGTTTTCAGGTACAGCAAGCAACTAAGAAGGCGAACGGCATGTCAGCGTTCATTTCGAAAGGTTTAGAATATAAGAGTAGGGAAGTCTTGCTGCAACTGTATAGGGCTTTGGTGAGACCGCACCTAGAGTATTGTGCGCAGTTTTGGTCTCCTTATTTAAAAAAGGACATACTTGCCCTAGAGGGGGTGCAGCGTAGATTCACTCGGTTAGTTCCTGGGATGAGGGGACTGACCTATGAGGATAGGCTGAATAAACTAGGGCTGTATTCTCTAGAGTACAGAAGAATTAGGGGGATCTTATTGAAACTTATAAGATTCTTAAAGGGCTGGATAAAGTAGACACTGAGGGACTGTTTCCCCTGGTAGGAGAATCTATAACCAGGGGTCACAGTCTTAAAATTAAGGGTCAGCCTCTTAGAACAGAGTTGAGGCAACATTTCTTCACTCAGAGGGTAGTGAACTTATGGAATTCACTACCCCAGAAGGCTGTAGATGCTCAGTCCTTGAACATTTTCAAGGCTGAGACTGATAGATTCTTGAAAAATAGAGGGATTAGGGGATATGGGGATAGGGCAGGTAATCAGAGTTAGGTGAGAAGATCAGCCGAATGGCCTACTCCTGCTCCTAATTCTTATGTTCTTATGTTCTTATGTTACATTTGGTATTGTTGGGAGGATGTCTCAAAGCACTTCACAGCATATCATGTAAAGTGCACTGACTATGGGACGTCCTCTCGACGTGAAAGGAGCTCTATAAATTTTTTTTGAACAGTGCATGGGATCTTTAACGTTTACCTGAACAGGCAAATGGGACATCGGTTTAACCTTGCTTCCAAATCACAGACCTCCAACAATGCAGCATTGCATTGAAGCATCATCTTAAATTATATATTACTGTATATCATTTGAGTCCCAAATCCCGATGTAAGGCTTGAATCCAAAACCTACTGACTGAAAGGCGAGAGTGCTACCAACTCAGCCAGGGTTACTCACAATTAGTCTTTTTGCACGAAGTTTAGACAATTAGACACACAACAGAAATGTATGATCTCTATTTGAGTTCCCCTAATTCACGATTTTGCTTAAGAGACTAGATGGTAACAAAAATAGACCAGTTAAAGGAGATGGGGGAAATATACCAAATAATTATATTATGACAGTTTAGAGAAAATAATCAATTCTTAGTATTTAGAAATACAATGGTGACAAAGTAAGTAACACTTTTTTTAAAATCTTGCCCTGTTATTTATCTTGTAAAAATGTGGCTGCTCTAAATAGGCGAAGGACAGATTAAAGATCTGAAGTATTTTTTACGCATGAAGAAAAGCAGGTTTGTTACCATCTGGAGAAATTTTTCCCTCGGGGTAAGATTTCTAGAGATCTCCTCCTCCAAAGCCGGGCAAATCATGACTAGTTCTAGTTTGTTTCCTTTCAGAATTGATCTTGTTGCTGGTTTGGATACTCTTAAACATGGTGATGGGTTTCCGCATGTGTAAAACACTCAGCTGACCAAAAAAAGTTGTTAGTGGTCTCTGTTTTCTGTTTAATGTGTGTGTATATCATGTGATTTTTAATGCTCTCCATAATAATTCACTTACTAATGATGTACCTCTCCTTGCATGATGAAAATGGTTCAAGTTATTGACACTGCCTCTGATGTAAATAGCATACTCATGCTCGTGTTAACATTAATAAGCTGCTAAGAGAACCTAAAAGGACATTGACTAAGCAAAATAATGTGCTTTCAAAAACAATTCTGCTTCATACAGATTCACCCACTTAGGGGATTTTTGAAAGGATTTCAGAGATATTTGGAAAAGCTGAGAGTAAATTTGATCAATATGTGACATAGAAGACCACACAAGTTGTATAACTCTTTTTTTTGCGCTGAGCTTGGGCGTTTGTAGTTTCTGAAAGTCACACCTGCTATTCTCCATTCGCTAAGTTTCAGATCTTAGTTAGGCCATCTGGCTGTGGTACATGGAGGCGTGAATACTTTCCCACAGGTGGGTTAAATCGCGAAGGCTAGTTCCTGGGAATTGGTTGTTTTTTTTTTAAAAAGAGGTAAATCAGCCTATCTGGACCATTTCAATATAAGCAACTCTCAGATCTTAAAGCAAGGAGTCAGCCAAAAGGGTGAGAAGAATTCTTAAATAATTTAGGTGTTATCCCTTTGTAAATTGCTCACTGATCTTGGCAACACATTGTAAAAAAAAACAACTTTTTTTGTACATGTCCAAAATAAAAAGAGATTGCACAAGACACTGATTCTAGCAGTTTTATCTTGTACTGAATAGTAGAAACAGATGACATGGCCTGTGATTGAAGGGGGGTAAATTTAAAAACAAATCTGTGGAAACATTACTTCAGTGAGGGAGTAGTAAGTAAGTGGAGTCCTGTGGCTCAGTGGTTAGAGCGCTCGCATTGCAAGCGAGAGACCTGGGTTCGATTCCCGGCAGGGTGAAACCTTGGGCAAGTTTCCTTACTCCACACGCCTGATAATAATCCCTCAAAAAAAAAAAAAAAATTGGTCATTTCAATCCATGACTGTTTATGGGATACTGCTGTGCGCAATTAGCTACCGCATTTCGCCCACAAATATACAGTCAATTCACTTTACAGTTTATTCTGTGAAGAGCTTTGAGGCATCTGGAAGATGTGAAAAGTGCTATATCAAATGCAAGGATTATTATTATATGGAACAGGTTCCCTAGGGAGTCGGTAGAAGCAGAAAGTGATGATTCTTTCAAGAACGAATTAGATAGTTTTCTGTTAGGAAACAATATCTTGGGATGCAGTATATAGTGTGAGACATGACATGTGATGCGACTGCCAGGATGGTGGGGCAGAGAATTTTGTTTCTTGTTGACGTGTAATCCATCATCTAAATATTTTAGGGGGGAAAAATTCATTAAGCCAGAGGAAAACAAGGAATTTACCAGATGCTCTGCAATACTTTAATCTGCATTTACAGGTGCAATGCACACAAAAAACTCATTCAGGCCCTCCGATGGACCCTGTTAGATGGTCATTACAAGGGCAAGCAAGATATCCTGATGATGTGAACAATATTATATAAGTTGTAGAACGACAGACCTTGTCGAAACGTAATTTTAAGTGTATTGCAGTGTACAAATCTAATCTTGTGCTAATTTCCTGTTGCAATTTTATTTTAGAAAAGTGTCAAATGCATAGGCAGTGGGTGGCTAGGACTAGAGGGTTCAGACCTCTCCCCCACTATTTACAGCTCCCTCTCTTGCCCCTCTCCCAACTTATCAGTGGTGTTCACCGATCTCCGGTCTGGCAGGCTGTTCATCAGGGTGTCCTCACTTCTGATGGGTTGATGGACCTCTCAGTGAAGCCAATGGCTCACCTATCTTAGAGGAGACCAACCCTTTAACTGAGTATTACTCAGTTACCCGCCTGTGCCCTCAAAACAGCATATTTTCACCCACCCCCCTATGGTCAAATGCCATAACCTGGACTACATTTGTCTTCCTCTAAAGGTGCCACAGTGGAGGAGATCAGCCAACATTGGGAGTGGCTAGAACAGAATCTTCTGCACACCCTTTCTGTCTTTGATAATAAGGAAGATGTCACCAGCTTTGTTCATGGTAAAGTCAAGGTAAGTGAGATCTAATATATTGTTCATTAAGGTGAAAATATTTTGGCAGGCTGAAGCTCAGTGGTTAGATCAACTCGCCTTGCAAGCGAGAGACCTGGGTTCAGTTCCAGGTAGGGCGAAACCTTGAGCAAGTTTCCTTGCTCCACACACCTAATAATAATCCCTCCAAAACAAAAACCCATAATAAAGTGGTCACTTCAATCCACGACTGTTTGTGGGACACTGCTGTGCACAATTGGCTGCCGCATTTCGCCCACAAATATACGGTCAATTCACTTTTTCCAGCATATTCTGTGAAGCGCTTTGAGACATCTGGAAGCCCTGAAAAGCGCTATATTCAAATGCAAGGATTACTATTATTATATTCAATGTTTAATAGGAATCCAGAAAGTGAGTACCAAATGTGTACTTCAGTATTGTGTTGTGTTCATTACTGTAATTTTTATCTCCAAAACAGTCAAAAGTACTCTACAGTAATATACTGTGAAGCACTTTTGAAATGCATCAACAATATAAGGTGCTGTATCAAATTCTGTTATTTATTATTGTATAATATTTGGAAAAACTATTTTATCCAAAACCGAATGAACACGACTGCTGGGTAAGAGGAGGACAGTCAGAAGACCAATATGGTTTAGAGCCAGCGAGTGTGTACTTGGTCTGAGAGAACAGCGGAAGGCTTCATAGTAAGTTTTGTTCATACAGTATCAGGGTGAAACCTTGGGCAAGTTTCCTTACTCCACATGCTTGATAATAATCCCTCAAAAAAAAATTGGTCATTTCAAACCACGACTGTTTGTGGGACACTGCTGTGTGCAATTGGCTGCCGCATTTCGCCCACAAATATACAGTCAATTCATTTTACAGTTTGTTCTGTGAAGCGCTTTGAGATGTCTGGAAGATGTGTAAAGCACTATATCAAATGCAAGGATTATTATTATTAGATTATTATTATTCTACATTAGAAGAGTGCAAAACATGATAACATTCACAGGATCACGAGAGGCTGAGTGAAGAAAGCCATTCAATCTATTTGATGCCATCCTTCCAAAACACCATCCATCTTACCGTCCTATTATAGCATCAAGCTGTTTCTTGATTGAGTCCAGCATCTGGCCTTTCTTGGTAACCGGTTGTGAATTATCTTGTTGGTATCTGTCCTGAAATTGCTCTTTCCATCCTCGAACCTGTGCACTTGTTCTGCCTTGGCCTTTCTTAAAATATTATTCTGGGTTACTTTTTCAGTCCTACTTAGAATTTTCCAGCCCTGGTCCTCTCTGCGACATTCTCCTTGCAAGACTGAAGAGCTGTACCCTCTCTAATTAATTGGGTTTCCAGGGCTTTTGAGAGTGAAGCAATCAAACTTTTTTCATTTAATCTCTTTTGTAACTTCTGTATGCATATGTGGCCATAAGCTTCCCTCACCTTTGTACAAGTTCTGTATGTGTCAATGATGTGAGTGGACCACCCAGTTTTTGTTAAAGAAGGCATTTATAGTGCTTTATTTCTTCAAGTTTAGTTTTTATCAATAAAGTGGAAAAAATATAGGTTGTCAGTAAAATGTACTTTTCAAAAGCAGCAATCTACCCCCTGCAATTTTCTGCAAAATTTGTCAAATTTCCCCACAATTTGTAGCAAATATTTCCGCAATTTTCTCTTGGCCAGGAATATAAGGCAATGGCGTCAGGCAATAAGAGAAGAAAATGTGACTGTTTAGCTATTGGATATTGTCCAATGTATTTGTTTTGAATTAGAACTGTAGCATGAGGTTACTGTTGTCAGAAATGATGGCAAGTGTGGTCATTGGTGATGAAAGATACATTATCCACTATAAATATGCACATTATTTTCCATACATTTGGTTACATTTCATCTTAAACTAAAAGCAGATCATGATTTAAACCTGAAAATGCATGCACATGTTAAGCAGAGTAAGTTCCTCTCTCCGTTGCCCCACACTAGCAGTTTACACACCGATCGACAGTAAACAAAAAATCACATTGATATTATGCCTTTCACGTTTGGAGGACATCCCAAGGAACTAGACAGGTGGGGGGTTCCTGGGGGAATGGGGAAGGAAAGATGGCTGAAAGCACGGTGACAGAGAAAGATCTTAGCCAGGTTTCTTGTGCCTTATATCAGGACAGACAGGTGGAATTTTGACATATTTCACACCTGTTATTATTCGTCCTGCACCTGTAAATTTGAAAGCCCACATTAGCAACATTTGTAAACTTCTCCCAGACCTTAAGAATGCGGTTTTGATCCTCTCTGTACAACTTTCTGAAAACAAAATACTTGTGAATGTCATTTGATATGTTCCAAGGGTCAGAAAATGGCACGTCGCTTAAGGCTGGCAGAATCGCGCAGTTCTGATCATCACTGAAGCAGGTCCTGGTGCATGGTGTGTACGTTGTGTAGAGAATGATGCAGCCTGGCCCAGGAGCATTCATTGACATCTGAAATCGTCTCGCGGCGCTGGGTTGACCGTGCAGCAGCTTGCTCTCTGAACATTGCCTTCCATAGTTACTTTTGGTGGTAGAGGGGTAGACAGCGAGGTAGTTGCAATTGTTGTTGAATAGGAATTGGACCGAGCCAAATAAAGGGAGGCCATTATTATTGGGTATATAATTCAAGTTTCTATCTTGTCCAGTGAACTGGGTTGCACTTAACCAAATCAGGAAGGAGAATTGTCCACCACCCCGGTTGCTATTACCTGCAGCTGCTACATTGGTAAAGCTGGAATTAAAAAAAAAGCATTGCATGAATAAAGATGGGTTTGTAGGAGCATATGACTGTACAAATCAAGGTATCATAGGATCACTAAAATGTAAATATAAGGGCAGGATCACTGGAATATGATTTTTTTGGTCAACTATAGGTCTGACATATGCAGAGACAGATGAAAGTTTCCGTGTGACTGGATTAGAATGCTCATTCTTTCCCCCAGAGGGACAAACCCTGTTTACCTAATTCTGCAGAGTATTAGGCACAGGTTGATCAAGGCTTGTAAACTCTGGAGTGTACGTTGGGGGTAATGCTGGCATTAACCAGCAAATACTGTCGTCTGGAAAGCTTCCTGTTGCTTGTCCAGGAAGGACAACCCTACCCATTCGAGCTTTGGCTTGCAGGGTTAACAGGAGCTGAGTGGAAAGAATTCTTCTACCCATTAACCAGCCTGCCTCTTCAACTACTACCTATGAGCCATGCACACAGATACACACAGAGAGAGACACACAGACACTTACAGTCACAGAGATACTCACAAACACAGACATGGAGATGTGTGTGCACATAGGTACAGAGACATTTTCACACAAAACACACACAGGTACAGAGACAAGTGTGCGCACACAGATGCAGAGGCACACCACACAGATACAACAATAAATTACATTTGTATAGCTCCTTTCACTTCGAGAGGATGTGAAACACGCAGGCAAAGACACACAGATACAGAGACACACACACAGATACACACCGAAACAGACACACGTGCATACGGACACATTGAGATACAAACACACTCAGATACAGAGACGTGTACACAGATTTAGAGACATACATAGACAGACACAGAGATGCACTGTGCACACACATGCAGATAAATAGACATGCACACACAGATACAGAAACATACAGAGGCACATTCACTGATCCAATAACAAATTACATTTGTATAGTGCCTTTCATATTGTGAGGACATGAAACACACATGCAGAAACACACACACACACAGATGCAGACACACACGCACAGATGCAGAGACACACACATACACAGATGCAGAGACACACACACACACACAGATGCAGAGAGAGAGACACACACACAACAATAAAATTACATTTACAGAGCACCTTTCACGGCAGGAGGACGTCCCAAAGCGCTGAACAGTCAGGTGTTGGGGCCCGAGCATAGGGGAGGGGTGGTGTAGGGGTGAGGGAAGGCAGAGAGGTGGGAGGGAGACCAAAGGCACGGTCGAAGAGAAGGGTCTTGAGACCGGCCTTGAAGGAGGCAAGGGAGAAAGCGAGACGAAGGGACCGTGGGATGGAGACACACACACACACACAGATGCAGAGAGACACACACACACAGATGCACGCACACACACACACACAGATGCAGAGAGACACACACACACAGATGCACGCACACACACACGCACAGATGCAGAGATACGCACACACACACACGCACAGATGCAGAGACGCACACGGGTGCAGAGACATACACCCATCCAGACACATTGAGATACAGATACACTCAGATACAGAGACACTCAGATACATAGACAGGCACACAACTGCAGAGGCACACATAGACACAGATACAAAGACTGCACTCGCATACACATGCACAGATACTTTGTTGCTGGCTATATTATTGTTTTAAAATTATGATTTGTATGAATTTTTACATTGCCTATTTAAAGGTTGCATTGTAACTAAAAATATAGTGAAATAAAGTAATACAGTTAAACAATTTAAAAAGGATTTCTGATTCTTAGACGTTACGTTTCTGGAAGGGAAAGACAGAAATATTGCTTATGCAGTTAATTTTGTAACTCACGTGTTCACAATATGCGACAAAACTTCATTTGCTATTTCAACCCCTTCAGTGGTTTTTGGCCAGACTAGAACCAGCAAAAAAGAAATATTGTGCCTTCATTGTCTATTTGGTCAGAAAATCCTAGACAGTAGAGAGGAGAGATTATTACAAACAGCAAGATGCACACCTTAGAAGTACCCATCTGGGAATTAGAACTCAACATATCTTGGAAAACAGAATCCAGTGTTCCAAGTACAATTTGCTTCATATGTACACCATATCAGCATATTAAATGGTGCAAATCAGATTAATAATAATAATCCTTGCATTTGTTATAGCACTTAAGTATCGGGAATACATCCAAAAGTGCTTCACACATTATTCTGTAAAGTGCAGTGACTTTGTTTTGTGGTTAAATGGGGCAGTTAATTGCACATAGCAATATCCCACAAACAGCCATGGAATGAGTGACCAATTTGTTTTGTGGGGAATTGTTCGCCAGAATAGCAGGAGAAACTCCTTTCTCTTTTTAAATGGATCTTAAACGTCCACCTGAACAGGCAGATGGAGCCTTGGTTTAACGTCTCACCTGAAGGAGGATACCTCCAACAATGCAGTACTGCAGCAAATGATTTGGAGTGCCATCTTAGACTATATGAATTTGAAGCCCTGATATGGGGCTTGAACACACAACCTTCTGACTCGGAGGCAAGAGTGCTTCCACTGAGCCAGCCTCACGAATAGGCTGCTCCATTTCTGTACCAAACAGTCAAAGACCAAGGATAATGCAAGTACTCACAATGTAAACCCCTGCAGAAATGGAGGGATGGGTTTTCTTACCACAAGTGCGAAAACTATTTGAAGATTTTGACCAGTTGCTTCTGTGCTGTCTATGAAAGCATGTGGTGCATGTCAGTGGGAGTGAGTTTAATTTCTAGTCTCAGTGTGCCCTTGTCCTATGAGAAATTCTGAACTTTGGGTGGTTTCCAAGAGTGACATCTGTTTCCAGTTATTGACGTGTTCAGTAAAGGGATGGTTCTGATAACAGTGACAACAACAACATCAAATTACATATGTAGAGAGGCCTTTTACGTTGGGAAGACGTCCCGAAGGGCTAGACCTTATTTTTGGTACGCATACAGTAGCAGTTGTTTATCATGTGGTATGGCACTAATTGCTCTTTTGTCTTTGATCTCACCCAAACCCCGAAACACAGTACTTTTTAAGGGTTTATTGCTGTTATAATAATCATAATAATAATAATACTGCATTTGATATACTAACAATAATATAGCGTCTTATCGCATCTTTGAGATGTGTCAAAGCGCTTTACGGTATGTATTGCAAAGAAGAATGACTATTCTGTGGGTGAAATTATTTTATTATTTTATTTTTAAAATTATGTTTCAATAACTCACTGTAATATAGCGCCTTATTGCATCTTTGAGATGTGTCAAAGCTGAAATGCTGAAATGCTGTACACTGTCCAGCTCCTTGGGACGTCCTCCCGACGTGAAAGGCGCTATACAAATGTAATCTTTTTGTTGTTGTTGTTGTATAAATCAATACAATACAAAATTACATTTGTAAAGCGCCTTTCACCTCAGGAGGATGTCCCAAGGTAATGGTAAACCCCTGCAGAACCACAATCATTGTGGTGTTTCTGGTCATTACTCCTGCAGTCATTGATCTGAAACTGCAAAGTTTAGATTGTGTCCTTGTTTTGAATTCCACTGAATCACTTTTTGAAAGATCAGCAGTTTAGAAGATCACCAGACCTAGTTCGCTTATATGAACACCCTCCTCTGCTATGTTCCTATTGGAGCTGTTTATTGGCTGGTCCAGTATCTTGGCTTTGGTCTTTTAGATAGCTAAGGCCGTCAATTCTCCACTCTGCAGAGGGATGCTTTTTGAAGTCTGTCCTAGACGTGCCCTTCGCAGATCTAGGTCTGTATCCCCTTGTTCTGCTGCCTTGGGATATTTAAAAGCAAAGATTTACCTTTTTCACACTTGTTGAAAGCAGATGTCCATTAGATAGCTGATTAGGAAATTCTGAGGCTTGTGATAACAATTGCAATACCTCGAGGCTGCATTTGTCATACAGAAATGCATCTTTTTATTACAGTGGGTAAATTATAGTGTGTAGAGTTTGTGTTAATACAATACAGTTTATATTTATATAGAGCCTTTCACATCAGCATGGCATTCCAAAGCTCATTCACAGGACTGAATGGGCACTTAGGGTGCGGGAGCCGAGGGGGTGCGGAGGAGAAAGAGGGGAAGGTAGGAACCGGTCAGAGGGACTCCAGGAAGGAGTTCCAGAACAACAATAACAACAACAACAACAAGATTCCATTTATAAAGCGCCTTTCACGTCAGGAGGACGTCCCAAGGCGCTGCACAGTTGGGTCATGACCCGAGCAGGGGGGAAATGGTCAGGGTGAGGGAAGGGAGGGAGCGAGCATGGGGGAAATGGTCAGGGTAAGGGGAGGGAAGGGAGGGAGCGAGGAGGGGGAAGAGAGTCGAGAGGGGAGCTGAAGGCTCGGTCAAAGAGAAAGGTTTTGAGACCGGCCTTGAAGGAGGAAAGGGAGGAAGCAAGGCGAAGGCACTGGGGGATGGAGTTCCGGAAGTGGGGGAAGAATGGTTGTAAATCTTCCTGTCATTGGTGGGGTGGATACGATGAGGGACATGAAGCAGGCTGGTGCTTATTGAGTGAATGGAACAGCTGGGTCAGCAGGATTGAAGGAAGTCGCAGAAGTATGGTGATGCAAGGGTTTAAGCAAAAACAACAACAAATTACTTTTGAATAGCGCCTTTCACGTTAGGAGGCGCTGGACAGTCAGGGATCCGCACCTGAGCTGGTGGTTAGTATTAGTGGGGGGGGGGTAAGGAGGGTGACCGAAGGCACGGTCGAAGAGGAGGGATAATGCAAAAAGCTTGAATGTTAGTGGAATAAAAATGAAGTGTGATAACATGAACCATTTTTGTAAATGTACAATTGGCTATGTTGCAAAAGTCATCTATTAGAAAGTTGATTCTTTTCTGTCTTTCGCCAGGGACTTATAGCTGAAGAATCGAGGAGTAAATTAGCAGAGCAAGAGGAAGATCCGGAGAAATTTCGTGAGGCTTTGGTAAAATTTGAGAACAGATTTAATTTCCCAGATTCTGAAAAGTTGGTAACTTACTATTCGTGTTGCTGCTGGAAGGGGCGGGTTCCCCGACAAGGCTGGATATACCTCAGCATCAATCATCTCTGCTTCTATTCCTTTTTGCTGGGCAAGGAAGGTAAGATCAGTCAATGAGTGCAAATCTAAATGATAAGTCATTGGGACATGCATTTTGTGATCCAAATACAGTACAACTCCTATCCCATTTAAGTGTTGTTAATGCTTCTCTGAATAAGGGTAAAACCTCTATACACCATCACTTGTTGGAGGGGTTTGTAAAGTCGATGTTATCTGAAAATAATAATCCTTGCAATCCTTGAGGCATCTCAAATCGCTTCTCAGAATATACTGTAAAGTGGATTAACTGAATATTTTGTGGGCGAAACACAGCAGCCAATTGCACACAGCAGTGTCCCAACAAACAATCGTGGATTGAGTGACCAAATTATTATTTTTATTTTATTACTGAGAAAAGTGATCTGCCAATCGACTAACAATCGGGTTCCCATTTACTGCTAGGTAAACTGAGGCATATGGAGTGAGGAAACTTGCCTAATGTTTCGCCCTGCCTAGGAATCAAACCCAAGTCATCTCGTTTGTGAAACGAGTACTCTAACCAATATGTTACAGGACTCCATCTGAAGCACTGTTTCATCAGAAGTTCCACTAAATGAGTCTGATTTGTGACATTTGTGTTCGAATTCCTGTTCACAATCTCACAGAATCAGCCCATCCGCTCCCATTCCTTCAGAAAATCCACCCCACTGTCTCCCAGGATGACTGTGATCAAAATCCTATACCCTTTCATAACTGTAAGAGGGTTTCACAAAGGTTTCCGTTTAGTTTCAATATTTACATTTTGAAATCTATATTGGGGTGCAAATATAATGGTCTCCTGTTCCTCTCTGTCTTAGTTCATATAATTTACAATAGATCCTAGTATTCAGATTGTAAAGAAGTGGAAAATGCAATAATAGATTCAATCATTAAACAAAGAAAAGTCGAAGCTCTTTCTCATAGAACTGCTTTGCCTGAATGATACTCTCCCCTTTTCCTTCACTTGAAGATTCTGGATCAAGGGAATGAAGAAGCTCATTATCTTGGCATTTGGTCACTGCTATGTGTGGCTGACTTATAGTAAAAATCTCTTTACTGGATGCCAGGTGTTTAGCACTCTGAGATGCTACCCTGCGTGGATATATAAGTGCAAGTTGTTGTTAACGTTGTACGAACACTGCGTATCTCTTCACATCTTCTAGGCCTATGAGTCTTTAGCTGCTAGGAACTTTTGCTTCTCGAAACCTTCAAATTGGCAAATTAAAAGAAGGCAGAAAGTTTCTCTCTCACAGGCTGCGGACAAAACATGAAGTATCGAGGTGGATGTCATTAAGAGTTAACCTATCTGTGTCAGGCATGCTGCATCTTATTGCTTTACATGGCTTACTAAAATTAGTATTGGTATAGTAATAATATTACAGTAAATCTCCAGTATCCAGACTCTGCGTACTCGGAATTCATACCTAGTCGCACTGGGCCCGAAACTGAAGACATTTTAACAAAAACTTTCTGTGGGTATAATCCTGGGGACCCATTCCTCCCATCACATGCTCCCCCACCTCATCGTCCTTGCTGCCTTCAGTGGCCAAGGATATAGATTTTAATTTGGTTTGAAACCTATGAGCAGAAGATAGTTTATTTGGCATCTTCTTGGGGGAATCCTATAGCTCAGTGGTTAGAGCACTAACTTCACAAGCGAGATACCTGGGTTTGACTCCCGGCAGGGCAAGTTTCCTTACTCCGCACGCCTCTGTTTACCTAGCAGTAAGTAGGAACCTGGTTCTTAGTCGAATGGTGGATCGCTTTTCCAGGGGTAATAATTCCTTCAAAAAAATAATAAAAATAATAATAAATCGGTCACTTCAATCCACGACTGTTTGTGAGGCACTGTTGTGCGCAATTGACTGCCGCATTTTGCCCACAAAATATACAATTCACTTTACAGTATATTCTGAGAAGCGCTTTGAGACGTCTTGAAGAAGTGATAAGGCACTATATCAAATGCAAGGATTATTATTAGATTATTATTATATTTAAACAATTACAATGTGGGCATTAGCACATTTTGGCATTGGAAAAAACAGGTAAGTGCCATTGCCAACATTGTGATAACAGTTAGCCAGAAATTCCAGGCAAGACCCCCCTAACAATTCCAGCTCCCCTCCCCCCCCACCCCATGGTCTGGCTAGCTGGTGTTTTAGTGTATACAATATAGTAATGTATATTTGAAGTTGAAAGCTGAAGAATATTTTCTGAACAACAGATCGATAGCTTGGATTCATCCTAAATGAATATAGTTGATTATTAATTGAATGCGGGGAGTAAGCCTTCTATCTTTGATCGCAATCACAGATGTTGGCTGACATGCCTCAGGAGGGTGATCTGGAGCTGCCTGGTTGCTAAACCAATTGCTTTGATGCATTGCTAGACTGAGGTCTACTGTAGTTATGATTGGAAATTTTGAAGTGGGGAATTGAATTAGATTTCTGAGCTAGTTCTGTGCCTGTCTTTCTGCAGCAGGAAAAACATGGGAATGGGGTTGCATTAAGAATGTTTTTACTGGGATTACATGGCCTTTACAATATCTTTCAGCCATGTTTTCAGTGGGATCTAGGAGGGATTATCTGAGCTATTGAATTGTGTGTTGAAAATTTGCTTCGCTTTTGTACTGTAGCAATAGAATTCTTATTTCTTTCCTTGCAGTTTAGGTTCTAACTTATTTTCCCATTCTAACAACTTGTGCATTTATATTCAGTGTAAATCACTTACAACTGATGTGCAGTAATAATCCATATTAAGTAGTAGAAAGAATACATTTCAAGGATTGTTTTCTGGGCTTTTATCTTGAGCATTTAAAGTGGATTACAGTTTTTTTGTTTACGTTTGTGGAATCTTGGCTCAGTGATAACACTCTGAGTCAGAAGGTTGTGGGTTCAAATCTCAAGTCGGGACTTGAACTCGCATAGTCTATTACACTCCAATCAGCAATAAATAACAGTTGTAAATAAAGAAATACAGATGCTTGATATTCAAATGTTAAAAATGTATATATGAATGGGATAGCAATTGCCAGGTGGCAACCTTGTGCAGATGTGAGCTGGTCATAAGGCAGCACTCTCATTTTAATTGAATTTCATTAATTTGACCGAGAGAAAAGAGACTCCCTTGTCTCTCCAGGCTCCTCAACTCTGGTAAATATCTTGTCCTATAAATAAGCTATGGCTAAGGAGATGCTCTGAATGTAATATAATAATGGAAGTTCTCATAAAGCTGCATGAGAGAGAAACTGTAACACTAAAGGGAGATACTGATAGAAAACGGCATACTGATATGATTTACTTTACTGAGTCAGGCTTTCAATAAGATGTAAAACAGAGTATGCCTGCTGCGATAAACTGCAAGCCTCTCTTCTAATGTCCACATAAATATATTTACACAAGCTGTGACAAATTTATTTAGCATTAATTGTCAATCTGAAAAGAAATGGCAGAGAAGAATATAGATTGGGAAGGGAGTGCGGCTTAGGAGTCAAAAGGAATCCTGGTAAGAAGCCAAGCAATTTGTCACCCTCAACAATTTCTGGAGCATTTGCTGTAGTTAATGTGTGTTTGATGGTTTAAATTCCTGACTTTGTGAAAAGGGGAAAAAATGGCACTAATATCCTTCATTTTTGGCAAATATGATTACTAGAATTTACTTTATTTCAAAGGATGACATGGACCTAAAAGGGAAGAGAATTGAAGAACTTTTTTAAATGTATAACATTTGTAATATAAGTGGTAACTGAAATTCCTTTGCAAACAGATGTGCAGTGTGCAGAAATATTGCGGAGTAGTGTGATTTTAAAAGGTCTGTGATTTGAAGGGACCTCAGGTGCTGACGGCATCAAACTGCACGGATATGCACATTCCATCCCGAGGAGCCAGTGCAGACCTCGATGTCTCATTCAACTCTCAACTGTCGTTTATTCACATCCATGCTCTCTGACTTGTTCATCTTTCCTCCACCTCTGCAACATTGCCCACCTCTGCCACTGCCTCTCCACTCGGGCCACTGGGACCCTTATCCATCCTTTCATCATGTCCAGGGTATACTATGCCAACTCTCTGCCTGCTGACCATCCAGAACTCTGCAGCTCAAGTCCTCTCCCACAGTAGGCTCCGCAAGCCTATCCCCCATCCTCGCCCGGCTCCATTGGCTCCCATCTTCCAACATTCGAATTTAAAATCCTCATCCTCACTTTTAAATCCATTGTTTTGTCCTTTCCTACTTGTGCGATCTATGGTGATAAATGGGTATTTAAGATCCCCCATATGTTATACAGGATATCTTAGTGTGTTTAGGATATCTAGAGTATTTTGATATACTGTGTGCAATTTATAATTATTTATTACAATCTCCATGGCATTGAAACTCTGGAGGTGACCTCGGAATTGTCAAGTGATTTGATTTTCTTTCCATTTTTGATCTCCAGGATGGCGTGATTAAGATTTCAGTACAATATGAAAAACGTACCCTGGTCAAACCTTTTAATTGTGCTATTACAAATGTCAGTACAGTACTAGGATTGTTTTAATCAATCCTTCTTGTAACTTGGTTTCCTGATTGATGTACCCTCTATATATTCCAGTGAAACTTATCATCCCCTGGGCTGATGTGACAAAGCTAGAACGAACTCCGAATGCTCTTATCAAAGAAACTATTCGAGTGACTACGCGAAATAAAGAGCGGGATTTCTCCATGTTTCTCAACATAGAAGAGACATTCAGGTTGATGGAACAACTAGCAGATGTAACTATTCGTAGGTTGCTGGATAATGAAACATTTGAGTTAGATGCATCTCTACAGGAACCCGCTCAAATCACAAAAAAGTAAGAAACGGTTTTCTCGCAGTGAAAAATAGTGTTGAAAAAGTGCTTCAATTTCTCAGCAAAACAATCTGGTGTCTAATTTGGTAAATCCATTTAACGGTTGATGGGAGACTCACTGAGCCTACCTCTCTTAAGTGGGGATGAAGCACCCATTCCATTTGATCTATTCATTAATGAAGTATTGGCATTCAAAACATTCTGCAAACAAGCATAAGCTGGATGGTCAGAGTTTGTGTAGCTGATGTTGGGGGTTGATTGGCTCCTGATGCCTCGGTGCGAGTTTTTATAATGGGCAGTTGGTCACGATGAATTAGGAATGTTGGGCTATTTGGAGGAAATCTTGTTTCTTTGTTGTGGAAACTTTAAGGGCAAATTGAATGTAATGAAGAGGACATGATGTGTGTTTTCTGACCTTTTACCGTAAATTGCGACGCTTCCGTTTGCAGATACTGTGCTATTGGCAGGCTCATTTGAGGATTTTGTTGACTGCACACACCATCTTGATCACTGGCCACTCAGTAGGATATGTTGGTGGGTGTTATCAAGTTCTGCATTATAGCTTGAGATAGTACCTTGAAGATATCAATTGGAAAATACAAGATACAATGGTTCGAATTGGTGATTTGTGTGGTGTCTGAGGTTTATGATGGACACCAACACTAACCTTTCTACTCTAAGCAATACAAAGTAAGACATACACACATCAATCCCTGTTGAATTGCTGCTCAAGGTTTAATCCCCTTGGCTTCCAGGCCTCAAACAGCTGTTTAATTGGCTGCTCACATTCATATTCACTCTTTATCAAAACGTGCCCTGTGTGTGAGAGAGAGAGGTGCTTAGAAGTTGAGAGAAATGGGAGTGAGAGAGGGAGGAAAATGCGTAGCAAGTAGTAAGCCAGGGAGAGAGGGAAAAGTTGATATGAAAGGTGAGTAAGTGAGTGTTTGACAGAGGGGAGAAAGCTCACAAGTAAATGTGAGATAGGGCACAAGGGAAGGAAGTGAATGGAGAGATGAGCAAGACTGAGTGAGTATGAGAAATAAGAGGGGAAGAATGAGTGAATGATAGTATGATAGGTAAAGGAGAGATAGCCAGAAATGTCTTCCAATGAGAGGGAAGAGAGTCAGGGGAACGATTGTGAGTGTGAGAGGAGGTAAAAGAGCTATGAGACCGAAGCATGACTGCAATGCACATAGTTACAGTAAATTAACCAGAGAGATGGTGAGTGAATGTGAAAGAGGGAAGAATGAGGAAATAGAAATTGTTTGTGGAATAGTCGCAGAGAAAGACTGGTGAGGATGAGAGTCAGAGTGATACATGCAAAAACAGACACCGAAAGAACAAACCCCCAGGCAGATGGGATACACATAGGGGGATAGAGATGGGAAGTGATTAAGACTTGGAAACTTACCAGAGACAAAACTCATTTAAAAACATAAATTATACTTGGGCTTACTGCAAATAATTCAATACTAAGCCATCTTCCCTATTGCCCAAACTGAGATGAGTGACTTCACTACTCTTTGCCCAAATTAATATAGATCTGGGCAAATCTGCATTAGTGGGCTCCCTAAGCCATGTTGAATACAGTATATATATATATATATTGCCTAATGAAGTTTATGATAATGTTTTCTAGAGCCAGTCACTGTATAACTCTAGAACAGACCCAGTTTGGTACTGGCCTCGCTCTTCCTTTGGCAGCAGATAAGAGAATGCACAAGTCTCCTGGCCTGCAGCTAGATTAAGAATGTTCCTTTTTAATGATCCTTTTTATGTTGGACTAGCTGTACCCATTGCAGCTACGCTTGGAACCAAAGGATCCAATATGGAATCCAGATTTCAGTGATACCACTCCCAGACCATTTAACATGCCATAAACACTGTAATGATGTTTCAGATTATTATATAAAATTATATACATAGGGAGAGGGGCTAAATCCCAGCCCCAGATGAGGCCACAACTCGAATCCGAAGATTCACCCTCCCCACCTAGTCGCTGCTAGGTCGTGGTGTAGAAGAACCCGGAAACTCCGTGGCCTAACCGAGCGAATCGTCAACCACCTCCGGCCAAACTCCGACATGGCGCCGGGACGCCCAGGAGCAGCAGGAAAAGCTGCTGATTGGCTACTGTGAATGCCGCCATCTTGTTCCCACCGCTTGGCTTCATCTGAGTGCGTGTGTGCCACAGCGTCACTGGGAGTCGGCATGGCCACCAGGTGTAACTGCAGTGTACATGTAACTGCCATACATGTGTGATGCACTTGTTTAGGTCTTAGCTCATCAACGATAGGAGATCCCCCCCAAAAAAATATATATGCCCATGACACTCTCCCATGCAAGACCCTTACAGTGAGGTATACATCATGTCTCTACGTCAATCGGTTATTGTGATCTTGGCTGACACACAGACAGGTGGCTTTATTAGTATAGATTAATTTGCACTATGTGTTTTTGGTATACGTTTGACTGAATAGATTTTTTTTGCCAGCTGTCTGAAGATAACCTTGTATTCTGAAATCTATTAAGCAGTAATCTCTCAAATTATCATTGACCTCCAACTGAAGTTTTAAATAGTTCTTGGCTACCACCAAATTTTCTTTCTCTGTCGAAAAAAAAGGAATTTTAACATGGTTTGTGTACATAACGTAAATCTGTATTGGCTATTTCTGTGGCCTTGTTCTGTCTTTTGGTTCTGCCTAAAATATCACTGTTTCTGTCTGCTTTGCACTAGTAGTCTCTATATCTTAATTGTGAAATTTGTCCTGGGAATTGATTAACAACATTGCTGAGAATTTTAAGAGATGACTCATAAGAGAGTTCATAATTTGACTAAGATGTTTTCCTGGTAAGATGTCTCCCAATTGGAATTGGACTTAAAGAGTGTCCCCTAGGAAGCATGGATCAAAATTCAGTTATTGCAGGAAGACTGGATTTCCAATTCAAGAGTAGTACTGCCACATTCAAAACCTTTTCCGGGTTCATCCACAAACTAAAAAATCCGATCCAGTCAATTTTAATTGGCTTTCTTTTCTGTGTTCCAACATTTACTCATGGAGAGAATAAAGGCCAGTGATGATCAACAAAATACATTTTCTTGATTGACTGTTTCTTGTTTTGGGCATAAATCAATCAAGAAAAAACTGAAGATATGCTACCGATTGAACATGGACTTTCCTAGATTTGTGCGAATGTTTCATGGAGCCTTTATTGATATCCCTGTGACCACTTCCGGTCTGCTGGCCACAGATTGCCTACTGCTGATACAGATCATATTTTTTGTTACTTTGAGATTAAGTTTGCACCTTGACATACCCTGTTTATGGATGGTAATTTGTAGGGTGTGTATATGTATATAACACATTTTTTAGAAAAATCTTTATGATCAGATCTCGAAACCGTGTTGGTTTGTGTCAGTTAGCAATGATATGCAACCTCTCTTAATTGAGAGACTGGGGATCTAAAATACTGTCATAAGCTATAAAAAAAATTTCTTCTCATTGATTGAATGGTACCAATTGAACAAGGTTTTGTGTAATGCAACTTATTTTTTTGTTGTTGGAATGTGGTTTGAGATTTTTGGGGGACTCAACTTTATTTTGCTACTTGAATGTTAAAAAAGGTTACTGTATATTGATCCAGCAGAGTTGTTTTCAATAACAATTCATAATATTTACTATTCTGTTTCTAGTATTCATAAAAGTTATACTTTAAAATACTGTAGCTGTCATATCACCAATACATCACCAGGGCCAATATTTATTAAAGTCCAGGATACAAAGGGCCATATTGGACAATTTTCCAGCACTGAAATTTTGCAAATGTAAGCTTGCCTCTAACTATGTTCATCACTCTGTTGATAGAGATCTTGAAGACCGAGTGCAGAATGAATATTTCAGAGCCTGCTTCAGGCTGCCACGGGAGGAGAAGTTGAAACACATAGTGAATTGTTTCCTATGGACACCATATAGCCAATGCCATACTGCAGGGAAACTATACACTTCAGAAAGTTACATCTGCTTTGCCAGCAAAGAGGAAGGCACCTGTAATGTGATCATTCCACTCCAGGAGGTACTAAATCTGCATACCAGCACCAATGATGACATTGGAATGCAAATATTGTCATCTGTTTAAAAGTTTAATTTATATTAAATATGTTTATGTTTTGTATAAATACAGTTTCAAACATATGCCTTTATACTGCCCTTTGAATATTTGCTTAAACTTTATTTGCAATTGGAATCTCGCCATTAATGCTTTTCTTCTATCCTTCCTATCTGAAAGCTGACCCGCTTGTGTTTCTCAGTGACTGAACTGATCTGAATGCACTGACTATATAATCTACCATGTCAAGTTTTTGTCTTCCCCTCTCTATAAGCAGGCCAACCATAACTAAATTGAAAAGGACATTTTACAAGGATTATTATTTATTTTGCTTGGACTGCATTGCTGGATGATTTGCAGTACAAAGTTGTGAAAAGTGCCTCCCTTTTTATTGAAATCCTGCTTCAACTATAACCTATCTTTCAAATTTGTTTACACATTTAAGAACTCAGCTATGTATTCTTTGCCTGCCAAATGCTGCGATAGATTATTTAACATCTAAGAATATATGAGCTGGTATGAGTAAGAGTGCTTGTTTTGTATTCTGGGACATTAGTTTAAATTTTTGTGTTTTTCGATATTTGGTTCTGCTGATTTTTTTTGGACCAGTTGTGAGTTTTATTTGTTCATAGATATCCAAAGGACTTCAGTTAAAAACGTGACTTCTTAATCACCAAGTTAGAATCAGAGGCTTATTCTATCTGATTCTCTCCTTTAATAATGATAATCTTTGCATTTGATATAGTGCTTATCACTACCTCGAGATGTCTCAAAGCACTTCACAGAATATACTGGAAAGTGAATTTACTGTATATTTTGTGTGCGAAACGAGGCAGCCAATTGCGCACAGCAGTGCCCCACAAACAGTTGTGGATTGTGTGACCAAATTATTATTAGTCAAAAAAATGTTTTTGAAGGGATTATTACCCCCAGAAAAGCAATCCTCCAATCGACTAACAACCGGATTCCTACTTACTGCTCGGTCAACAGAGACATATGGAATAAGGAAACTTGGCTAATGTTTTGCCTTGCTTGCGAGGCGAGTGCTCTAACCAATACGTTACAGGACTCCTGTCCTGAAAAATGATGTTTTTGTATAGGTTAATTGTTTTTTAAACTTCTTCTTTGTTAGTAGATCCAAAGTGAAATTGTTCTTTTTAACTTGCATTATAGAGGAACGGGTTTACCTTTTGCAATAAATGGCTCTGTCATGAGTTTCCGTCTAATTGACAGGTGGTTACTGTGGAGAAGATGGAAGACACTAATCTCCTCCCAAATCCAATCATTGTTAGTATCAGAAGCAAGAGTGTCTTTCAGTTTACGGAAGTTCAAGATCGGGATAACCTACTGGAGCAACTAACCGAACAACTTAAATTTATAAAAAACAGTAAATCTCGTCTCCCTGAGAGATCAGGTGTCGGCGAAATGGTAAAGTTGAATTGTTGGCTACCTAATAGTTTCCTACATGAGTGAAGCCAAAATTGTCCTAAAGCCCAGTAAGCTAAACTAAAATCTGTGAGGAAGGGAGGGGGTGGGAATTAAGTAAGAATGTAATCTCTAGGTCATATTATCTCTGCCTAGGGATCTGTGTGGCAGTGTATAGTTTGGGATATGACATGTGCAGCTGACTGCCAGGATGGTGGTAGGCAAACTGGACAGGTCTTCTTTGTCTAGCAAATCCATATGTTCTTTTGTGTAAAAACATTAACCCGTTTAGTAGAAATCGCTTTGTTAATGCAGAACATCTGAATCCTTTTTGAATTTACTGCCTATGCAAAGTTCCTATCCATTGAAAACTTGAGTCGAAATTATTCATATTTTATTGCTCTGTAAAGCAAAAAATAAGGCGATTGATTTATCTCTTATCAACACTAGAAGGTTTAGAAACCTCTAGAAGGTTTCTAGAGCCTTGGGATACACATGCAAATGAAGACTGGAGAAAGTAGACCACTCAGTGAATGATCAATGAGGATGTGTCAGTTTATTCAAGCAAATGTTTTAAATTGATGCATATTTACTGAAAGAGAAACCAGGCTTACAACAGAGAGCTGTTCAAAAACACGATATGGCAAAAGACAGCATTTTAAAATAACACTCAGTGTTGTGACTTGAATGGAAATATTTGTAAGATTACATTATTAATAAAAGCTAATGTGTTTTAGGTTTCTTCAGATTCTTCAGAGTGTCATGAAGGGTCCTGTAAAAGTGGCACAAAGCTGGATTCTAAAGCAAATCACTCAAATACTGTAAAAGAAGAGAGTAGACATTTGTTGAATTCAAAAGGTTTAATTCAATTTCACCAGAAAAAAACTGGAAGTCCTGACTCTGGAATGGTAAGTACACAAGATTCCTGTTTGTTTAAACTGAGCATAAAATTTGTACTTGGGGAGCAAATAAATTTCTGGTGATTTTGAAAATTTCTTTGTGAATGCTGAAAAATATAAAAGGGTAATAATTCTCCCCTCCACCCCACACACCAATTTTCAATACCAGAGTCTTCAGCAAAGAAAACAAAATACTTGCATTTGATATAGCACTTTCACGTTGGGAGGACATCACAAAACACTTCACAGGATTTATTGTAAATTGGACTGACTATTTTGTAAGTGAAAACAGCAGCCAATTTACATACAGCAATGTCCCACAAAAAGCCTTGAAATTAATGATCAATTTTATCTGGAGATTTGTTGGTCAACATTTGATATAGTGCCTTATCACGTGCCATCGGTTTTGGAAAGAGGAAACTCAACTATCCAAAATCTAGGAATCTGGGTTGTGGGATGTCGTGGGATTAATTCTACTTTGTAGCCATGTAATGAATTCATTGAGGAGAGAGCTCGGCATTGTTCTGCTCACTTTGGTAGGCTTACCAAATCTTTTCCTGTGCACTAATAAATAATTGTACATGTAAAATTAAATACTCCATGATTGGTCTAAATGAAGGAATTTTGTTAATGAGCAGAATAATCTCTGAGAAACCTGAATGGCTCATTACAGACGATATCACAGCAGCACTGAGAGAAGCCTCAGACATAGTCACCAGTCAGCCTTTTAGTGAGAAATAGGGAGACTTTTTTTTAAAAGTCTTTGTTGCACAAATTATGGTGCTTTTATATCTTTAACATGTTCCATGTTCTTATGTATGCTAGGATCGACTTACACTGTTTTCAGAGGTTATCATAAAGCTGCATTTGAACAAGGCAACACAAGTGTTGTTTGCACTTCAGGATTAAAACACAGCTTTACAGTGTGTATGTGAGGAGATTATTAGGAAACTCGATGACTGAATTTTTAATGTTATGGAATATTTATCTGCAGGGAATGGAGGAAGTGAAAAAACGCTTATGGTACGATCATTTTGTGGAATATGGACGCACAGTCAGTATGTTTCGGACCGAGAAGATAAGAAAGCTTGTTGCAATGGGAATTCCAGGATCACTCCGGGGAGAGCTTTGGCTTCTGTTTTCAGGTGGGGATTCAGGGTATTGATATTTGTGCTCAGCTGAATTAGCATTGTCTGTATTGGAGATAATGTTCTGCTGAAATACCAGCTTCTCACCTGTTTGGGATCATTTGTATTCCTGTGAAGTGGTGAAGATTTAAGAATACAGCATTGCATGTTTTGGTCATTCCAAACTGGGAGAAAAATGCTGCACCCAATGGCCTAGTGAGTAAAGGCATTGCAGGCTGCCTATGACTGCAAGGTCAAGTTCAGTTTTTGGTCTTCAAAGAATTTGGTCTTCAAAGAATTTCAGTTGGGGCAGCAATTGGGCCAATACTATTCACTTTCATTTCGCACAGTTAGGAAGGGGAAGTTAGTAAGGGTTCCCACTCTTGGTCACAATCTAGAGACCCTAAGTGTAGGTAGGCAAGTGTAAATTTTGGGTGAGGATGGAATTGGGCTCAGCTGTGATTTTCATCCAGCCCCCACTATCCCAACCCAAGCTTCCCTCAATATTCTTCAGCAGCGTAGAAATCCTGTATCCCATGATCTTCTTGATTCATTGCGGTCTATATTCTTCATTATTGTTCTCAAGCAGATATTTAGCAAGTCTGGCAGCCAAATTACTGCAGAACAGTTGTCTGAACCTGGAGCCATTGTTCTGTGTGACCTAGTGCTACACTGAGGGGTGTGGTATCATTCTTATCTTCAACATTTATCATAGATTTAGTGAATGCGACAGCTGGAAATCATTATACTTAGCCTTGCTTGCAGTCAGAACTGAATGTAATCAGAAAGACGCAGCTGGTAGAATGTATTTCTTGTTAATCCATATAATAAGTTTAATTTATGGCAAATCCCTTTATACTGTGAAGCACAATTGCTCTATTTTATAAACATTTCTTTTTGTAATGTGTGAAAACAAACATCAATTTTGTACTTGTCTATTCCAATCAGTTCTGTATTCTCTGCATGAGTAAAATGTTAGCCTGACAGGCTTCGGTTTGCCTCTTATAACCAATGGGTAAACATTCAATCTGCAGATGCTGTGACTGATTTTGCTACTCATCCTGATTATTATGCTAATCTGGTGGACGAATCTATGGGCAGGTGTTGCATGGCAACTGAAGAGATTGAACGTGATCTGCATCGTTCTCTGCCTGATCAACCAGCATTTCAGAGTGACACTGGAATTGCACCGTTGAGGAGAGTCCTGACAGCGTACGCATTCAGAAACCCTAAAATAGGTTATTGCCAGGTACAGAACTGCTCCCCATCTTACTAATAACAAATTGTTACAAATTGGTTATTACAGGTTACAGTTTAATGATGAAAGAAAATTCTCGAGACTATCACAACAACATGTCATTGAATGAAGCAGCCATGACAAAAATATGTTTTTGCTGATTTATTTCCAAAACGCTTTCCGGAAAAAAATCTATAAATTAAAATTTCATCAAATTATTTTGCACCTCCAAATTTATAATGTTGAGGTACATGCCCCAAGACTGGTTAATAATCTAATAATAATTCCTTGCTCTTGATCATCATCTTAGAACTTTGAATCAAATTCATTTTTGCTTTTAAAAAAAAGTACTTGCTACTCATTTGTATATTTAAAAAGCTGTCGGATCAGCTGGTCAATTTATTGTCTGCTGTGTCTTTGTGTCTACGTGAGGTGAGTATAGATACACACATATCAAAGCAATATATTGATGCATGACAGAACCATAAAAAGAGAGGCTAAACATTCCACAGATGTGCTCATTGTACCTTGACTGCGAAGCCTAATTATTACTGATTATCAATCATCTTCATAAAATAATGCATATATAAAGCTGCTGAGAAATGCTTTAGGGTACATAAAAGCTATTCCACCTCAAGCTGCATGCTTAAGTAACCTCTTTTCATCTCTTGTTGCCGACAGTCCATGAATATTCTGACCTCAGTGTTATTACTGTATGCCAAGGAAGAAGATGCCTTCTGGCTACTAGTCGCTATCTGTGAGCGAATGCTCCCAGACTACTTCAATCGCAGAGTCATTGGTAAGATGTTCTGGAGCATTTGTCTCATTGCCTACACGTTGAAAAATAAGTCGGATTTGATTTGTTTAATACTTTCGAACTAGCATAGTCCTGAATTTGAAATTGCCATTGTTTTGGCTAAAGTTACTGCTTGACAAGGGAATTGGGAAGCTGAAATAATTTGCAGTGACACATAATTTTTTTCCCATCTTAAATGTGCTCCCACAGCATCCAAGACCTGTTTATATAAACAAATCATTGTTTTGCCTCAGTAAAATAGACAATGATTTAAAAGATCTCAGTGTACTCATTACAGCAGTGAAGAGAATGAGCAATAATAATAATTTGGTCCCTCAATCCACAACTGTTTATTGGACACTCCTGTGCACAATTGGCTGCTGTGTTTCGCCCACAAAATATACAGTCAATTCAGTATATTCTTACAGCATATTCCGTGAAGCTCTTTGACGTCTCAACAATGTGATAATGCACTATATCAAATACAGGGATTATTATTAAGGTGTTGAGCTATATTTGGTGGATAAGTGACTCTTCATCTGATGATATTTCTAGCTTATACAGGTACCAGGTACATAGTGCAGCTAATTTGGGGCAGCATCTAAGATGTGGAGGAGATCCAAACTTTTTGTACAATCTTTGAGGTTTATTTTTTATTTAAATTCTCTTCTGTGAAGATACAGAGTTTTACAAAACCTTTCTAAGAGTCAGCCGCCCATTGGTTTACTTGTGATATTGCCCAACATTAGGATTGTTCATTTGTGGGCTTTACAAACTTGCTTCTCGTGCAATCCGACAATTTTCCCCACAAAATGTACAGTTAATCCATTGTACAATATATTCTGTGAAGTGCTTGGATACATCTCAACGACATGATAAGGTGCTATATCAAATGCAAGGATCATTATTATTCTATTATTATATAGACAAAACTGTAATGTTAAATGGTTATAATGGTGACCTGGTGCCTCCAGGAAGTAGAACCACAGGTCTCTGAATTCTAACATGATGTGTTCTTGAGTCATTGTGCAGTCTAATACTCCAAGCTTTACTCCCCATTCACCGAGCAGCATTGATAAATAATAATCCTTATATGTAATGTAGCACCTTATCATGCCTTGAGATGCCTCAAAGCAATTATAGGATTTTATTGTGAAGTGTTGTGACTGTATGTAGGTGAATGTGGCAGCCAATTTGCACAAAGATATCTTCCACGAAGAGAGGAAATGGTTTTATTTGGGGGCTTATTAGCCACGGTTCCGGGAGAAACTCCTTTTTCAAATAATGCTTTGGGATCCTGAAAAGGCGGACGGGACTCGGTTTAACATCTCATCCAAAGAACTGCCCCTCTGACAATGTAGCTCACCCCTAACATTAATTGGAGTGTGAGTTTGAAGTCCTGTTGATCACAGCTGTTGGCAAATCAGACACTGTCTATTCCTCATCTTATTGTAATTGGTGGTGGTTAGCTGTTCTCTGTTATACAGAGAAGCTGATGATAGATAGTTTGCTATCAAGATGGATCATGATGATCTGCTCTCCTAATATAATTAACTGAATGAATGACTGATATTGATTTCATCAACTCTCATATAAAGAACTGGATAGGAATGTGAGAAGTTTATAGAAACAACATGGGGAAAGAACTGGAAAATGTAATTAATAAAGAGTGATTTTTTAACAAGATATAAAGAGGTAGCAATGACACAGACACACTGAGCTAAATGGCTGCTGAACGTTCGATTTTTCTATGTAAATGTAGGAAACTGTAGACTCTTGAGCTCGTCCTGTTTTGTTACATTAGTTTTTTGAATCTAGATAACCTAGTGCTCCTTCCTTTTTGTAAAGGTGCTATATAAATGTAACTTTGTTGTTGTTTTCAGCTTGTTAGTTGTAGCTTCCTATTGTGTAATTTACCTTACCTATTCCATGCTTTCCAGGTGCTCAGGTAGACCAAGCTGTGTTTGAAGAACTTATAAAAGAGCACTTACCAGAGCTGGCTGAACACGTGACAGACCTATCTTGCTTAGCATCCATTTCCCTCTCTTGGTTCCTGACCCTGTTCCTTAATATCATGCCCCTTCAGAGTGCATTGAATATTGTTGACTGTTTCTTTTATGATGGAATAAAGATCATCTTCCAGGTGGGCCTGGCTATAATAGATGCCAACACTGAGGAGCTATGTAACTGCACAGATGATGGACAAGCTTTGATAATCCTTAGCAGGTGTAGTGTGTTTGCTCTTCATAGAATCTAATGGAGATTATTTTTAATTTTAAAAATTAAAAATTGTGCACCACAGGAGCATAAGTGAATTAAAAAATAACTCTGGTCTCTTGCAGGTTTCTTGACAATATCACAAACAAAGAGAGCCCTTCATTGTCACAAATTGCTCAACAACATGTCATTAGCGATGACAAGGAACTTGTTCCACAAGTGGATATATCTGATCTCATTAGAGATTCCTATGAGGTGAACTGACTAGTTTATGTTTCTTATTCTGTAATAAATAAAGAACATATGAAAGATTTAAGGTATAAAAATGCAACATTTTTGGTTTGAAAATGTTCACAAGTCATTGCAATGCGTTTTACTAAGAATATTCCCCAACTATAGATTTCTCCATTTTAATGATTATACTGTTAACACAGTGAGAGTTATTCATTGACAGAAAAACATATTCAGAGTTAATTATGTATCTAACATGAAGCTTATCTGCACGTTCATTTGTAGTGTATAATTGTTATTCATCAGTATAAATAATAGTTGTACCTTTATATAGTGTATATCACATCAGGACGGAGGTGACTGAGAGCCTGAGCTGTGGAGGGGGGTGGGAATGGGAAAGGTGACCAAAAGCTGATTAAACAGAAAGATCATAAGGTGGGCTTTAAAGGTGGGGAGGAGGGGTGAGGTTTGGAACTCCAGGGTGGAATTCCAGAGAGCGGGGGCAGAATGACTGATAGTGGGACATCCAGACAATTTGAAGCAGGTGACAACAACAATAAATTATACTTGTATAACACTCTTCACGTTGGAATGACATTCCAGGACACTGGACAGTCAGGGGTTTTTGGACATGAGCTGGGAATTGGGGTCAGGAGGGGTGGACGGTAAAGTAGGGGTGGTGGGAGGGTGGCTGAAGGCAGTCGAAGGGGAAGGTCTTTAGACGGGACTTGAAGGAGGCAAAAGAGGGGGTGAGGTAGCTATTCACTGAGGCGAGGGAGCGGACGGGTGGTAGGGATGCAGGCGATTACAGGAGTAGGGTGGAGAGATTTGAACGAGAAGGATCTTGAATCCAGATGTTTCTGGAAAGTTTATTTATTTGTGTATAGACTCTAAAATGTTTAGACTGAAACGCTTTTCATGATGAATCATATGTTCAAGCAATTAAAGTTAAGATTGCTAATGCTCCATAATAATGGGCTCTGGCAGAATCACCTAATTTGAATGCGAGTTTGGATGGTCTTCAGGCTGCCAATATTTACTAGCACTCTTGTGGTATAAGTTGAGCTTGACAGTGTGAAGTTGAAAGCATAAATTCAGATTGCAGCATTTCTGTCAGTACTTCCTTGTTAAACATTCTCACAGTTACAGTGATTAGGTTTTTGTGGCAGAATTTAGCTTCCAACAGCAGTGAAGTACATCTATGATGACATGTAATTAATAGCTACCATTGGTATTGGGGCCAATGTAGTGGGACATTCAATATGTATCACATTACACATCCTAAAGCCATATTCCCCGCCACAGTTCTCAAAGGTGATCACTGAGAAACCAGTCTGAGACACTGGACTTCTGGTTCAGTTTGGTTATTTGCTGGTCTGGGATGGATTTCATAAGGCTTTGTTAGGTTTTCCTTCCCCCACCACCGCCACCACAACTGTGGCCCACCTCACATCCCCCCACCCTCCGCCCTGCTAACCTGTAATCTCCAGTCCAGTTTCTGTTTTGCTAAAACTTTGGCACTCAAGGACAGTTTATTACCTGAATTTGCAACAATAGCACACTTCTTTCAAACATTTACCGGTTATGTGTTAGGCTCACATTTCCAAATGTGGCAGTTGCGTTTTCGGCTACCAGTAACAGCCTCTGAAGTTGAACCCTGGTTCTCAAAGATGAGTCTCATAAAAATTCACTCAGATCTGCAATGATCCAGGATAGATTGAAGGAACTCACAATCCTGTCTATTCAGCACGATTTGACACTTACACTAAGTTTGATCGTATCACATGTTTGCAACTATGAAGCCAGGGGAAGAAAGTATTTTAAAAAGGTATTGTTGCCATATTTTGCGTGCATAGTTTAAACGGCCCCATATAGTTCAAAAGATCCCTTCATCTGGCCCTTCATATTGGAGTATTCCATTTAATTTACAATAGTTTTAAACTAATAGAAATTAAAACATTGTGTGATGTGATGGCAAGTGCATGTTCCTTTTTGGATTGTCTGCTTTTGCTTCATATCCAGAAATTTGGACACCTTCACGCAGGACAGATTGAGCAAATGCGGTGTAGACACCGAATACAAGTGTTACAGGGCTTAGAAGATACGACTAAACAAAATGTGGTAAGTTTTATACTCTTATTTTTAAAGGTTTCCTCTTCTAATGGTCGATTGCAGCAATTTAAACCATCTTATGGGTTCAATTTAACTATATCCCTTAGAGTCTTAAAAACATCAATAATATTGCATAGAATTACATAGAATATACTGCACAGAAACAAGCCATTTGGCCCAACTGGTCTATGCCAGTGTTTATGCTCCACATGAGCCTCCTCCTGTCCTTCCTCAACTAAGCCTATCAGCATAAACTTCTATTCCTTTCTCCGTCATGTACTTATCTAGCTTCCCCTTAACTGCATCTATGCTATTCACCTCAGCAACTCTTTGTTGTAGCAAGTTCCACATTCCCACCACTCTCTGGGTAAAGAAGTTTCTTCTGACTTCCCTATTTGATTTATTGGTAACTATTTTATATTGATGGCCCCTGGTTCCACAGGCGGAAACATCTTCCCTATGTCTACCCTATCAAAACTTTTCATAATTTTAAAGACCTCTATCTGGTCACCCTTCACCCTTCTCTTTTCAAGAGAAAAGAGTTCAAGCTTGTTCAGCCTTTCCTGATAGGTATAACCTCGTGGTTCCGGGATCATCTTTGTAAATCTCCTTTGCACCTTCTCCAGTGGCTCTATATCCTTTCTATCATATGGGGACCAGAACTGCACACAGTACTCCCAAGTGTGATCTAACCAAGATTCGATATAAGTTCATCATAACTTCCCTGCTTTTCATTTCTTTACCTTGAGAAATGAACCCCAATGCTTGGTTTGCTTTTTTTGTGGCCTTATTAACCCTCGTCGCTACTTTTAGTGAATTGTGTATGTGTACCCCTAGGTTCCTTTGCTCATCTACCCCATTTAGATTCTTATTTTCCAGCCAGTATGTGACCACTTTATTCCACCTATCAAAATGTACCACCTAATACTTTTCTATATTAAAATTCATTTGTCAATTAAATGCCCATTCAGCAAGTTTATTAATGTCTTGCTGTAATTTGTTGCAGTCCTCCTAACTACACCCCCAATTTGGTGGGTGTTGTCTGCAAATTTTTAAATTGTACTTTTGATTTGCGAGTCCAAATCATTAATGTAAATGTGAACCACAGTGATCCCAATACCGATCCTTGTGGAATACCACTTCCCACCCTCTGCCAGTCTGAGTAGCTACTCTTTACCCCTACTCGCTGTTTTCTGTCTTGTAGCCAGCTTGCTATCCATTCTGCTACTTTTCCCCTGACTCCACATGCTCTGACCTTATTCATTAGTCTATTAATGAATCTTAAGCTATTCTCTAGAGAAAGTCAATTGGTTCTTTAAATAATAGTCTCTAAAATATTCTTTTGTGGTTGTTGGAATAAGGAAAATAGTCAGAAGCTGTGGAAAATTTGGAAAGCATGATAGAATTAGCTAAAGCAAAAAGACTAAAGGAAGCAGAAGTGTTAAATGGGATTGAAGTTTTATAAGCTTTGTCAAATAATTGGATTCTTTTTCACCTCATTATTGTTAGCTTGTATTCTTTCTTATCTGATGGAAGATTAAGGGTTTGATTTTTGTTGTTGTTTGGGCAGCTTAGAGTTGTGGCACCAGATGTTTCGTTCAACACTGAAGACCTTGGAGAACTTTACGATCTATTTAAGGCAAGTTTATATAATTTTTTTTTTAAATCCTTTCATTTGTTTCAAAGGACCATAAAATTAATCCATGTTGTATCTTCAGCTCTGCAATAGTATTCTCTAATGTATTGGTGATGCGTGATAGAATACTATTGCAGTATTCTATCATGTATCACCCTGTGGTATTTGTAAGACCATTTTGGATAAATGTAACCTCTAGGCCATTTCTGTTTGCATATCCAGCAAATATCAAAGCAAAACCACAGCATGCCTCACATGGTGTGGTTGAGAAATACATTTTGAGTTGTTTTTCAGGGATTTTGAATTGCCAATTATGATAGAGTGAGTGATCCAATTTAACTAACAAATCAGCAAAATGACTTGTCCTTGCACTTCACACCCAGTAAACTGGTGCCAAAATGCCAGCAGCAGCTCGAAGGCATGCCAAGCTTCATATTCATCAGTACAACATAAGAGCATAAGAATTTGCTTGGGGAACGAAGATCATCCTTCCACCTTCCTGTTAGTTGCATGACATGTGTCCCAAACTATATATTGTATCCTGAGATATTATTTCTTAACAGAATTTAATTTGTTCTTGAAAGAATCAACACTTTCTGCTTCCCCTATCTCCCTAAGGAGCCTGTTCCATACGTTTACTACTCGCTCACTGAACTAGTGTTTCTGCAGATTTATTCTAAATTTATCCCCCTTCAATCGCAGGCTGTGTCCTCTGGTTCAGTACAACACCATATAGAATAAACATATCTCCACCTTGATGTGAAAGATTGCTTAATAATGCCAGCAATATGATTGATGCTAACATGTGCTACTCTGTAAAAAATGTTACCTCCTGTCTCAACACAATCACTAATGCTTCGCTGAATTGTGTGTTGTTACAGTGGACATACAAACCTCTGTAGACACATCACTCAACAGTGACCATTCACTTCCCCTCCACTTTATTATTAGCCTGCAAAGGAAAGTTGGAACCCACAGGCGTAACTCACATAGTTTCGGCTGACACTCCAACGCAATGCTGGCGATGTGCTGCATTGCCAGAGGTGCCATCCTTCTAATGAGATGTTAAACCGAGGCCTCTTCTGTGCCTCTTCAGGTGGATGATAAAAGATCCCATGGCACAATTCGAAAAGAGTAGGGAGTTTCTCCTTCCCGGTGACCTGACCAACAATCCCCCTAATAAAATAGGTCTCTCACTCCATGGCTATTTGTGGGACATTGACTGCTGTGTTTGCCCATAAAATACACAGTCATTTCACTTCAGAGTATATCCTGTGAAGACTTTGGGATGTTCTCCTGATGTAAAAGGCACTATACCAAATGTAAACATTATTATAATAAAATTTTTCACAATTTGTGTCGCAACTTTCACAAGGTTGGAGATTTTGAAGTGCTGCACGAGGATAATGAGGAAACCTGAGCTGGGAGGAATTCAAAAGTGTTGATCAAAGCTTTTTTTATATATATAAAAAAGAGGATTATGAAGAGGGTGCAAAGCAAAAATATTTTGGAAGGGAACTCTTATAGTGGCTGAAGGATTTATCAGATGGTGCCAGCAGTAGACAAGTTGGAATAGGGGTGGACATGGGCAGGAGTAGAGGACTAATTGAAATTGTCTGAGGAAGGTTTATTAAGTGACTTTGCATTTTCTGTTTCACACAGATAGATGCGTTTTGCCCTGTTATGTTCATAATCTGTGAAGTATGAATACTACATATAAATGCATGGTTGTTGATGCATTTACATATACCAAAATGTACATGAATTTCAGAATAAAGGTTAATTATTGTGTACAATTTAATTTAGACTGTACAACATTACACAAACATCTTTCTCGCTCGCTTCCTCTCCCTTTCTTGCGTGGAAATGTATGATCACAGTACTTTTCAAGTTAATGTTTAATTTCTTTGTTTTAATTTAGCGAGAACATCTTTTAAGCTGTTATTTGGGTGAATATGGTACAACCGCTCTAAATCATGATCCCAGCCTCCCATATTTGGAACAATACAGAATAAATAGCTTTCAGTTCCATAGTCTCTTCTCTTTACTGAATCCCTGGATGTGGGGGACACATACTGATGTACTGGCACAGAGAACATTTCGAGTCTTGGATGAAAACTCAGACTCTCTCATTGACTTCAGAGAATTAGCGAGTGGCCTAGGTAACTACTTTTCTATCTCTTATACAAATCAAACTAATATGTGCGTGTGTTTGCTGTTGTACTTTCAGAAATAATTGGTCAATGCAAAACTGAAACGTAGATTACAATTGTTAACCCTTAACTTCCTGTAAAGTTTTTAAGTTCGGGGTTATTTTGTAGAATGCAACTTGTTTAAATGTATAGGGTTTATACATCCTCTTCGATCGTGCCTCCTCTTCGTTCGTGCCTTCAGTTGCACTCCCACCTCTCTGCTTTTCCTCACCCCTACCCCACCCTTCTCCCATGCTCGGGTCCTGACCCCTGACAATCCAGTGCCTTGGGACATCATCCCGATGTGAAAGGCGCTCTACAAATGTAATTTTGTTGTTGTTGTTTAAGGGTTGAAGGGGAAGCAGGGCGAGAGTATACCTGTTTAATAATTGGCATTTTTTGTTGTTGTAGATATAATGTACTACGGAGAATTCAATGAAAAACTCAAATTGTTGTACAGACTGCATGTTCCACCAGGTAAAATGTCCTACATTAATCTAGGCTGAGAAGCAAATGCTGGGTATTTTTCTTGGAAAAATGCTTGATATATGTTGTGTGTTTATTCATAAGACACCAATGTGAATACATTGGACAGTAACTCCAAAGGATTCTGGATCCAATGTTCTTTTATGTTCTATAAATGCTGTGACCAAATTTCGCATTCCACTAGTCAAAAAACATAGTTCATTTTTAAAACAACAGCAACAACAAATTGCATTTATATTGCACCTTTCACGTTGGGAGGACATCCCAAAGGTGTTGAAATTTAAATAAAATTTAAATCATCTTATTCTTTGTGGGTCCTTGTTGGTGCAGATTAACTGCTGTGTTTGCCTGGATAAGACACTGCTATTCAAAGTAGCTCATTTGTTGGGAGTCCCTTGAAATGTTACCGAATGAGACATTATATCATAATGAAAGTGTCATTTATTACTCATGATTTTTCTTCATTGCTGGTCAGAAATTTTTTTGTTTGAACTAATGAAAAGGATTTATTATTTGTTATCCTTTTTATTCCTCAATTACATAATTAAAGACATGTGTAATTGCCTCGCTATTTGTGCATTTATACGTATCACATAAACGTATGACTTGAATTTATTTCATGCCATTCATGTAGGGAAGAACATCCTCCTTTGCAGAAATTCACACTCTTTATTGCAATCATACTTTCAAACTATTTTTAAAAAATTTCTAATGGATCAAATGTTACTCTTTTCAACTCGCACCATGACAAAATGGGGAGCAGGCGAGGGGGATTATGGGTGAGACATACAGTTGACAAGATGGCCTATACGCCTGTGTCATTTTGTTTCTTCATCTAGCTTCATGGCAACTCTCAATCTGGTATGTGCCCACTTTTCACCTTTCACAAGACAGTGAGGGTTGGCAGGTTGGTTAGCTGGAGAGAACCGCATGGCTGAGCCTCATTCGAATGACTGTACACATACATTTTCTAATGAGCGAGGTCACTGAGTGGTGACTCTGTCCCCTCCTCTTCACCATCCAGGGTGATGCTGGATTGAGCTGAGAGTAAGTATTCGGCGTAGATCAGGGTTCAATGGTGGCCATGAATTTTGATTAAGGAGGAAATGCAGAGTGTTTCTTCAACACAATTGGATGTTGCTGTGAATCTTGGAAAGCTCTTTACAGGTTACTTTATTTATTTATATTGTTAGGATTTGTTTCTTTGTCCTTACAGTGCAATGTGTTTTATTAATAATGATTTAATGATGGGAGTGATGTTTGACTTTGGTCTTGCTATTTTGTTTCTGTAGCCTGCAGTGATGATGATAAAGACAACCTATCTCCCCTGAAGACTACCTTTATTGCGAATGCACAGAGCAGTTACTTCAGGAAGTCGAATGGCACGTACAAACCTTTTTGATGTATTCATCATGAGTAACTTTGCTTCCTAACTGAAATTTACTGCCAGAAAAGATCTACATTTGACAAAGCATCTATTGCCATAACTCTAAAACTATTTTAACAATTTACGTACTATTAGTATTGATTAGGTTTTCATATGACGTACCTGATTAGTAAACTTTGCTTTGTTAATATTTGGTTAGCACAGAAACTGCCCTGGTCAAGGTCACCAATGATATCCTGACCATCTGTGACCAGGGCTCCCTCTGTCTCCTTGTCCTCCTCGACCTATCGGCAGCATTCGATACGGTCGACCACGCTATCCTACTCCACCGCTTGTCCTCCCACCTCAACCTTCAAGGCACTGTCCTTGAATGGTTCAGGTCGTACCTTTCTCACCGTCTTCATTTCGTCTCGACGAATGGCTTCTCCTCCACCCCCCGCACTGTCTCATGTGGTGTCCCTCAGGGCTCTGTCCTTGGTCCCCTCCTCTTCACCCTCTACATGCTCCCCCTCGGTGACATCATCCGCAGACATGGAGTTAACTTCCACATGTATGCGGATGACACCCAACTCTACCTTTCCTCCTCTACTCTCAACTCCACGACCACCGATGTCCTGACAGCCTGCCTGTCCGACATCGAGTCCTGGACGAGAGACAACTTTCTTCAGCTCAACGTGCGAAAAACCGAGGCCCTCCTGATTGGCTCACGTCAGCGCCTCCGCACCTCAGGCGCTGACAGCATCAGCATCCAAGGCTGCACTCTCCACCTCGCAAAGCCAGTCAGGAACCTCGGCGTTTTGTTCGACCCTGAGCTGTCCTTTCTCCCTCACATCCGCACCACAACTGGCACCGCCTTCCATCACCTCCGGAACATCGCCAGACTACGGCATTACCTCACCCCTCACGCTGCTGAAACTCTGGTCCACGCCTTTGTCACCTCAAGGCTGGACTATGGGAACTCTCTCCTCGCCGGCCTTCCCGCCACCTCCCTCCACAAGCTGCAGGTCATTCAGAACTCTGCAGCTCGTGTACTGTCCCGCACCAGGCTTCGGGAACACATCACTCCCACCCTCGCTCGCCTCCACTGGCTCCCCATCCCCCAGAGGATTGATTTCAAGATCCTCATCCTCACCTACAAGGCCATTCACGGCCTTGCTCCCTCCTACCTCTCCGACCTACTATCCCCCTACCTACCTGCCCGTACCCTCCGTTCCTCTGGCTCCGGTCTGCTCCACGTCCCCCACCCCAACCGCCCTACCATCGGTGGTCGGGCCTTCAGCCTCTCAGCCCCCAGGCTCTGGAACTCCATCCCCCAGTGCCTTCGCCTTGCTTCCTCCCTTTCCTCCTTCAAGGCCGGTCTCAAAACCTTTCTCTTTGACCGAGCCTTCAGCTCCCCTCTCGACTCTCTTCCCCCTCCTCGCTCCCTCCCTTCCCTCCCCTCACCCTGACCATTTCCCCCCTGCTCGGGTCATGACCCAACTGTGCAGCGCCTTGGGACGTCCTCCTGACGTGAAAGGCGCTTTATAAATGGAATATTGTTGTTGTTGTTGTTGGTAAGCAAAGGAATATGAGCAGCAGAGTTTACACTGAACAATAATATTGAAGAGGCTTAGATTTGTTTTTGTGGCTGGGAAAGAAGAAAGCTAAAATCTGATAATGAGCACTGATGCGTTTGGGTCTCCAGCTTATATTTTAGTTTATAGTTTTTCAATCTCCTTATTTTACTGTATAGTGAAGTAACTAAATCTAATCTCAAGTATTTAAACCCTATCTCAACAATATTGAATTGCAATTTAATTTGATTTATTGTCTGTTGTAAATACCGAACAGGCCATTAGACTGTGGCCTGGTTGAGTGAATGTTTGTTTAAAAACAATAATAAATTGGTCATTTTCAATCTACGACTGTTTGTGGGACATTGCTGTGCGCAATTGGCTGCCCCGTTCGCCCACAAATATACAGACTGTATATACACAAATATATATACAAATATATACACAAATATACAGTCAATTCACTTTACAGTGAATTTACTGTGAAGCGCTTTGGGACGTCCTCCCGACGTGAAAAGCGCTATATCAAATGCAAGGATTATTATTATTAGAGCATGTGTCTTCTGTCACTGTCACCAATTTCTTGTGTTAAAAAGGTAGTCAGGTTGTTGCTAACTTCATGTCATGTGCATTGTGCACTATTTAATTTCAATTTAATTAATTGAACTTATTAATTGATTAATTTTCAGCATAGTTCCAACACATCCGCTGAGACATTGGACCTAGGCAACTGGGTGATAACAGGATTACCCTGTAGTAACCCCAAAACTAGCAGTGAATTTCAAACAACATTTACACTATGTAAAACTAAGAAAGACAGTTGATTTAAGCTGATTCTAATATGCAGAGATATTAATAATAATCCTTGCGTTTGATATAGTACCTTATGACATCTCAATGTTGTTGAAATGTCTCAAAGCGCTTCACAGAACATATTGTAAAATGGATTGACAGTATTTGCGGGTGAAATGCGGCAGCCAATTGTGCACAGCAGTGTCCCACAAACAGTCGTGGATTGAGTGACCATTTTTTTCATCTCTAAATATATCTTTGAAACCTGGACAGGTTGTGAGACACACCTTGTTGTATGATAGGTGATTCTTCCCCAATTTCTTCCCTCCATTGTCTCCATTTGAACCCTTCTTTTCTTTCTCCATTTCATCAATACTTATTTGGTTATTGCTTGTTTGAACTTTCCTGTTTTTCCCAAACTTCTAAATAGAGTACCTGCCTATGCATCTTCTTCCCCTCCCCTGCATCCTCATACGGTTGTTAAAACTAATCTGACTCTCTTTAATTCAATCTTCTTGAAAAATATGTTAACATCATACCTTTCTGATACAATGTAGTTTGGGACACAACATGTCAAGTGATTGCCAGGATAGTGGAAGGTGAACGAGATGGTCCTTGGTCTTCTTTCGCCTAGCAAATTCTTATATTCTTAATTCATATGCTTTTAATACCCAAGATTTGAATCTCTTAACCACTTATCTTACCTCTGTTACTTTTTTCTAACCTTGGTGTATTGCACTTGCATTTAGATAAATCTGTCACTGTGTATGTGGGTGCAGAGAGGGAATACAACATTATGACGTTGCCCTGCATTTATTTGTTTTAATTGAAATGCAGTGAAATGACTTTTGTGCTGATTTCTTACCTAGTTGTGGCTAACTAAAACATAAGTTTTATTTTCCAAACAAGATGAAGCAATTGATTACCAACACTATTTGAAAAAGATGCTCGAAGATCTGGTGAAGAGAAAAGAAAAGGAAACCACCAAAGATCTGCCACTGATGTGTCAGGTATAGTCGTGCTTTAAAAAAAATCTTCCCCCATTTCAAACTTGTTCAATTTGTGTAACTTTGTTAAGTGAGGTTAATTCCTGCTGCATATATACAGCTATCTAAACTATGAGAAATTGTGTAATTTACTTGAAATCTGGGAGAATTTTCCCAGTTCCTGAAGTTGATAAAAGACAATTTTGGATTCCAAATTTGGGAGTGGAGATAGAACCCTGTGAAAATCTCTGAATACAGTTTCAGGCCTCCTCAATCTTTCATTTCTTGTGTGCCGTTGTAGAGCAGTATGAATCTGTCAAGTATCAATTTTTTTTTAAATGTAAAATGCAATTTGTTCCTAATTTCATGATAATCGGTATTGTAATGGTATTCATTTTACACATGATTCTACCCTGAAATAGATTACTGTTCATTGTTGCGTAAATACCAATTGAAATGGATTATCACAAATATGAGACAGTGATCAGGGGATCTAAAAGAGAACAGGTTCACACAGAGGGTAGTGAGATTGAGGAACTTGTGGGTGGTTGAATCAGATAGAATAGATGCATTTAAGAGGAAGCTGAACCATCACAGGAAGGAGTAAGGAATGAGTAAAGGCTTGGGTGGAGTATAAACACCGGCACGGATTGGTTGGGCCGATTGGCCGGTTTCCATTCTTTGTCTTTATCTCTGGAGCTCTATTATTCAAGTTAATGTTGCCAACCTCCTCTTGTGACATTTAAGGCAACAAAACTGATTGGCTCGAACACAGATTGTTTCTCTCTGCCTATCTGATTCAGTTCATTGAACTTTTTGTTTTTTGTACTGGGAATGACCATCATGTTGACTGAATGCAAGGATCTTAAAGCGCCTTCTGACCAGTGGTCTCCATATACTTTGTCTTTACCAGCTTTTATCCTAGACACTCGCTCTTAAGAGGTTTTCTGTCGAGCTCTGGAATTCATCCAACAGATCAGTCGGTCCAAGTCACAAGGCCTAAAAATCTACCTCGTTTTAGCCTTTAAGACTGTTTTGTCTTAAAAATTAAGATTGCTTAGAATCATGGAAAATTCTTAAATTCACTCTTAATTTGGAAGCAGTCTTCTTAAGAACTGCAGAAAGCCAGCTACCAAATCGAGCCAATCGTACTTCACATGATGTTCAAGTTCTTGGAATCATTGTACAGTGGAACGGTAGTGAAAAACCTTTAGCTAGAAGCCAGCTGTAGTATCTTGCCGCTTAACCTGACTGATTGGTGAATAGGGTGGGAATACTTTGTTCAAAAGGGGATTTCTCTGCTGGATTCCAAATTTAAATTAACACAATTGAATAAAGTTGGCATTTCGCCCACAAATGATACAGTCAATTCACTTTACACTATATTCTGTGAAGCATTTTGAGATGTCTCGATGATGTGATAAGGCGCTATATCAAATGCAAGCATTATTATTATTAATGTAAAAATAGAAGTTGCGGGGAACATTCAGCAGGTCACGAAAGGTCATCGACCCTGAAACGTTAACTCACTTTCCTGTCTCCATAAATGCTGCCTGACCTGCTGAGTGTTCCCAGTGACTTCTGTTTTTATTTCAGATTTCCAGCATCTGCAATATTTTGCCTTTTGTTTATTATTATCGCCTCCCTTTTAACAGAGATTGAAAAATTAGTCACTGTACCTTTTGGAGGTTTAAAAATACATGCTCTAAAATCCCAGCTACATTTCATATGGAACCATTATTTTATCTGTTGAGACACAATGTCTCACACCACAAGATATATAATGCTTGTATACCACAAATTCCCGTATTTACAATTAATCAGGGATTTGCTGTTAATCCCATCGATATTAGCACTTCAAACGTTAGATGTTAATCAACATTGTAAAATTATGTTATTGCGCCTTTGTGCTTAAATAGCACCACCAGCAGGTGACTCGTGTAAACTGCTGCAGTTCCCCTGCCAATGAAATATTTGTTCAGTCTGTACAAGGAATGCAGCCCCCTATACCATCACTGCAGGAGCAAGCTGCGTTTTAAATGAGTCCAGTGTCCTGGTATTTACCACCTTTCCTGGCAACCTGCTCCAATGATAATTACCTTTTGAGTAATTAAAAGCTTCCTGGTATCTGTCCTGAAATTGCCCTTAAAACTAAACCTGTGTCCTTTTTATTGCCTTGGAGCATCCTCAAGTATTTATCTGGGTTTAATTTTTCAATCCCATTAAAATGTTATACATCTCATCTGAGGTCCCATCTGAGTCATCATGCTCTGCTCTGCTTCCAAAGGGCTGTGATCAAAACTGGTGATCAGAACTGTATGCAGCGCTCAAGGGTGCTATCCAGGCAGAGAAAGATATCTGGGGATCTAAACTCAACTGATTTAGCAATGTAGCTCAGCATCCTGTTTGCCTTGTTTATTGCTGCCTCACACTGTTTTGACACAGCCACTCTGTCCTGTTGAACACAATTCCTTGTAGTTTAGTTTACAAATGCAATTATTGATTACAAATGACATTTTTTTTGGTCGGATATTAAATGATACTTCATAACGTTTGACAAATACCTGATTCCTGAGCTGGGTGTTTAGTTTGTGATCGAATCAGTACAATATAATTTACAGTAGTAATAATAATCCTTGCATTTGATATAATTTATAGCACTCACCATTCTGCTGGAGGCTCATGAGGAATATAAACACAGAATATAAAGTTAGGCTGAATGTCTGGTTTTAGTGATATATTTCTGTGGTGCACTACAAATATCACAGCTAATGGATGCAGGTGGAATAATAATGTTGGCTGAATGAGCTGTAAACCACTTCTTAGATATGACATGGATCAGGCTGTACACTGCAAACAGCCTAGTTATTACAGCAAGTGGATGCAGGTGGAATAAACTTTTTCCACTCTCGGATGTATTTTTTTTAAAACAAACTAATTCTCCTTTTTCAGAAAGGAAGAATTGAGTCTATAATAATGATGTGGGTCTCAGGTAATCTGTGGAATCTGCTTTTCATCTATGAATGCAATTTCAGGCAAAGGATATATTGAAGAGTGTCAGCTTGGCTAAATTAGTAGCATTCGCCTCTGGGTCAGGTTATTCTCACAAATCGTGGTTTAGAACTTTGAGGACTGCACTGCAGAGGTGCCAACTGAGCATTTATACCAAAGATCCATCAGTTGTTCATTTGGATATTACAAATCTGATAGCAGTGATTTTAATAAAATTATCCTTGCATTTGATATAATAATAATAAGGTCATTGAGATGTTTAAAAGTGCTTCACAGGATATACTGTAAAGTGGGATGACTGTATTTTGGCAGCCAATTTGCACACTGCAATGTCCCACAAGCAGGCATGAAGTGAGGAACCAATTTTATTTTGGGCATTAGCCAGGATCTGGAATACACTGCCTGAAAAGGTGGTGGAAGCAGATTCAATAGTAGCTTTCAAAAGGGAAATAATTGCAAGACTATGTGGTAAGAGCAGGGGAGTAGGACCAGTTGGATAAATCTTTCAAACAGCCGGCGTGGGCACGACACCTGGAGAAACTTCCCTTCTCTTTAGGAATAATGCAACAGGATTTTTAACATCCACCCGGCTAGGCCGATGGAACCTCAATTTAATGTCTCAGCCAAAACACAGCTCTTCTGACAATTCAACCACCGCCACCATCTCATTGGAGTGTTAGCATAAACTGAGTTTCAAGTCACAAATGTGGGGCTTGAATCCACAACCATCTGTGTTAGAGGCTACTAACTGAACCAAGCTGACAGATTGCTTGAAAAGAGAAGCATCTCCTTGTCCTTCATGAACAGTTTTCAAGATAATTTGGTCCTTTACTTCAATGGCAATTTGAGATTGGCTGTTTTGATATAAGGACTACCAAATGTAAGCACTATTCATTGTACATTCTCAGTTAAGCTAATTTATTCTAAATCCAAATCTAATCTTCTGCAGAGAGAATTCATCCAGTTTTGCAAGACACTCTCCAATATGTTTCGAGAAGATCCAGATGAGAACGATCTTTACCAGGCCATAGCTACAGTCACCACTCTCCTGCTTCAGATTGGAGAAGTAGGACAAAGACTACGTAACTCAGCCAGAATATCTGGTGAACTTCCCAGCACTCCTTCAAGAGAATCCATAACACCCACCCATTCAGCAAGCAACGCTGTGTTTGGAAATACTCAGGATACCAAGCAGAATCTGTCACAGTACCAAGATGATGCCTGGAACGTGTCTTTTGAACAGATTTTGGCTTCCCTGCTGACTGAACAATGCCTGGTGAACTTTTTTGAGAAGGCCATAGATACAAAGAGCAAAATCCTACATGCTAAAGTAAATCCGTATCAACAAAGAACTAATCAAGCAATCCATTAGTTCTTCTGTATCTTTCTGAAGTTTCAATGCTGGTAATTGAAAACTTTTAAAATTTAAACAAGACTGCTTTGTGCTGTCTAAATGTGTCTTCTGAAAACGTTCATGTGCAATCAATTACTGTGAGGTTTACAATTGTATGTGTCCACTTTTGAATAAATTCACTTTTGTATACTTTGTCCACCACCAAATCTTTTTAGGAACAACAACTTGCATTTATATAGCGCCTTTCACACCAGATAGCATCCTGGAGCACTTAAGTCTGACCCTGAGCCAGGGGGAGAGGGAGGTGACCGCAAGCACGATCAAAAAAAGGTCTTCAGGTGGGATTTGAAAGTAAGGGAGGGAGCAAGGCGGAGGGATTGGGTGAAGAGCTTCGGAGCTTCAATAGTGACTGAAGGCATGGCTGCCGCTGGTGGAGTGGAGGGGCCGAGGAATGAACAGGAAGCTGGAGCTGGCCAAACAGAGGCAGTGGGTGGTGGAGTTGAGGGGGTGAGCAAGTTGGAAAGGTAGGGAGCTGCGAGGGGATGAAGGGATTTGAAAACAAGAGGATCTTGAAGTTGATCCGTTCGGAAATTGGGAGCCAGTGCAGCCTGGCAAGGACTGGTGTGATGGGGGTCCGGGATTTTGTGCGGGTTAATATCCAGGCGGCGGAGTTCTGAATTAATTGTATTTTACGTATGGTGGAACTCGGGAGGCCAGCGAGGAGGGCATTTGATAAATCCAGACGGGACATGACATAGGTGTGGTCGAGGGTTTCGGCTGCTGTGGGTGTGAGGTACAGACGGAGGTAAGCAAGTAAGATAATTTACTTGACAAGGTAAAAATCACTTTTAGCAGTTTATTTTAAAAGAATTTACATTTCAGTTTTCATCAACGTTGACCGTCTGCAAACCTGCAAAACAAGAGAAAAGATTTTAGACTTCAAACATTCGTGCTAGTATTGTTCCTTACCAGTTACCTAGTTAAAAAAGTAGAGTTTTAAGGTTGATATCAGTGAGGAAGAGGGAAAGAAAGGGAAACTGGTTTGTCAGTCAAGATACATCCATTTTAGTCAACTGCAAAACTGGATGCAGTGGACATTCAAATTTTAAACTTTAGAAAAACTTGAATTGTATTCAGAAGGCTGAGGAGAGATCTGATTGAGGTGTATAAAATTATGAAGAGATTTGATAAGTTGAAGGGTGAGCAACAAGCAATAAGGAAGCATGTTTTCCACAGCTGGTGTTTGGTGTGTGGAATTCACTCTTGATTTGACTCGACTGCACTGCCCTCTGGGGGAATTAAAAAAACAAATAGATATGCCAAAAGTGGTAGAAGAGGCTTGGTGGGCCGAACAGCCAACTCTTGTTCCTAATTCACAATATTAGGTTAGTTGTAACTCCAAGATTCAGTAGTTCAGTCTGTCCCATAAAAGCTTCAGATTAGATTGATCTTTGTCTGGTGCCCCTAGTCATTGGGTAAATCATTTAACTCAATGTTCCTTATTTATATGTAAAGACCATTATAGTCACTTTTTTTAACACTTATTTTGTATTGCACAGACGGAAATCAAATATAAATATATAAAAATCCTGGATCAATTGATTTACTTTGGAACATCTGCTTAACACACACACACACAGTGTGCTAGTATTGTTCCTTGCCAGTTACCTAGCTACACTGCTGATTCCTAGTAGGCTTTTGTACACATCCCCAGAACTGGCACTGCAGCCAGGATGATGAATTTGGGTTATAGAAATTAGAATTCAGGTGAAACTTTTTCACTACAGCGGAAGGTAATATGGTTTAAACCAGTTGCTACTATAAACCTACTACAATAATGAGGTTTTAATTTTTTAAAAATATACAACTTAACATTTATATAATGCCTTTCACGTGGGGTAGAGTCCCGGAACGCTTGTATTATATACACTATATAATAATTGATAATTATTGTATTATATACACTACAAAAATGGCTGCTGTGCCCCATGGGTTGCAGTTCCTGCATTTACTATCAAGACTGAGGCTCTCCTACTTATTCCCATCAGCATCTTCTCACCCCAGATGCCCTCACTTTCAGAGGACTCTGCCCTACAGTTTACAACTCCATTCCTTTGCCTTGCCCTCTCGCTGCCTCAAGCCTCAGATCCCCACACCACTTGGATTTAGAGACAGGACTGTATAACAAGCAGAGACAGTGAGGGGGGGGGGGGTGGTGATCGCTGGCACAGTCAATTCTCTGGTGGCTATTGAAGGTAAGATTGAGGCAGGAACTTCACGAGGGTGGCGGTATAGTAGCTGAATACTCTGCTGCCGGTAGTGGGATAGAAAATATGCAGCAGGCCAGATTTTGCTGACTGGAGAAGATGGCAGAGGTAGGCAGGTGTGTAGAGATTTGTAGGTGAGGGTAAGGAACTTGGTTAATCCGCTGAGAGCTGGAGAGCCAGATGAGGACATGCAAAGTTGCTTGCAGGAGGCAGAGGTGTGGATAAATTAAAGCTTGTGGATGCCAGAGTTGAGGAGGCCAGTGAGAAGGGCATGAACGAGGATTTCCACAGCTTTGGGAGTGACAGAGGCAGGTGATTGTCGAAGATGCAGAAAAGAGGAAGAAGTGTCAAAGGCAGCAAATTCGACAGTGTCAAAGGCAACAAAAGATCAAGGAGGAATTGTGATCCCTGGGAGCAGCTGCAAAATCAATTTCTTTCCAAACTCCCGCCTCACCTTTGTAGGATGTGACAGGAACATATGTTACCAAAGTGTATAGTTTGTTGGGAGAGTCTTCATCCTCATTGCGTTTTCTGGACAAGCGCACACGAATGCGGTATGGAACATTCCTAGAAGAATAAGGTTATATTTTCATTAAGTACTGGCATGTCAATTGGTTCTGTTAGTGCATTTAATCTAAGATTACAAATCAAGTAATTGATATGAATCTGGGCCAAGTGCCTATATGGCTATCAAGATTTCTGTTAGGCATTACAATCTATTTTAACTGGGATTCAACTGAGGAATCAAACACTGTACAATTCTGTGACTATATGACATACTGTTTACTTGGAGCAAGTGCACTATTGACTGTCTTAATTATTATCGATTATAATTAATTATTGACCTGCTCAATTTGACATTAAAGATTCCATGGCAAAAGTCAAAATTGGAAGAATTTATCTAAGTGTCTTGGCCAACAATCCCCCAAATAAAATTAGTCATTCACTGGATGGAAGTTTGTGCAACATATCTGTGCACAAACTGGCTGCTCCATTCAGCTACAAAATATAGTCACTCCACTTCTAGTGCACCCTGTGAAATGCTTTGAGATGTCCTGCTGATATGAAATGTAAGAATTATTATGATTATATTATTTAATATAAGCTTAACCAACACATAATTTTTATTTAGTATTGAGTAGTGATTTTTTGGAACAATCTTATCACTACTACAATACTAAATAAAACAACTACAACACATATTTGAATCGTCAAAGACATTGTTTAGCTGATGAACCCGAAAGAATACAGCTTTGTTTGGAATTAATCACATTATCAGGGAGTTAACATTTTAGACAAATATTTTAACATTAACCTCCTCCTTTGGTCTGGAAACAGGAAATGTCTTTATTTTGATTTAAAAATCTTCTGTGCATGATGGATCTCCTATAGTCAATATTTCTTTAATTGGATACAAAACAGGAAATCAATTTGAATTATTGGATTTTTATTACACAACCTCTATTGTAATGACAGTATGGTTCTGCTCAATGTATGTTGGGGATGGATTCCACTATGTCAAAAGAACAGGCAAACTAGCAAAAGTTCAAAGTATTTTCTCAGCACCTCCACAACCAACTAACTTTGCTTTCAACTAAAGCATGCATGCATCACTAGCTGTTCCAAGAAAGCCGCTTACTCGCTTTCTGAACTTACCTAACCAAAAATTCAAACAATCTCAAATTAAGAAGTTAGCTTTGGTTAAACATACGTACCTCACACCTTTAGCCCAAACAGCCTTGTTCAAACGAGTATCAATGCGGACATCCGGTGTACCCATCTCCTTCACAGCGAATTTACGGATTTCCTTGATGGCACGAGGAGCACGTTTCTTGAAACCTCTAAAAACAAACATGATAGAAATGTTACAGTTTCATGGTCACAATACGGAAAATACAATGTTCAACCTTAAAGTCTACCTTATAAACTGCAGGTCAGCCAACAGATATTTTTTGAAAAACACACTATCCTTCAAAACATTAATAGTGCAGTCAGATTTAAGCATACAATAGTAATATTTATGCTTGTTAAACATTGTTTCCCATAAATGTTTTATGGAAGTTGCCTGCTTTCTAAAAGTAAACACAATTTTTCGACAATCTTCCAACACTTGTACCCACATAACCAGCCCAAGAAGACAGGCAAGCAAGGTAACATACTGCTGAACTAGCAAAATAAAATAGTTGTAAATCAAGCTTCATTGTTTTAATATCACCAAAATGTTACAGCTTTCCAATTACATTTTGGCAATGTAAATAACTACAAAGTAATCACAAACTTGTTAATGAAATGAACTATTCTCCTACCATGTTTGTGCCCAACATCAGCATCTGGGCAGCATGGTTGTGATCTAATATTCTGATTTAAACATTCAACACTGTTGTTTTCTTAGCTTGCAAATAATCGCTCATTAATTCTATCACACTGTAGCATTGTAATACTCATCTCCAGATCACAGCCTGATAATGTCCTCTCTTTTTTCATCTTCAAGCATCGTCTATCCTGATTATATGCCACAATCCTATCAGGCCTAGTGCCATACTAAAACTTCCTCACTAATTCTCCTCCTCAGTCTCAGCAACTTGCACATAAGTTCACCCTGCCACACGTCTTAACTTCTCTGCCCCTTGTCCTGTCTCAATCATTACCCCACAACAACCAATTCAGTTACACAAAACCTCGCCGCCTCCAATATCACAATTACTCGCACCCTTTCATCATTGACAGTCCTGAACTAACTAAAATTCCACCTTTGGAAAAGCTCCTCATCATCTCTACTTGTGACAACACCCACTCCTGCTTGCCACCACTCCTAACACCATTACTTTTTCTTACAAGCCTCCTTAAATTCTACTGTCCAGAAGTTATAACTGATCCAAATTTCTGCAGAGTTGAGTTCTCTGCTGCACAAGATTCTGCACATCTACTACCCCTGAAAACTTCACTGGCTCCCAGAACTGCAGAGGATCAACTTCAACGGTCAGAATTAAGCTCAGTAAAACCATAACTAGAATTGCTCCACAATAAAACTCGCATAAGTCGTATCAGCGATCACAACATTTAATATGACTTATGCAAAGTATAAGTTACAAGCAAACTTGCATAAGTCATATAATATACGACTTAATAATTAAACTGCGCACAAGTACTTCAATGCAGCCGGTAATTGCGCATGCAGTGACTGGTCAAGACTTCATTTCCAATGATTAATGCAGCTGGTAAATACAAGTTAGGATTTAGGATGACCAAGACCACGTCACAATTTAGCCACTTATGCGATTTATAAAATATGAGTAGCGCAAAGAAATCCAAGTGGGTTTTGGTAGGAAACTGAATAAAACTTGGGTACATAATAATAATAATTTGATATAGTGCTTTTCACGTCGGGAGGACGTCCCAAAGCGCTTCACAGAATATACTGTAAAGTGAATTGACTGCATATTTGTGGGCGAACGCGGCAGCCAATTGCGCACAGCAATGTCCCACAAACAGTCGTAGATCGAAAATGACCAATTTTTATTATTGTTTTGTTTTTTTGGAGGGATTATTATTAGGCTCTGTGTGGAGTAAGAAAACTTGCCCAAGGTTTGGCCCTGACAGGAATTGAACTCAGGTCTCTCACTTGCAAATGAGCTACAGGACTCCATCTATGACTTAAGACAATTATACGATTTATAAAGATAAGACTTATGCACATGTTACTGTACCATAATCACACCCACGTGACCAATATTACCTTAAATATCACTTACATGCCATGGATACGTTTGTGCACATTTATGGTATATTCCCGGGTTACCACCTCGTTGATGGCAGAGCGGCCCTTCTTTTTCTCTCCGCCTTTCTTAGCCGGGGACATCTGTGAGGACACGGAAATGCAACCGCTTTAGTTAAACGATGCACTGTTTCTCCCACAGAAGCGATTTGGGACATCTCAACGACGTGATAAGGCATTAAGTGCATATCAAATGCATTTTATCGTTTAACACGATCATGAAATAATACGGGTATTCACTTAAGTGCCCAAACTAAATGAACATTGAATATGGTACAATTATGCAGTGCCCTGAAGGCAGTTTCCCCACTGCCACGTAAATAAGGTCCGGGAGCCTGGACTGCACACACGCGGACAGCTTTTAGGAGGGAAAGGGTTTTCACTTCCAACGCAATGTGTCCGGTGGTCACATTGGACACTGGACCTGGTGCCGCCGCGGCGGCACATTCCCCCCCGGGCCCTCTAACCGGGGCCGCCGCCAGGCTCACACCGGGCCGGGGGGGGAGGCCCCGACCAGACACCAGCGACATCCAACCGCCGGACAAGACTTTATTGCGACGGGAGAGAGAGAGGGAGAGAGAGAGAGAGAAAATACGAACGGGCGCGCGTTCCCTTCATCGAGTAGCTTCGCGCTCGAGCAGAACCGCAGCGCGAACCGGGTAACAGGAGTCCGGATGGCGGCGGATTGTGCGCGGAGCCGCCGCGGCCGCTACTCACTCTGTCGGGACAATGTCGCAAAGGAAAGAGCGAGGCCTTGTGGGAAGCGGCTAAAGGCCGAGCCAGCGCCGCGACGAGCGCTTCCGGGTCAGCGGCGGCCCGGCCCGGCACGTGACCACGGGGAGCGCGCGTGCGCGACAGAGAGGGAGAGAGAGAGAGGGAGAGATGGCGGTTGGCAGCTGCTCTGAGCGGAGGCTCTTCGGGTGTGTAAAGGAGTAACGCTGCTGTTTATTGAGGGGTGTTGTGTGTGTGAGTGAGTGAGGGAAGGAAGGAGGGAGGGAGGGAGAGGGAGGGGGAGGGAGGGAGGGAGGGAGTGGGAGGATGGCTGTGGGCGAGTCACCCTCTGCTGTCGGGAGAACCGCAGTGACGGGGGATGATGTGCCGCGCGGCCCCGTTGCCTGAGTGACAGCCCCTCCCCCCCCCCGAGCGTGTGCAGTGCCGCAGACTCCAGGCCTCTCACAGCTGCTAATCAGAGCCATCTCTGCAAACGATGCTCACACGGGTTTGCAGTTCGGGTCACTTTTGCAGATTAAAGCTGTAGTAATGGCTTACATTTCCCTGCAAGTGCGAGCTCTGAAACCTGATTTATTTCTTCTCCAGCAATGATAAAGCTGAAAATACTCGACTCAGTCACGTACCAGCAAATAATAATAATAATCCTGGCAATTTGGTATAGCGCTTTTCACGTCTTCTAGACGACCCAAAGCGCTTCACGGAATAGACTGTAAAGTGAATTGACTATATTTGTGGGCGTACGCAGCAGCCAATTGCGCACAGCAATGTCCCACAAATAGTCCTGGATTGAAAATGACCAATTTATTATTGTTTTTTGTTTTGGAGGGATTATTATTAGGCTCTGTGTGGAGTAAGGAAACTTGCCCAAGGTTTCGCCCTGCCTGGAATTGAACTCAGGTCTCTCGCTTGCAAAGCGAGTGCTCTAACCACTGAGCTACAGGACTCCACTCCTGTACACAAAATGCACTCCGTCTCTCACACACTTATTAGAATTATTTAAGAATAATGTATATGTATCTGCAAGATCCATCTAACACTTACATACAAGCAGTAAGAGTTATCAAAGGTAAATAAGCACATCTCAGCATGAAATGCATGAGAGCATTTTTTTTGGTTAGCCAGGGGTCTTTGACACTTGTGGAACACAAAGCTTAAAAGTACCCAAAACGAACAGACTTCAATGCATTCCAGCTATAGATGGAAATTCCAGGGATGTTTATTAGAACGGAAATGTGCACTCTCTCTCTGGAGGGACACATCCTACTTACCTAATTCCAGAGGCTGGCAAGAGCCAAGGTTTGCGGACCCCGGACTGTAAGTTGGAGTCTAACCAACTAAAACAGCATAGCTTACCATTGAGAGCACTGTCTGGCATGCTTCCCACTGCTTGTTCAGCTAGGATCATCCTTGCTGTTAGGGCTGAATGGGAAGAGTCGCTACCCCAGTGACTGGTCTGCCCATACAAGTCCTGCTGATGAGCCAGCCTGGCTGGGCTGTCACCAGGAATACGCTGTAGTGCAGACCCACCTGGCTCAGGAATTGGACAACCAACCAGCACTGCCACAGAGGGTGGGCCCGATTCTGACATTGCAGGGAGGAATGAAGGTTAGATTGAAGAAAATGTGGGCAATATTGTATTTAGTGTAATCAATGTTACAAACCAAATGTTTGCAACTAAATGTTTACAACGTATCCCACAGACAAATTTGCTAATTTTATAGAACATAGCCATGAAAGGCGGAAGGCATGCACCTATCATTGTAAAATATGTCAAACATTTTTTCTATTTATTACAAAATGGTTATTCACAAAATAAACTTGAATATGAAATGGATTGATGGATTTTATACAAAATTTGACTAATATCCACTTTTCTTCCAAAGAATCATTTATACAGAAATAACCTATATATTACAGTATCTGTACGATAGATAATTCCTTCCTCACTTTTAATTAGGGATTTTTATGTAACAAATACAACAACTTTAACAAAAACATACTAATCAGAAAAAAGTGCATTTCTCTGAGAATTGTACACCACAAAGTAAACAGTTTTTTTAATGTCCAGTGTTGCAGAGATCCTTTTAAAATCAATGGTTGTTCCATTGAAGGTAAAAATGAAGAATGTCCCATAGGGCTTGAAAGATTTGGCCGAAGTATATGTTCTTGAGAGGACCCAGTATTAGAGCAGCTCTTGGATTGTCGGAAGTTCGCCAATTTGGCAGTGTAGCTCAGGGAATTTTCAAAGATATGTTCAATAACAGTTATGAGGTCACGTTGCAAACATAAGCCCAGTTTGTGCAAAAAGACAAGTGCATCTTTCAGTGCTCCGCAGTGCTTAATTCCTCCAGTGCTATAGTTTGCAATCAACAGATGATGGCAAATTTTAAAGGCCAAAATGAATCATAAGTCCATTTGTTTTATCTGTGTATATTATATCTATATATATATATATATGTCAGTTTTAAAAAATTAACTGTTCAACTATTGTAGATTTAGTTCATGATCATGAGTTATGCAACAAACTCAAGTCTTTTTTTTTAACTTCAGTGATGCTCCAGGTATACATCAAAAAGCAGCAGACATTTTTTGAAAATAATTGAATAATTGTAACTTAAGAAGATGAGGTGCAGAGTTAAAACCATCATGTATCTAGAAACCTTTGATGCCAGTTTGAATGATCAAACTTCCAATATGCTTTTTTTTTCCTTTTCAAGTGAACAAAAAAAGCTAAACATGTTAATAATATTTCCTTAATATTCATATTTTCAACATACTTGTACCATGGCATGAAAATGTACAATAGACTATTAAATAGAAAGGGTGAGCATCACTCTTAAAAATGTTTTTGAAGATCAACTTCTTCTTTGTATTTAAAGGCTACCGGGAAGGCTGAACATTTGATGTTTCAGAGAGATGTTGTGCATGTGGTCTTTGCTGAGGTTGTGGGTGGTATCCCATTGAATCTTGTTGATAAGATGAAAGGAGAAGCTCTGGTTGCTCACCCTGCAAAGAACTGGGCGCCTGTGTCTGCTGTAAAAAAAAATCAAAGAACCACTTTACAAATCTCTTAACAAATCCTCATCACCCCCTTTGCTCAGAGTGACTATGTCAATTATAGCTCTCCTACTGCTACTACAGTTGTGCAATGCCTCATCTTATTCAAAACAATTCACTTCCTCTGTGATTATTTTGAGATATTTACAGAAGTACTCTTTAGCTTTGCTTTTTTTAAACTTGTTTTCCTTCAGGTGTCTGTGCTCAAATCAGGCATTTTTTTGCATTATAATACAATAATAGCTCAGTGGAGAGCTGTAGCACAGACTGAGGCTCCTGTCAGCACCTCCTCACCTCAGGCTCTGACAGCATCACCATCCATGGTTGCACACTCCACCTTGCTAAGCCAGTGCAGAACCTTGGAGTCTTGTTGGACCCTCAACTATCCTTTCTACCCCACATTGGTGCTATGACCCTCTCTGCCTTCCCCCACCTCCGTAACGTCATTGTCTCACACCGCAGGCCGCCGATACCCTCATACACTCCTTCATTATATCGAGGCTCGACTACGCAAACTCGCAGCTTGTTGGCCTCCCCAACTCCTCCCTCCACAGGCTCCAGATCATCCAGAACTCTGCAGCCCATGTCCTCTCCCGCACTAAGTTCTGCGACCCTATCACCCCCATCCTTGCCCAACTCCACTGGCTTCCCATCACAAAGGATACAGTTCAAGATCCTGGTCCTCACCTTCAAAGCCCTTTATGGTCTTACTCCCTCCTAACCCCCTACCATCCTGTTTGCTCTCTCCGCTCGGTGGGCCCCGGTCTGCTTCACATCCCCTGCCTTGCTCACCCCACTATTGGCTGGCGGGCCTTCCGCCATTATGCACCCACCCTCTGGAACTCCATCCCACAGCCCCTTCGTCTTGCCTCCTCCCTCGCCACCTTCAAGACCTACCTCAAGACCCTCCTCTTCAACCGTGCTTTTGATCTCCCTGCTTCTCCCCCCTGCCCTCCACCCTCTCGCACCCCACCCCCCAACTCGGGTCTGTAACTCTTTTCTGTCCAGCGCCTTGGGACGTCCTCCCGACGTGAAAGGCGCTTTACAAATGTAGTTTTATTGTTGTTCGTAAGAGCACTCGCCTCGCAAGCGAGAGACCTGGATTCCGTTCCCGGCAGGGCAAAACGTTGGACGGATTTCTTTACTCCACACGCCTATTTACCTAGCAGTAAGTAGGAACCCGATTGTTAGTTGATTGGTGGATCCTTTTTCCTTGGGGATGATAATGCCTTCAAAAATATAAAATAATAATAAATTGGTCACTCAATCCACAAATGTTTGTGGAACACTGCTGTGCGCATTTGGCTGCCGCATTTCACCCAGAAAATATACAGTCAATTTACTTCACAGTATATTCTGTGAAGCGCTTTGAGACTCCCAAAGACGTGATAATGCGTTATATCAAATGCAACGGTTATTATTATTTAGTATAATAATATGCAACTAAAAATATTAAACCACGCAGCAACATGCAAATGCTTATGGAATCATTTTTTAAATGAACATACTTTGTCTTGTTTCATTTTACTCTGTTGCAAAAGTGAGTCTGAAATTATGTACCAATGAAACTATAGAAGAATGCAAGTTAACCGGACAGCAATTGGGTGCCGAGGTGGACCCGGGCTGTGAGATAGACTCTTACCTCAGAGTCAGCGGTTGTGGATTTAAGCCCCACTTGGGGATTCGGGGCCCATATAGTCTATGCTGATACTCCAATGCAGTGCTGGGTGTGTGTTGCAATGTCGTAGGAACCGAATGAAATGTTAAACCAAGGTCTCATCTCAGCTGGATGTTAAAGATGCCATGGAATAGTGAAAAGTGAAAGGAGTTTCTCCAGGTGGTCTGGACAACAGTCCCCCAAATGAAATTGGTCACTCACTCCACGGATGTTTGTGGGACATTGCTGTGTGCAAATTACCCGCTGTGTTCACCCACAAAATACTCTGCACACAGTCACAATGCTTCAGAGTAGTCAAATGCTCTGAGATGTCGCAACAATGTGAAAAGGCGCTATATCAAATGCAAATATTATTGACTAACTCAAGAGACTGCTAATCAAATCTGAGATGTCACGGTCCTTTTAATGATACAGAATGCCTTTTATCAACTAAACCACTGGGGAGCTTATAACCCACATTTATAAAAGGAGTCCCATCACACAGAGGATACAGTTCAAGATCCTGGTCCTCAACTTCAAAGCCCTCCATGGTCTTTCTCCCCCCCCTACCTCCTAACCCCTACCATCCTGCTCGCTCCCTCTGCTCACCAGGCTCCAGCCTGCTTCACGTCCCCCGCCTTGCTCGCCCCACTATTGGCAGGCGGGCCTTCCGCCACTCTGCACCCACCCTTTGGAACTCCATCCCATAATCCCTCTGTCTTGCCCCTTTCCTCGCCACCTTCAAGACCCATCTCAAAATACCTCCCCTTCGACCGTGCTTTCGATCTCCTTGCTTCTTGCTTCCCCTCCTGCTCTCAGGCGCTGACACCATCAGCATCTAAGGCTGCACTCTCCACCTCTCAAAGCCAGTCAGGAACCTCGGCGTTTTGTTCGACCCTGAGCTGTCCTTTCTCCTTCACATCCGCACCACAACTGGCACCGCCTTCCATCACCTTCGGAACATCGCCAGACTACGGCATTACCTCACCCCTCATGCTGCTGAAACCCTGGTCCACGCCTTTGTCACCTCAAGGCTGGACTATGGGAACTCTCTCCTCGCCGGCCTTCCCGGCACCTCCCTCCACAAGCTGCAGGTCATTCAGAACTCTGCAGCTCGTGTACTGTCCCGCACCAGACACCGCGACCACATCACTTCCACCCTCGCTCGCCTCCACTGGCTTCCCATCCCCCAGAGGATTGATTTCAAGATCCTCATCCTCACCTACAAGGCCATTCACGGCCTTGCTCCCTCCTACCTCTCCAACCTACTATCCCCCTACCTACCTGCCCGTACCCTCCGTTCCTCTGGCTCCAGTCTGCTCCACGTCCCCCGCCCCAACCGCCCTACCATCGGTGGTCGGGCCTTCAGCCTCTCAGCCCCCAGGCTCTGGAACTCCATCCCCCAGTGCCTTCGCCGCTTCCTCCCTTTCCTCCTTCAAGGCCGGTCTCAAAACCTTTCTCTTTGACCGTGCCTTCAGCTCCCCTCTCGACTCTCTTCCCCCTCCTCGCTCCCTCCCTTCCCTCCCCTCACCCTGACCATTTCCCCCCTGCTCGGGTCATGACCCAACTGTGCAGCGCCTTGGGACGTCCTCCTGACGTGAAAGGCGCTTTATAAATGGAATCTTGTTGTTGTTGTTGCTCTCCCCCCTCCCCCACCCTGAATCCCAGCTTGGGTCCGGAACTCTGTCTGTCCAGCGCCTTGGGACATCCTCCCGACGTGAAAGACACTATACAAATATAATTTTGTTATTGTTGTTATAAGCTCCCCAGTGGTTTTGTGTATCATTCATGTGGTTGACTAAATGAAGACTGTGATTTAATGTCTTATGATTCTGAAATTGACTAAAGTAATATTTTTTGTTATATGTGGATAATCCATTGAACACAAAGTGCCGAGAAAAGGAATCTGTAAGCCAACCAAGGAGGCATAAAACAACCAGAATAAGTCTCGTGAAATGTTTGTTCAGAATTTTTAACTTAACCATAATTTTGGTTTGTTGAATCTACAAGTCCTGTAGCTCAGTGGTTAGAGCACTCGCCTTGCAAGCGAGACACCTGGGTTCAATTCCAGGCAGGGCGAAACCTTGGGCAAGTTTCCTTACTCCACACGCCTAATAATAATCCCTCCAAAAAAACAAAACAATAATAAAAATTGGTCATTTTCAATCTACGACTGTTTGTGGGACATTGCTGTGCGCAATTGGCTGCCGCGTTCGCCCACAAATATGCAGTCAATTCACTTTACAGTCTATTCTGTGAAGCGCTTTGGGACGTCCTTCCGACGTGAAAAGCGCTATATCAAATGCAAGGATTATTATTATTATTATTATTATTAAGCTCCTCACCAATTACATACCTGTAGGTAATGTTGCTGTTGTTGAAGTTGCATAGTTTGCTGAGGCAGAGACTGAGATGGCTGAGGTGTGGAAAATCCTGGGGGTGTTATTATTTGACCCATGATCACTGCACTAGAGACTAATGGTGTTGTGTTGCTGACTTGCTGCAGTGCCAGATTCTGAAGCATTTGCTGCCCTTGTGGGTATCTGTGGAACAACATATTAACATAGTAACATAGAAATCTACAATGCAGTAGGAGGCCATATGAGTCATTGAGTCTGCACTGGTTCACAAGATCAATTCAATCCCACATCCTGCTTTATCCCCACACCCTTCAAGCCCTTCTCTTTAATATGTCTGTCTACTTGTCTGTCTATAACTCCAACATCCTGCTCAGGAAGGCATTTCAAATCTCAACAATTTTCTGGGTGCTGAAATTCCTCCTAAGCCCTTGTGGCTATCAAACCTATATGCCCAAGCCACTGACTCCTTTATCAATGGAAATAACTTCTCCCTATCTGCTCTGTCAAAACCTTTAAATTTTGTACACCTCTTATCAGGTGTGTCCCTGATCATCCCCAACCTTTTCTGCTCCAATGAAAAAAGACTCTGCTTTTCCAATCTCTTCTCATAACTATCATCCTCCATCCTGGAATCATTTTCGTAACTATTCTCTACACCCCCTATAAGACCTTAACATTTTTCCTGAGGTGAGGTGCCACAAACTTGACGCAGTACTCCAGTTGTGGCCTAACCAATGATTTGTACAAACTTAACATTATTGCTTTGTTTTTGTACTCTATGCCCCTATGACTATTAGCTTTCTTTACAGCCTTTGCAACTTGCAATGCTTCTTTCAATGACTCATATACCTGCAAATCCCTTTGCTCCTCAGTTCCTTGCAAGATACTGCCATTCAATATTTCCTCCCTTCCCTCAGTTTATTCTACCAAAATGAATCACCTTACATTTCATTTCACAGAGCTTCATTTGCCACTGATCAGCTCATTGCGTTGATCTGTTTAAATCCTTTTGCAGTCTCTTGCCTTCCTCATCGCTGTTCACTATATTTCCTAGCTTGGTATCATATGTAAACTTTGATATATCCAAGTTGAGGTCATTGATTTATTTGGAAAAAAAAGGCACAAGCACAGACCTCTCCTACAACTGGGAAAATCAACATTTAGCCCTACTCTGCTTTCTGTCCTACAACCACCTTTCTATCTAAACAGTCATTTTCCCCCTATTCCACACGCCCTGAGTTTCTCCACCAGTCAGTCTTCTGTGCACCACTGTATGAAATGCCTTTTGGAAATCCAAACATACAAAATCCTTGCTTGATCTACATTTTCAGTTACTTCTTCAAAGAATTTTTATTAAATCGGTCAAACACCATCCCGTGTCACAAATCCATACTGACTATCGCTGATTAACTCATGTGTGCAGTTCATTCTTTTCCTTTTAGAAATAACATTTAATATGTTAAATTGCTTAACATTTAAATTCATCCATTCTTTCTGTGGAAATTTTAAAATATTTATTTATGATGAAGTATTATACTTTATCAACCCTTCAAAAAGTGCATTCTAAATATAATATATGTACAGTTATTGTCTGCAGAGACTATACTTTTAAGTTGAATTTGTCAAGGAATTTAACATATTGAATGTTATTTATCAAAGGAAAAGAATGAACTAAACATAACGTGAAATAAAATCAAGTTACATCCATTTCTTGGTTCCCATATTACATGATGCAGTCTGACAGGTAGTGAACAGTTAATTATGACTTCTGACACATGTGGCTCTAATTTAGAGTTAATCATATTGATTCCAACTGCATATATGTGATTGCAGTTCTTAAATTATTCAAACATAAATGGAAAGAGGTATTAAACAAGACATTACAAACATACATTTGCATTCTTAAACAATGATGACATACTTAGCTTGTTGAGCAGCACTACTGAACTCTGTGGGCTGCCTGGTGTGGCATGTTGTGGGCATCATTGGTTGAATGGGTTGACTAAGCAGCATTCTTTAAAAGAAAATTATGTTTTTATTCTTTATAAAAACACATCACATTAATATGCTACCTGTTTTAAAAAAAACATTTGTTTGAGCCTTCCTTTGGTCAGCACCCTTAAATGCACCTTTTACTACTCTATTTAAAAGCAAAATTTAATGCACAAGTCTGAATTCATGTTTTGAATTATAACTCGTACACTAAATGAGCATTCTCTAAAACTTATGCAATCATTTGTAATTGCTCTTATGTCTCGCAAACACCCTGTTTGCAACTTTTAATGTTGTCCGAGATATTACTCTGCATGAAGGGCGCTATATAAATGCAAGTTATTGTTGTTGTTGTTGTCCTAACCAAAGTTGTAAGTACCTTAATTGCCGATCATGGCTGAAATTAGGAGATGAATGACTGTCACTGCAATCCCTTTGGAGTGTCATCAAGGGGGACTGAGAGAACATTGCAGGGCTGCTGAAATGTAATGCCAGGCTACCAGAGGTCAGGTTGGACAAGGAGGTCTGTATCATCTGTCCACTTCTTAATGATTTAGGACCCTATAAACAAAAATATAGGTTTTCTTCAATACTAAAATCAAAGATCACTAATTATATTAATTCAACAACAGGTGTGTTACATTTTTTTGTGTAGTGTATCTAATTTAGTTTTCTGATTCATATCAAGCTACTGACTTGTGGCATACCCCTGAGCATCAAATGGCCATTCTTTCTACACAACATTAAACAAAGAATGTACAGCTTGGAGACAGGCAATTTTAGCCCAACCAGTCTGTATAGGTATTCTTAACATTGATTTTAATAGAATGGGCTAAAATAGTAATACATTAACCCTGATAACTGATTAGTTTTGCTGCTGTTAATCAATTTGAAATATTTCTAAATGCAACAAATGAGAAATAAAATGTGTGAACACAAAAGTAATTTACCTGGTTGGAGACTGCACTTGCTTCCCTTGCAACCTGTTGTAAAGACACCTGCTTAGTCCCAGTTTGTGTTGATCCTGCTGCTGGCTGTGTGGGTAGAACCTGATCCTGTACTATAAGGCCCATCTGTTGTTGCGGCTCTGGATGCTGTAATGGGCTGAAGCTAATGGACACTGGTTGCTGTAGGAATATCTAAAAAGGTAAAAAAACACAATAATTCTAAATTATGTTGTCATTTTGTTGTAGTCATATTTAGATCTTTAATACTATTCAGTTTAAAGATTAACAACACTACTAGATTACTTTTAAAATGCCTTCTTTAAATCATTTTCTATTTATTGGTCAGCTGGGTGTCTGACACCTGCAGTAACCTATCACCATGCTTAAGAGTATCCAAACCAAGCTGAGATGTCCATGCAGCACACCTACACATGGAAATTTCAGAGATAGATTTTTGGAATGGAATGCACTCTCTCTCCTTGGAGTGATGCATCCTGCTTACCTAATTCCCACAACGTATTAGGTGGAGGTTGGCCAGACCCAAGGTTTGGGGACCCCAGAGTATTGCTGGAGTCTAACCAGCTAAGACTGCATAGCTTGCTATTGATATTGCTGTCTGGCAAGCTTTCCCACTGCTTGTCCAGCTAGGATCACCCTAACCGTTAGGGCTTTGGCTTGCTGGGTAAACAGGAGCTGAGTGGGATGACTCCCTGTCCCCAGTGACTGGTCTGCTCTTCCATGTCCTGTTGTTGAGCCAGGCTGCTGTGCTGTCATCAGCAGTGCCCTGGAATACTGCAGACTTGTCTGGCTCAGGAACCAGACTACCAAAACCACCAGAGAGGACTGGCTCGATTCCAACATTCCACTGCCAGGCATGTCACCTTGGAGCAGATCAATCTAGGAACTGGCTCATGTATAGTTGACTTCATTACTTCATTACTAGTGACTGAAAACTGCATTTTGAAAACTGTTATGCAATGGAACAATTACAAACCGAAATAGGTTATTTTTGGTTGACAACAAAAATCTGCTGGGAGTGTTGTATTGTTCCAGTATCTCCACCAAAAACACAGAGCACAGAGCACTGGAAGCTGGTTGAGAGAATTGTAACAGGTCTGTAGGAAAATTCTTCACAAGTCTCACAAATTTCAAGGCCATAGACATACAATATCATTGCCCTAAATGCTGAAATGTTACCATTTTAATCCACACCAAAGGCGTAATGAATGATAGGAGCAAGGTCTTTGGCCAGGAAAAAAACAGGAATAAATCATATTATATAGGATGACTTTCTCCCTTTGTTTTTGTTAAGTAAACATTATATCCATTAAGTACTTAGGACAGGAAAATCACTTAATGAAGGTTTGTGAAAATCCCCGAAATATTTTTTAAATGACCGAGGAGATAAACCAATGCTTAACCAATATTTATAATTTTTTTCCTGTAAAATGCAATTGCACACCCCAACCATTTTCAAAAATAATCAATAATCCAAATTGATTGATAAATAGTTAAGTCTGTAATAATAATATAATAATCCTTGTATTTGATATAATGCCTTATCACGTATTCAAGACATCTCAAAGCACTTCACAAAATATACTGTAAAGTGGGACTTCCTCCCAATGTGAAAGGCGATATACAAATGCAATTTTGTTGTTATTGTTGTAAAGTTGTATATTTTGCAATAATTAATTATTCTACCAAATATATTCCCAAAATCAGTCCATTAAACAAAAAGCTACTGAAAATACACTGTAGATTTTAAGATTTAAGTGGTTTAAATTTGCAGAATTTTGATGGAACAAATGCCTCCTTCATGTGCAATTAATGATGGGTAAAATGAAGCTTGAGCATAAGGGTGTAAATTATTTCTTTTTCTAAAATCAGTTTACCCTGGTATTGCAAATTTTATTTTTCTGATTTAACTTTTAGAACAAGTTTCAAACAGTAAACTTTTCCTTTCTAATTGGTTGATAACTTCCACTCATGGGTTGATTTTTAGTTTGGTTAGTCAGTTCCGATACTGTATTGTAATAAAATCACAAATATATCCCATTATTTCTACTAACAAACCACAGATTTAGAAGAACCATGCATGTGTCTGGACAAGACAAGACTCCCAAACTATAGGACAAACTTGCATTTGGTGGCCTTTGTGATGCTATTATGTAAATTGCAACTGTTCCATTCTTTGGTATAAGCATTTACATAGTAACAGTATAGTACCGCAGTAGTATTTGTTGAACTGTCCTCACTTTTTTGATGAATTTGGATAAGAAACAATTAGTAGCAGGAACACCGTGAGAACTCCTTGCTATTATTCAAATTACTGACTTACAATCTTAATATCCGCCTGCACCGTCAGAACAGGTAGATGTTGCCTCAGTTTAATGTCTCATCAGAAGATTTAATCTCTATGGTACAGAGGTTGTATTTTGATTAGTGATGCAGCGTTTACAACAACAACAGCAACAAGATTTCATTTACAGTGCGCCTTTTATGTCCAGTTGGGTCAGGACCCGAGCAGGGGGGAAATGGTCAGGGTGAGGGGAGGGAAGGGAGGGAGCGAGGAGGGGGTAGAGAGTCGAGAGGGGAGCTGAAGGCACGGTCAAAGAGAAAGGTCTTGAGACCGGCCTTGAAGGAGGAAAGGGAGGAGGCGGCGAAGGCACTGGGGGATGGAGATCCAGAGCCTAGGGGCTGAGAGGCTGAAGGCCCGGCCACCGATGGTAGGGCGGTTGGGGCGGGGGATGTGGAGCAGACCGGCGCCAGAGGAACGGAGGGTACCGGCAGGTAAGTAGGGGGATAGTAGGTCGGAGAGGTAGGAGGGAGCAAGGCCGTGAATGGCCTTGTAGGTGAGGATGAAGTTTAGCTAAAATTACCTTGTAGTCTCAAACACACTTCATTTGAAAACATTAGTGAGTTATTTGAAATTAGCAAATAAGGAACAGTGAAAAAGATGCAGTAATTTAGCATTAGTTTAACTTCTTCCCCTTTCCTTAAAGTTCCTTCCCCCCTTCATTTTATTCCACTGATTCTGATGTTTACTTACCATTAGATGGTGTAAGTATGTATACAACTGGGAAACAACAATGTACAACAAACTACAAAGATTTTGCTTTCCACTTTCTATTAAATTTCTCTTAAATTATTTTTCGTCCACAAAATATTACAGTCAATTCACTTTGCTGTACAGATATTCTGTGAAGTGCTTTGAGATGCCTCAATTACATGATACGGTGCTATATTAAATGTAAAGATTATTATTATTAAATTCAGATAGTTACTCGTAAAATGTAAACAGTAGATCTAACTTCGACAAAGTCCAACATACTCATCTCCTTTTCAAAACTACTGTTGTTACTTGTTTATGTGATGGTGACTTTGAGGATGTAGTTCACTGTACACTTACCTGTAGATTTGAGTCATCTACCATGCACAGTTGTTCCTGGATTTTATGTAGTTCTTCTTGCTGCCACGTGATGTTTGCCTGAAGAATGCGTGTGCGTTGCTCAAGCTGATCTTTGAGAGACTGAATCATGTCAAGCTGCGTTGAAAAATGATATGCTGGCTGAAATCCATAAATATGCAAATCAATTTATAAATAACGCTTCCTATTGGATTCATATAAAATTGGTATTGACGACGATGTGTAAAAGGGCCATGACTAATCTAATTAAAGTTATTGGGGCTGCGCTTTTTTTGAGCCAGAAAATTCAATTCACAACCATTCCAATATCACCATCATTATAATAATAATAATAATAATAATCCTTGCATTTGATATAGCGCTTTTCACGTCGGGAGGACGTCCCAAAGCGCTTCACAGAATATACTGTAAAGTGAGTTGACTGCACATTTGTGGGCGAACGCGGCAGCCAATTGCGCACAGCAATGTCTCACAAACAGTCATAGATTGAAAAATGACCAATTTAATTATTGTTTTTGGTTTTGGAGGGATTATTATTAGGCGTGTGGAGTAAGGAAACTTGCCCAAGGTTTCGCCCTCTGCCTGGAATTGAACTCAGGTCTCTCGCTTGCAAAGCGAGTGCTCTAACCACTGAGCTACAGGACTCCACCATTTTCTGTCCACTTGGGAGGGATAGGTCCTGGGATCTCCCTGGAATTGAACTTGCTCCAAGAAGACATCCAGGGATAGCCAAGCAGGTTTATAATAATCCAATGACTAATCTATGCCAATTGAAAGCATAGATATGCAAGTCAAAGCCCTGATATATAAGGCTGGACAAGTACCATTGCATTGTGTGTCAGCCTGGTGCAGTGGTAACACTCTCGCCTCTGAGTCAGAAGGTTGTGGATTCAAGCTTGGGACTTGGAATCACATAATCTAAGCTGACACTCCAATGCAGTGCTGGGAGTATGCTACATTGTCAGAGGTGCCATCCTTTGGATGAGACATAAAACAGAGGTCCCATTTGCTTGTTCAGGTGGATGTTAAAGGTCCCATAACACTATTTGAAAAAAGAAAGAAGTTTTTCCTGGTGACCTGGACAGCAAATCCCCCAAATAAAATTGGTCACTCACTCCATGGCTGTTTGTGGAACATTGCTGTGGGCAAAACTGGCTGCCGCGCTTCACCCACAGTATAGCCTATGAAGCGCTTTGAGACGTCTCGATGATGTGTTAAGGCGCTATATCAAATGCAAAGATTATTATTATTATTATTTATCACTGTTTCATACTAGGTAAACAAAAGTGTGTGGAGTAAGGATTATTATTATGGTTGTGATTCGTTAATTATTCTATTGGTGAGAGAATGGACAAAGATGTATGCCAATGATTTCCCCCCGGGGGAAGTTTGTGATCTCAGTGAAGGAATAATAGGCAAGAGGCACATCCAATAAGGTTGAGTCACCGTGGGCTAGTGGCACACCTCTGACTATCTGAAAAATGGGAGTAAGTCATTTATCCACCCTCTCAGTTGAGGATTTCAGGAAGATAAAAAAAATTAACAATAAGGCAAAACAAAAATACATTTAAAATAACTAGCGAAAAATGAAGTAGTTATTTTGAATGCTTTGTTAACAATTGAGCATCAGCCTGGTGGGAGTTAATGACATGTGGAGTTAAGGAAAGGGAACAAAATACAGTCACACAATTAACTGAAATATATGGTTCTAACCTGTGCTATTGATACAGGCTGACTGGTCATAGTCGGCTGGGGCAACAACTGCTGGGAAAGTAGATCAACAGATGGCTGTGATAGTGAAGGCTGGGTAAAGACCACAGGATACAATAACATATTGCTGTTCATTGTAAAAATACAAGAGTAGACCAAAACAGATACATTCAAACAAAATACTAACACATTCTACCCTTTGTATCAAATTGTATTATAGGTTTTGTGGATAGCTGAGGGATAAGCAAGTAAATGAGATTAAGCAAGTAATTTACACAAAGTCTTTGGAAATGAAAATTCTACTGCAGAGGTCTGCAGTACAGCATACTATAAATGGAGTATAACAACGCACCTATAACTTTAAAAATTTTTTACACAAACAAAGATTTGTTCCAGTAGCATATCCTGCGATACTAAAAAAAACTTGTCTAATGTCCCAAGCTCTATTGAGGCCTTGAACTAGTAAAACTAAACATGCTCATTTTCGGCTCATAAATGAACAACCTAACAATTTCCTTCCACTCTTTGTGCAACTACCAGCACATGCTTAATACAACTACCAGTGGCATGTTAAACATAATTCAGTATCACATTCAGAGATGTACATTTCATTCTACATTTTCACTTATTGCTAATGTAGATCTTGAAATCCAGTGGTATGGTTTTTCAAATACGTATATGTTACAATCCAGAAATAGCAGGTAGAAGGTTAAGGGGATCCCTGATAATTTTTACCACTATATGTTTTCAACTTTCCAGGAAATAAAGATTAGATTCTCAGAAAATACACAAATTGCAAATACTAAGAGAATACTAAAATTATTTTAGTATTTAAGAGAAAACTCGATGCATCCATAAGGGAGGCGAGATGGAGGCTCAAGTGGACAATAAACACCAGCACAGTCTGATTTGGCTGAATGGTCTATTTCCTTGCTGTATCATTTTATGTAACTTTATACATTAGAATATATTAGAATACATTACAATATACTGCACAGAAACAGGCCATTTGGCCCAACTGGTCTATGCCGGTGTTTATGCTCCACATGAGTCTCCTGTCCTTCCTCAACTAAGCCTTCTAACATAACCTTCTATTCCCTTATGTACCTATCTAGCTTTCCCTTAAATACATCTATGCTATTTGCCTCAACAACTTCTTGTGGTAGCAAGTTCCACATTCCCACTAATCTCTGTGTGAAGAAATTTCTTCTAACTTCCCTATTTGATCTATTTGTGACTAATTTATATTGATGGCCCCTGGTTTTGGTCTCCCCCACAAGTGGAAACATCTTCCCTATGTCTACCCTATCAAAACCTTTCATCATTTTGAAGACCTCTATCCGGTCACCCCTTACCCTCCTCTTTTCAAGAAAAAAGAGTCCAAGTACGTTCAGCCTTTCCTGATAGGTATAACCTCTCAGTTCTGGGATCATCCTTGTGAATCTCCTTTGTACCCTCTCCAGTGCCTCTACATCCTTTCTATAATGTGGGGACCAGAACTGCACACAGTATTCTAAGTGTGGTCTAACCAAAGTTTCTATAGCAGTTTACCATAACTTCCCTGCTTTTCATTTCTATTCCTCTAGAAATGAGCCCCAATGCCTGGTTTGCTTTTTTTATGGCCTTATTAACCTGCGTTGCTACTTTTAGTGAACTGTGTATGTGTATCCCTAGGTCCCTTTGCTTCTCTACCCATTTAGGTTTTTATTTTCCAGGATGTGTGTGATTTCCTTATTCCTTCTACCATAATGTACCACCTCACACTTTTCTACATTGAAATGCATTTGCCATTTAAATGCCCACTCAGCAAGTTTATTAATTCTTAGTAATTTGTTGCAGTCCTCCTCTGTATTAATTACTCCCCAATTTGGTGTTGTGTGCAAATTTTGAAATTGTGCTGCTGATTCCCGAAACCAAATCATTAATGTATATTGGGAACAATAGTGGTTCTAATACCGATCGTTGTGGAACATCACTGCCCACCCCCTGCCAGGCTGAGTAGCTACCCTTTACCCCTACTCTCTGTTTTCTGTTTTGTAGCCAGCTTGCTATCCATTCTGCTATTTTTCCCCTGATTCCATATGCTCTGAAATTAAATTCATTAGTCTATTATGTGGTACCTTATCGAACACCTTATGGAAATCTAAATATATTACATCTATCACATTACCCTTGTCTACTCTTTCTGTTACCCTTCAAAGAATTCAATGAGGTTGGTTAAGCATGATCTTCCTTTTTGAAATCCGTGCTGACTATTCTTTATTATGTTTTCCGTTTCTAGATGTTGTTCTATTATCTCCTTCAGTAAGGATTTCATTACCTTTCCTACCACCAATGTTAATCTGACAGGTCTATTGTTCCCTGGACTTGTTCTATTTCCTTTTTAATATAGGTATAACATAAGCTATCCTCCAGTTCTCTGGCACTACTCGCTTTTCTAATGAGTTATTATATATGTGTAATAGTGCCTCTGCTATCTCTTCCCTCGATTCTTTTAATATATGCAGATGCAATCCATCTGGACCAGAGATTTTATCCTCTCTGAATTTTGTTAGTTTTTTGATTATATCTCCCCTTTTGTACCTTAAATGTATTTATATTATTTTCAATCTCTTCTTCTAATTTAGTTTTAATTCCTCTTCCTAATTTTAGCCATGTGTTAACTTTCCTAATCTGTTTCCCCCTATTCCAATTCGCACATGGCTCAGGTAATAATCCAGAGATTATTACTCTCGAGGTCCTGTCTTTAATTTAGCTCCTAACTCCTGAAACTCCCTCTGCAGGACCTCCTCCCTGTTTTTTCCAATGTCGTTTGTCCCAACACGGACCGCGACAACTGGATCTGCCCCCTCCCTTTCCAAATTCCTCTTCAGCTGCTTCGAGATGTCCCTTACCCTGGCACCAGGTAGACAACACACCCTTCAGGCCTCTTTCTTGGCTACAGAGGATGCTATCTATTACCCCTAAGAATTGAATCCCGTATCACAATTACATTTCTATGCTGCTCTTCCCCGCTTCGGACAGCCTTCTGCTCCACTGTGCCTTGGTCTGCATTGTGGCTGTCTTTCACACAGTCATTCTCCTTGTGCTCACAGGAATCAAGTGCCTCATACCTGTTGGACAGGACCAGTGTCTGTGAGACCTCCTTCTCTTCCTCTCCGAGGTTCCCACTACTCTGTTCACTGACAGTAGCACCCTCCCCTTCCTGTAGTTTCCTATGGGGTGTGACCAGGATAAAATTATCCAGAAATTCTTCCCCCTTCCTTATTTCTCAGAGTGTGTCTAACTTACACTCCAGCTCAATGATTCTGAGCCAGAGTGGTCAAGCCAGAGACATTTCCTGCAGAAGTGATAGTCCACTACGCATGGACTTTTGGTTGTATGCATGTATACTTCTTTATTAGGGAAAAGTTTTACTGCAGCTCCAGTAGTCTGGAGTCTCAGTCATAGTCTTCATTGTACAACAGTGCTAGAGAGGGAGCTGAGCTTTTCAAGCCCAGTATAGAAGAGAACAGTTAACAAACTATAAACTGCAAAGATGGCCATAAAATCATTATCGGCATTTGCCACAAGATATCACAGCATTGCAATATATTATTTAGAAATAAATTTCTTCCCCTTCACTCACCAAAACAATCATTTTAATTTCAATGTAATTAATTACATTTAATAATTTTATTGCCTGAATTAATGCGCTTCCTAGTACCACTAATTGAGCCAGGACCAGAAAAGCATTCGGAGATGATAACCTATGTGAAGAGTGCTGTGTAAACCCAAGTTGTTGTAATTTGTCAATGGGTAATGTTGATGAACAGTATTAAACTCCTACCTGGTTTGAGGCAGGTTGATGCTGTGGTGTTGCTATATCTTGTTGCGCTGATGGTGTAGATTGTAGAGATGGAGCACCAGATTCTGAAAGCAGTTTACTTGGAGTTGCTGTGAATGAGATTACAAACAACATTTAACTTATACAAAAAAAAACTTTTTGACATGTGGAAACCATTACCATATTTAGGAGTATCGAAACTAAAGTACCGAGACTTCCACCAGTTTTATAAAAACATAGAATTTCTAAATAAATTGCTTCAGAGTAACAATTAATTTTTTTATTAGTGAAAACATTATATATCGGAAAAACCTATCGAAACTCAAATATTTATGCTATAGATTGATATTGGTAGTGGTAACCAAGGTCGAAGAAAAGATCTGCCCCATTAAAGTCTCAAACAGTGAAAGAGTCACATACATGGTGATTCAGACACGGAGGTGTGAAAGGACTTGTGTGAACTCTGAGATGATAAAGATGGTGTTGGGCTGCCACGCAGCACTGGTGCATCTACTTCAAATGTGCTAAAATGTTGTTGAGTATCAAGCCTCAAGTCATGGCCCTGTGGAGAATATCAGCAGATGAATATGAAATAGAGGCAGCAGTTCATGCCTCCTGTTATGGCTGTAGCAGTATCTGACAATAATGTTAACAGGTAATAATGTATTACGTGCTTTTTATATAATAGCGGTATTAATAATATTAAAGATATGAAAAATGTAGAATAAAGAGAAACTGGATTACATTTTCAATATTTCTGATCAAAATATGCAAGTTACAATGCATCACAATTGTGCCATATTTGGCTGATTTTGTTAATACCTTGAGTGTTGAAGAACCAACAATCTCGGCAGCAGAATCATCCAAGTCGTTTTCTTGTCGTCGCTGGGCTCGAACCTCTGCATAGCTATAGCAGTTTTAAAAAGGAAGTTTTTTTTAAAAAAAACAGAAATAAGGAAACTTGAAGTTTACTTATGCAATCGTAGAAATAACTGCATAAAAGGTCATTAGGCCCATTGAGCCCCTGCTGGTCCAAGATCCTCCACTGGAGTTAACTATTCTAATCCCACTTCTTTTGTGTTTTTTGTACCTTTATAAGGCATGTGGATCACTGGGACACTTTTAAGTAACATTTTATTATCGTCATACAAGTTATAGATTGGCCCAGGATCTCCAGTGAGATTTAGCACCTATTTTCGCAGCAAGAAGTCCAGAACGCTTCATTAGGATTGTCCCACACTCAATCTGTTTCAAAATCAAAAATGCTGCAAATTAACATCAAGTCAATTCAAAAATTAAGTTAAAAAATTATTTAATTTACAAGGAATTGNAAAAAAAATCTGCATTCACCTTAGATTTCTTTTTCTGATATTCAGCAGCAAAGTTTTTTTTTGAAACAAATGCAGCCTTTGGCTAGAGTGTGGGATGGCACCATTGCACATCAATGCAGAATACAGCTTTGGTTCTGTTTTGTATTACTGATTTCAGCCATGTTGTTGCTGATCACAAATAGCAGATAATTCAAAGGCTCTTGTGCAGTAAATTAAGTTTCAATGCACAAAAGCTTCAATTGTTAATTAAAATTATGATTTTTTTAAAAAAGTCAAAAACTTGAATTTTCCCACTTCGTTCAATATCTCTTATAGCTTTCAGGATTACTGATGTGCAATTCAGTTTATCGTGCAGCCAGTAACTGCTTCCTAGAATATTAGCTACTCATTCTTTTACCAGTAGAGGGTGTACTGTAAAAATAAATTGACCAAAAAGGATCAACAAGATTACATTTACAAAAAACCCTAATGCTCCTGAAACAGATGTTGTACTTCATTTCCCTAAATACTTTTTATACTTTTAGCATTATTTATCAAATACCTCAAGGCATTTTTTGTCAAATCAAAACATGTGATCTGTGAACCCAACAAACAGACCCCCACACCCCACCCCCCAACTTATTAGGATGAACACATCATGTACGATCTTTGGTCTAGTTGCAGAATTCACAAAAGGATAGCAAATCCAAAAAATTGTTCAGACCATCCCTCTGGATCTCCGTGTAGTTGCCGCCCTCGTGAATGCCTGAACCCAGATTGGCAAATAAACCAAGTTCCATAAGTGATGAAGCTTAAGTTGGGGAGGCATTTAAAATTCCCCCTAGTATACTGGAACTCTTATTACATTCAATGTGCTCAATTTTTTATTTATTCGGGTCAACCGGGTGTCTGACATTTGCGGAAACCTATTACCGTGCTTAAGAGTATCCAAACCAAATGGAGAATTCCATGCATTCCAGCTACACATGGAAATTGAAGAGATAGATTGTTGGAATGGAATGCGCACTCTCGCCCTGGAGGGACGTATCCTGCTTACCTAATTCCCGGAAACTATTAGGCGCAGGTTGGCAAGAGACAAGGCTTGGGGAGCCCAGAGTGTGCGTTGGGGTAACTGCTGGAATCTAACCAGCTAAAACCGCATAACTTGCCAATGATATCGCTGTCTGGTAAGCTCAATTTATAAGAAAAACAAAATACCCCAAAAAGAGTCAACTATGACATGCTGAACAATAATGCCTCTCACAAGAAGTGCCTATATACTATATCGTGCTTTCCCCCCAAATGCACTACACCAATTTAGCTAAATCAAACCATACTTTAAAGATGGTATTTCCAAATGATATTGATAAGTCAGCAAATATTTTCTATTTTAAATTGTCTTATTACAAAATAATTAACAAAGCTGAAAGAAATTATCTTTATGGATACAACAACAGCTTGCATTTAAATAGCACCCTTCACACAGGTAGCATCTCAAAATTAATAATAATAATCTTTGCATTTGATATAGTGCTTTTTCAAATCTTCGAGACGTCTCAAAGCATTTCAGAGAGTATACTGTAAAATGAATTGACTGTATATTTTGTGGGTGAAACGCTGCAGCCAATTGCGCACAGCAGTGCCCCACAAACAGTCGTGGATTGAGTGACCAATTTATATTTTTCCTTAACTTTTAACAGTGGTGTGGTCTGATACTGAGCTGGAAAGAGAGGGTAGGTGACCGAAGGCATGATCGAAGAGGAAAGTCTTCAGGTGTGATTTGCAAACGAGCAAAGAGAGGGCAAGGCTGAGGGATTGAGTCAGGGAGTTCCAGAGAATTGGGGTATAGTGGCTGAAAGCACGTCCACCAATGGTGCAGCGGAGGGGACAAGGCATGTGCTTAAGACCTGAGCCAGTTGAGCAAAGGCTGTGGAGTGGGGTGTGAGCAGTGATGGGGGGTGAAGGATTTGAAAGTGAAAATCTTAAAATCGATCCTTTCTGGAACGGAGTTAGTGGAGCCTAAGAAGAACTGAGGTGATAGAGATGTGGAGCCTGGTATGGGTGAGGACACAGTAGCAGAGATTTATATCATTTGGACTCTGTTTATAGTAGAAATGGGGAGACCAGCGAGGAGTGCATTGGAAAAAAAATCAAGGTAGGAGGTGATGAAAGCATGAATAAAGATTTCAGCAGCGTTTGAAGTAAGATAGGGTTGAAGGTGGGCGATGTGGCAAAGGTGGAAGAAGGCATGTTGAGAGCAATGTGAGAGTGTATTTGTTGTGCAATTTAAACCTTCACAATTTAGTGATAACAATTAATTGAGCTATTTCTGTGAATTTTAATGGAATAAATGAATGAGACAATAAACAAAATACATATATTTTTCATACCTCACTAAACTGTGTGTGCACACAATGAACTCTGGTTTAGAGTTCCATTGGTGATAGGTAATGTAGTAGTGGGTTTGAAGCCAGATCCACTGTTGTCCTTTCGTCAGGAACCGGTAACAGCAGGACTTTCCTTTACCAAACTGCATTACTGTAGAAATGAAAAAGCATCCATCATGTTTTCATAAAAAATGTATGCAAATAGAAGACACAGTTTTATAATTCAACACAATCACTTAACAAACCTCACTTTGGGTCGCTGGAAGAATTTAGCCTAGCAATGAAAAAATAACACATGCTTAAAATTTCAAGAAACAAAAAATATTACTGTAATATATTACAAAAATATTTTAATAAAAGCTGACATTGCATTTCTTTAGCCTTTCCTAGTTTCCCTTTTATTTCCACTATGTCAACTTTGATTTCATATTATTTCTTCCTTACGCTGTCTAATTCTGATTTACTTAGTTTGTGTTTAGAATCAAATTGACATCTTCCTGTCCCTGGTTAGACCTAACCTTCATTTCTGAGCTGGTGCCCACATTTTAGTAATCTGACTCCAAAAGCTGCTTCTTCATTGCAATTTAATTTGGTCATGTCAGTAAAATGACCAAATCAAACTTTGATGATATTTGTAAAGTGACTCAGAATCTTTAAGCATCCAATGAGTTTTCCCATTGACAGACTAGGCCAGTAAGCGCTTTCAAAGTGAATTATCTCATCGGTGGCATTTATGGATTAAGATGGATTTATTGTGAATATTGCAGGCAATATTAGACAATATGCACTGCAGTATCTCATTTGCTTCATGCTGTTTGTTTCACGTCGCCCACGCTATCTGCCGCACTGCTGGTAAGTGGGCTTTCAGTAATTCTGCTCCCATTCTCTGGAACTCCATTCTGGAGTCTTTTCAACTCACCCTCTCCCGCCCCACTTTTAAGGTCTCAAAACATCCTCTTTGACCACCCTTTCAGGCATCTTTCCCCTCCTCACCCTCTTAAGCTCCCACCACCTGGCTCAGGTGTTCACCCAGCAGTGTACTTTTTTTTCATGTTCTCTCAATGTGAAAAGTTCTATATGAATGTAAGTTGTATTGTATTTGTGACTTCTGTTTGTGCCAGAAATACACAAATTGGTAATAAATTTGCTTTTTAAAACCCTCAACAATTACAAACATCTCCAAAAGCTGTTTTGAGGCATTCTTTGGCTTTCTGACCTTTTCTCAGCCTTTAAGTCTTTTAAAATAATGTAGACCATTTTATCTGTTAGCTGTTTTATCTTGTACTGAACAGTAGAACCAGAGGACATGGCCTGTGATTGAAGGGGGTAAATTCAGAACAAATCTTCAGAAACACTACTTCAGTGACCAAGCAGTAAACCTATGGAACAGGCTCCCTATGGAGACAATGGAAGCAGAAAATGTTTGTTTCAAGAGCAAGTTAGACAGATTTCTGCTAGAAAATAATATCTTGGGATACAGTGTATAGTTTGGGACATGACATGTCAAACGACTGCCAGGATGGTGGAAGGCAAACTAGGTGGACCTTGGTCTTCTTTCGCCTCGCAATTTCTTATGTTCTTAAATATTGTATATTTTACAATGTAGAGCAGCGAAAAGTAAGCATAAGGTAAATCTATTCAAATTGGTCTGTATTTCCAGATCTTTGGAAATTTCAAATCTTACAACAAATTGCAGACTTCATCTGTTCCCATCCTCTAGCTCCCACCTCCAGCACCCAACCAGCATTGTTAAGCACTTTTGACATGAAAGTTGCTATATAAATGTAAATTGCACCGTATTGTGTCCAACATATGGAACACAAATGCAAACAATTCTTTGATTGCTTTTGTAGTTTTAAAAGTGTACTGTTTTTAAGGTTACAGATTTTACCTGCATTACTGACTGATTTGCCCTAAATAATTGGAATCATCAAAGTGTTTTAGAGCAGTGGTGGAGCCAGTGGGGGTCAGGGAGGTTAATGATTCCACTCAATCGCTTCGAGATTGGCCAAAGTTGGCAATATCTGACTCACGTACCTGTACTTTTTCACAATTGGGTTATTGTTTTCATTCCTTTATTGACTAGCTGAATGACTAGTTAATGCTAATCAAATGCTAATCAAAGGCTAGGCATTGCCCACGGCATTGACTGATTGAGTCTGGCAAAGGGATAGAATCAAGTTTGCTAAATCCTTGACCTCCCCCATCCTTCGACCCTAGATCCGCCCCTGTCTTAGAGTCCATTATATTTCTCTATGATACGTACACTGTTCGTGGCACCTTGCAAGCTGATCCAGGTCATCCACGTGGTAATAATCATAACCAGAAGTGCCCAGGACTTCAAAAGGCAAGTAACCTATGATTGGTGGAGCCCTGTGGTTAGAAAAAGTGTGTGATTACAAATAGCAATTAACAGTAGGGTGCACCTGCAAGTAAAAGGGGTGAGGAGAATTGAGGTTACTTTCAACTGGACTTGTAAACAACAGGGTTCATTATACGACAACTCGGAATTGGATCTGGTAAAAATTTCCACAAAGCACAATCTCAGGTATTTCTATGAGCATTGCAGGTATGTAGATGAATTTACAAGGTTAAGGAAAATGTGCACAGGTCTCTTCTGACACTCACACGTACATTTTTGTTTAAAAAGCCTGTTGAAAAAAAGTCAAAACCCAATATTCAAAGCGTTTGAAGCCATTCCATGTTTTTGTTGGCAGTGATTGCCGGATAGTTCAAACAGAGCAGCTCTGCAGCATCTCAAGGCTGCTGTGTCAGAAAGGGCTAAGCAGGACAGGAGTACAAAAACAGATATCCTGTATGTGCAGACTGACAGAACAAAGCACTTTGAGATATCTCAACGACGTTATACGGCGCTATATCAACTGCAAGGATTATTTACATATATTATTATTATATTGTCATTTAAAATGCAGCACCAATACAAAATCACTTTCAGTCTTTTTTTAATATTAGGTAACAAGTCAGTAAGGTATGGCAGCAACAATCTGTAAATGTTTTAAGCATTTAATTCTGGCATTTACTAGTAGCAAAAAATTCTGATTTGTAATGGGGTACTGATGGGCAAGTCATACTTCCCACAACTTAATGTCTGCTCAACCAATCAAATAATTCTGTGTAATCCAAGGCATAGTCTGGATGATAACACTGAAATCTAAACAGTCTTTGTAACAGGAGTGAATTCTGATGATAACTGGAAGTTTATTATGTTAATGCATGGAAACTGGTGCACCTGAAGTAAATCACAAGATTTCCATTGGTCAGATTTTAGTTATCCAAGTAAAATCATCCTATTAGGACACTGACAGGTTTGAATATACATTTACACTTCCAAGTCTGCCTTGAACTACAATGAACCTGTCTGGCTCTGTTAGTTGCCAGTTCACCACTGTTAAAAGGCCAATTTACCTCCACATCCCAATGACACATTTTAGACAAGAAAGTCATTTTATTGACCTCAAAAAGGTGATGGGCTGAGTGGATCCATGGGATACAAAAACCCGAACCTTCTAGTCCCAAATCCTCAACCAATTAAGCCATTTGGGATATTTTTTCAATCTGTATACAATACAAAATCAATTGCCAGAACTTTAATTCCGAATTATAGACACAAAATTTTTTTTAAAAATAAATATCTCATACAACAGTGCATTTTCTGACATCAAGTAGAAGAATGTTAATGCTGGGAAATTGAACACTTTCTCATTCTTGACATGCTGTGCATCAAATGCTTCCAGGTCAGGTATATCACTGTGAAATGCTTCCTCTAAAGTAACCAATTAGGGTGTTCCAACTTGGAGTGTCCCTACTAAATTAATGTAAGCTTTTTATTTGTACAGCAGGTACACACACGGTAGCTGCTCTGACTATGACTGCAAATTAAATGCTAAATTAAGGATAGTTTGTGCTTGTACACTTGGAACTGTATTGCAATTGTTTCTTCTGGTAGTAATATGTGAATAAAGCACAAAAGCCAAAAATGGATGTAGCGGTACTTTTACATTTTCTTTTCTTGGGTGAATTGACTGAACGGATGACAAAAATGAACCTTATTGCATATGTCTGGAACTCATTACTGACCATCTGTGCACTACATTAACAGAGAGGAAGAAAATTGCCAATAACACTTTTTTTTCTAATAATAATCCTTGCATTTGATATAGCGCTTTTCACATCTTCTAGACGTCTCAAAGCGCTTCACAGAATATACTGTAAAGTGAATTTACTGTATATTTGAGGGTGAAATGTGGCAGCCAATTGCGCACAGCAATGTCCCACAAACAGTCGTGGATTGAGTGACCAAATTATTATTGTTATTTTTGGAAGGATTATTATCCCCAGGAAAGCGATCCCCCATTGGACTAACAACCGGGTTCCTACTTACTGCTAGGTAAACAGAGGCGTGTGGGGCAAAGAAACTTCCCCAACATTTTGCTCTGCCAGGAATCGAACCCAAGTCACTTGCTTGCGAGGCGAGCGCTCTAACCACTGAGCTACAAGATGTACTATTTACATTATGCATGAGAAATATAATTTGGCCTCCAGGTTATACACCATTGTTCTTGCACCATCAGTTACCATCAGCTTTCTATGAACTGAGTTTCCTATGTTTGTTTGGCCCTCATTTAATAGAAATGTTTTCCACAATGCTGAACCTGCATTGGAGGCACTGAGAAAGTGATGGTTGGGCAGAAAATATATCTAACAAAAACCATCCAACTTCCTACTGACCCACTGAAATTAGGCTGCAACATACGTGGACTTAATATTTGGATTAGATATTCAGCAATATGTAAATATACAAAGAAAAGAAAATGTGCCCATGCAAATAATATAATTGAATGTTATTTTTCCTTGAATGAGTTCAACAAGAACAAATAGTTTCCAGACTGTTTTGCCAGACCCGGTTTGTCCAATAGTACATTGGTTAGTTCTAAATATTACATTTCTTTTTTTAAAAAAAAGATCTCACTGACCTGTGATCCAGAAATAAAAATTTCCACTCCAAGCTATGTCTTGAAGTAAATTCTTCTAAAGGTTCTTCAATTATGCACATATCCTGTGTAAAATAAATCACTGTAAATACATCACTGTATGAACACTAAAAGTGGCAGTATTTTACCATAGGCTACCTTTTAATTCTATATTTTAATAGCTAAAGTACAAAATTCACACTAAATATGAAACTTTAAAAATATAAAAATCTATTATAAAGTTAATTATTTTTCATATACTAATAACTTGCATTTATATAGTGCTCTTTATGCGGGGTAACGTTTCGGAGAACTTAACAGTGGTGGAGCTTGATACAGTTATCGCACCCATGTGGCTTACAGTTTAACATTGTATTCCCCTGAGCTTGGTTTGTAGAAACGAATATGCAGCAATACAAATAATGTTTTTTTTAAACTCTGCATGTGACGATCGTACTGCTATTAAATATGATTGTTACATTTCGCTCATCTGGCTCTGGCCTTCTGCACCTCTCTCGTTCTCTCTACTCCACCATTGATGGTCGTGCATTCAACCATCACGCCCCCAAACCCTGAAACTCTCTGCTTCAATCCCTCTGCCTTGCTCCTCTTTGCCCATTTTCAGATTGCACTTGAAGTACTTAGTCTTCTTTGACTGCACTTAGTCGCCTATCTTAGAGTGCGGGTTTCCTGTGGATCACACACAAACTGGAAGATTGCATACCCAGCTTCTACTGCTGGGTTTTGATGGTTTTGTGTGCCAAAAGTTGGCTGATTTGCATTGCACACAGTCTGTTATGCACAGGAAAGGTAACATCACTTATTCCATGTTGCCTACATTTGATGCTCGTGCATGATGCCAGGAACAACCCGATGGCCTAGAAACCAGCCATTTTTTCACCATTTTGCTTATAACACAATCAATGAGACATGGAGCCACCCAATCATGTTAGCGAGGTCCCCTGTATATAGTTTTTAATGATCATTCATGCTGCACCTTGGTCAAGTCTATGGCCCATGCTTGAGTAGCATTGAAACCAGTTCCTCTGCTCTGACACCGCGTTCCCTGATTACCATTCAAAAAGATCAACACAAGATGAAAAAAAATCTGAATGCTTAAAGAGTTGTAACATAAATTCAAACTGAATATTGCATCTACCTTTATAAACTGAGGTGTTGCTAGCCGAACAGTAGCTACAAAACACATCTGTTCATTTAGTGCTGATTGAAATGTCCTTTGGACAGCACCTTCGAAGCCATTACAAGACGAACTAGGCACTGAAATCAGAAGAACAAGGTGCATTCATATCTCACGGTCCTAGCAAAGTGTAGTAATAATTGCAGAATGTGGATTACTTTACTGAGAATCATTTAATTGAACTTAGCAGAAACGTTATGGCTGGGAGAAAGTAAAAGTAGGAAAGGGAAGAAAAACAATCACAGTGTTTGGAAACACAGCATTTTGATTGACTCCCTGACTACTCAAACCTGGTTGAGAATTTTTAAGATACATTGAAATTACCCAATCACACCATGCTGTAAATTATGACTCAGTGTCACCAAATCACCCAACCACCCTCCCACCACGACTACTATTCAGTATATCAGCAGCATTGGTAAACTATTTCAAATCCGAGCAATATATTTTAAACCTTACTGAAAGGTTCAAAACAGAATGAGTCAAACGGTAGCTGAAACTGCCCAGATAGTAACAATAGATTCAGTCTTTACTGTACTCAAGAAATGATGACAGTAGATTACTTGAAAGGCTCAACTTGAGACTCTCTATCGCATATTCAATTCCCAGTATTTTATAGGCAAGCACCCACACTTCATTCATTATTTATTTCATCCAACTCCCTTTAAACACAAGACTAGAATGGTTAAGATCACAATTTTTTCTACAACATTTGACAAGAATGAATAAAATTCTTTGCAACTGATCACTAAATCAATGTAACCATCATCAATCATTTAGGACCTTTTTTAATATTATAAAAACTCCTGGGGTTTTGATTTATTTGAATTGTTTTTTAATATTTCATTTTAGTCTGTGATGAACTGTATTAATAAGATTAAATAAACTGGAATATTGGATGTTGAAGTGAGTTTACCCAGGAAAACAAAAGCTAATTACAGTTTAATACTGCCAATGGAAAACAGCAAATATAAACTTCACAAACTTGTAAACCTCAGATTGTTCATCACACTATTCATAGGATATGCTGGCAATTTTTTCCCAATTTTATGTTTCATGAAATTATATTTAGCAGTTGAGAGGCATTTTCAAATATAAATATATATATGATCAAATATAAATGTTTGATTTATATTTAGTATTAAATTCCTGATTTATTCCCTTGTAAATACACTCCAGGAACAGTCAGGATGTAAACTTAACAAATTATTTTATGCAGCTCTTACAATAAAATTAGACTGTAAATAAAAAAGGTTTGATTTACATACATCAGAATATATGAATCGATAAGACATACTACCTTTCTTTGCCCCCAGCCAGCATATAGCATATATACTATCCAGAACTCTGCAGCCTGTGTCCTTTCCTGCACCAGGCTCAGTAAGCCTATCAGCCCCATTCTTGTTTGGCCCCATTGGCTCCCCATCCTCCAGCAGATCGAGTTCAAGATGCTCGTTCTCTGCTCCAAATCCCTTCATGGTTTTGGCCCACCCTACCTCTGCAACCTCCTCAAATCCTACTGACCAGGCTGCTCCATTTGCCCAGTGAGCACCAGAATGCTTCATTTCTCCTGCCCTATCTCCCCTACCATTGGAGTCCTGCAGCTCAGTGGTTAGTGCACTTGCCTCGCACGCGAGAGACCTGAGTTCAATTCCTGGTAGGGTGAAACGTTGGGCAAGTTTCCTTACTCCACATGCCTCTGATTTTCTAGCAGCGAGTAGGAACCCATTTGCTAGTCGATTAGCAGACCGCTTTTCCGGGAGTAATAATTCCTCCAAAAAAATAAATAATAATAAATTGGTCACTCAATCCATGACTGTTTGTGGGACTGCTGTGCATAATTGGTTGCTATGTTTTGCCCACAAAATATACAGTGAATTCATTTTACTATATATTCTGTGAGGCGCTTTGAGACATCTCGAAGACATGATAAGGTGCTCCATTAAATTCAAGGATTATTATTATTATTACCATCCACAGGCCGGTTGGCATCCCTTTTGCCCCACTCTCTGGAACTCCATCCCAGAAACCCTCTAACTCCCTCCCTCCCAACAGCCCTCTCCTTCCTTCCCTCCCTTCCCGACCAAGGTCCGTCTCAAGAGCTACTTTTTTAACCGTGCTTTGGGTCATCGTTCCTCTCCCCACCCCCTTCGTTTCCCATTCCCCACTTGGGTCCTAGCAAGTTCTGTTAAGCTTGTTGGGATTTCTCCTTGATGTAAAAGGTGCTTGAAATTGTAAATCTGTATTGTATATAGTATAAAACCATTTCATTCAGGTTTCCATAATTTCAAAGTAGTATCAAGCTGAGGTGGAGAGACTTAGATTGAAAGCATTGAGATGTTCCAATTATTCCTGCTACCTCAACCAGTTGTTGCCTTATTTACTAAAGCTTTTTATTTTTGACATATACGCAGTTATTCAGAAAATGTAATAATAATAATCCTTGCATTTAACATAGCACTTTTCATGTCTTCTAGATGTCTCAAAGCACTTCACACAAGATACTTTAAAGTGAATTGACAGTATATTTTGTGGGTAAAACCCAGCAGCCTATTGTGCACAGCAGTGTCCCACAGTCGTGGAATTGAGTGACCAAATTTTGTTTGTAACATGAAACACGGATAGAAGATTGTTATGCACAATAATTCTCTGCATTCTAAGTAGAAATATGTAGAATACTCCACAAGAGTTTGTTATTTTTGTCCTCTCAGTCATAGTTCGCCAAGTAAAGTTACAACTTTGCGACCTTTTTTCATTTCGTCAATATACAAAGGATGCAAAGGATGCAATATACAAAGGATGCAGAAAACCAAAAGTAGATTTGATTTTCTAAGATTGAGAAAATAGTCATATTTCGGTTAGGTAAACCCCAACAACAGGATGAAATAGCCTGAGATGCTTAGTTCATTGGTGAACCTGGAAATGTTATACATAATGCAAAATAAGTCCTCTACAAACCTTTATTTAAAAAACATATTTCATTAGTCATTATCTCAACATTGCTCATATTTTATAATCATTTCCTTAGTAATATTTAGATGAGATGTATCTTATTATATTGCACTTCTATTATAATGCACTTTTTTATAACATGCATTTGGTTATAATTTGTTGTCGGTGTGAACCACACTGTCTGCAGATTCGCACAACAACAACAACAACAAGATTCCATTTATAGAGCGCCTTTCATGTCGGGAGGACGTCCCAAGGCGCTGTACAGTTGGGTCAGGACCTGAGCAGGGGGGAAATGGTCAGGGTGAGGGGAGGGAAGGGAGGGAGCGAGGAGGGGGTAGAGAGTCGAGAGGAGAGCTGAAGGCACAGTCAAGGAGAAAGGTCTTGAAACCGGCCTTGAAGGAGGAAAGGGAGGAGGCGGCGAAGGCACTGGGGGATGGAGTTCCAGAGTCTAGGGGCTGGGAGGCTGAAGGCCCGGCCACTGATGGTAGGGCGGTTGGGGCGGGGGATGTGGAGCAGACCGGAGCCAGAGGAACGGAGGGTACGGGTAGGTAGGGGGATAGTAGGTCGGAGAGGTAGGAGGGAGCAAGGCCGTGAATGGCCTTGTAGGTGAGGATGAGGATCTTGAAATCGATCCTCTGGGGGATGGGGAGCCAGTGGAGGCGAGCGAGGGTGGGAGTGATGTGGTCGCGATGCCTGGTGCGGGACAGTACACGAGCTGCAGAGTTCTGAATGACCTGTAGCTTGTGGAGGGAGGTGCCGGAAGGCCGGCGAGGAGAGAGTTCCCATAGTCCAGCGTTGAGGTGATAAAGGCGTGGACCAGGGTTTCAGCAGTGTGAGGGGTGAGGTAGGGCCGTAGTCTGGCGATGTTCCGGAGGTGATGGAAGGCGGTGCCAGTTGTGGTGCGGATATGAGGGAGAAAGGACAGCTCAGGGTCGAAGAGAACACCAAGGTTCCTGACAAGCCTGCACACCAGGCAGTTTTTGCACTAAAACAGGCAACTCCATATCATTAGGTCACTGCCAACTTCACTTTTTGTTTTGATGTATAATGCAGAGAGTGTATGGATGACAACCATTGCATTACAGTGATCTCCACTATATAGGATTTCAAAATGGACTATTTTGTAATCCATGGCTCTCTTCAAGTTTTGTTTTAAAAATGCAAAGGTAAGACATTCAGCATTTTGTGTATGCATCACTTAAACCAATGTCCGCCTTTGATGAAATTCCTCGTGCATCGCCAATGGTGCTATGCCTAACATTGAATGGAACTTTTCCCAACAAGAGGTAAGTATGATTCATTAGAACAACAGTTAATAATGCACTGTTTAAAATCTGTAAAAATACGCCTTTTTTTGCATGCTAAGCTTTGCTGCATTCCTTCACGGGTTGATAGGTTCTCTTAATAAAACAAGCACACATTTTGGGAGTTTTGTCAATTCAAAAGGAATAGATTTTGATGCATTTTCCTACAAGGAAAAAATTGCAGGGCTATGGGGTAAGAACGGGGAGTAGGAATAGTTGTATATCAAAGAGCCGGCACAGGCACCATGAGCCAAATGGCCTCCTTCTGTCCTGTAAGATTCTATGATTCTGTTTGGATTTATAAGTATCAAAAATACCACCAAAACAATGAGGCACTGGTAGTAGGTTTTCAAAGTCAACTGCTTAATAGAAATGCACGTGTATGCTTCAAAGGAAATAAGGAATTAAATACTTTTTTTTCTAAAGAAAAAGTCAGCCATAACAACTTTCCTTCTTGGCATTTGCACGTTCACTTCTCAGTGTCAGTATTGCCTCTGTATGCTGAGTTTCCAAAGAGACATTTCAAGAGAACTTCCAATGACGTTGACCTATTTGGAACATGCTGACCTATTTGGAACCTCTCCAGATATTTCTGCAAATCTGTTCAAGCAGATATTCCAGACAAACAGACTCCAACAGTCCAATAAAACAGGGAGACGCCTTTTCTGGCACAAAGCTACTTTTGGCGAACTTTAATTTATAGGTCGAGCTTATTTAAGATAATAAAGAATAAAGTCCATCTGTGTAAAAAAAATCCTTGCTCAAATACGCCCACGTTTCCATCTGCTGAGATGACATACAATCATTTCTAAGAAAGTATTAATAATTAAACGTGTTGCACTTAAATAAAGTCTCTGCACTATACCCACACGGGCATGCACAACATTGCAAAAACATAACCCAGCATCACCCAGGGATAACAGTTTTCTGGTCCTAGCTGTTGGATAGTTGTTTTGCCATAAGGACAAAGGTAGATCTAGTTTCTCCAGGCTGGTTTCACACACCTCACCAACAAAAGCTTGCATTTATTTATATAGTGCCCTTTATGGAGGATACCATCCTGGAGAGCTTCACGATGGCGGAGTCTGAACAAGCCAGAGGGAGGGGGGAGGTGACCATAAGCACGATCAAAAGGAAAAATCTTTAGGTGGGATTTGAAGGTGGGGAGGGAGGGGGCAAGGTGGAGGGAATGAGGGAGAGAGTTCCAGAGTTTCGGGAAGTAGTGACTGAAGCCCCGGCCACCGATGGTGGAGCAGAGGGCTCAAGGGACAAATAGAAGGCTGGAGCCAGCTGAGTGGAGGTAACAGGTGGTGGAGTAGGGGGTAAGCAGGTGGGATAGGTAGGGAGGTGTGAGGGAATGAAGTGATTTGAAAACATGTGAGAGGATCTTGAAATTGTGATTGGGAGCCAGTGGAACCTCACAAATGGCCAGTCTCAGAACACTGGCAGAAACATATGAGTTGGTGAATAGCACACAATCTCAGAATGAATGTTGGCTTGAAAAAATAACCAAAGGGGAAATGGTGCTCTATCCATTAACTCACTAGATCATACAGTGCCTTTTACATCGGGAGCATGTCCCAAGGCGCTGGACAGTCAAGGGTTTGTACCTGAGCTGCAGGCTATCTCCCCAAGCCCTCACATTTTGTTTACCAGCCATTTTTCACACTGGAGCCTTTTTTTTGGAAGGATTATTATCCCCAGTAAGCGATCTGCCAATCGACTAACAACCAGGTTCCTACATACTACTAGGTAAACAGAGGTGTGTGGAGTAAAGAAACTTGCCTAAGGTTTCGCCCCATCTGGGAAACAAACCCAGATTCTTCACTACGGAACTCCACATTAGATTACCAATGATGCCAATAGACCCAGTGGACACTTTTGCAGATGAATACAAATCTCAAGCATTGCTCTCTTTACATAGCAATCTACAAATAGAAACACTTACCATTGTCATAAGACTGAAAATTCCCAACAAATCGTAAATATTCATAAGTAGGCGGTTCCTCTGGGTCCAAAATCCCTCGAAGCAGATGGCAACAAAACTCAAAGTAATTCTCAGCTGTAAATAAAAAAAATCAAGATTTGTCATTGTATCTATTAAAATGTCCATATAAATAAGGTTTCTTCAGATGATTAGAAAAATGTTCTGATGGCAATGTAAGTCAGTGTGCTAATATGCTACATGCACAAAGTAATGTAATTTTGAAATATAACAAAGATTCTCACCAGAGGAATACTACCATAATAGAGATTCCCACCAATCTCTTGTGTATACAAGCAAGGAGGAGAATCTGGCATCTCTGAGGTAGAGAGCTCAGTAAATAGATATAATACCAGAAATAGATTGCTTTGAAGTCTCTTCCACTGGATAGTTATAACATTCCTTGCATTTGATACAGTGCCTTACCTTGTCGTCTAAATGTCTCAAAGTGATTTTACTCTAAATAGGATTTTACTCTAAAATTTGGTAATTGTTTAGGAGGGGTGTTCCACTCCATCTGAAAACTGCTGTCATCACCCCCCTCCTCAAAAAAAAGACCCTCGATCCCTTCAATATCTCTTACTACCATCCCATTTCCAACCTACCCTTCCTTGAGGCCCTGCAGTCTGGTATTCGCCCTGCCCACAGCACAGAGACAGCACTTGTCAAAGTCACAAACAAAGTTCTCTGTATCTGTGACCAGGGCTCCCACTGCCTCCTCATCCTCCTGGATCTCTTTGATAAAGTCAACCACGCCATCCTCCTCCACTGCCTCTCCTCTCTCATCCACCTTATTGGGACCGCACGGTTCGAGTCCTACTTAACTAACTTCATCTCGGCAAATGGTTTCTCCTCCTGCCCCCGCACAGTCACCTGCAGGGTACCCAGGGCTCCATCCTTGGCCGCCTTCTTTTCCTCACCTTTATGCTCCCTCTTGACGATGTCATCTGCAGACATGGAGTAAACTTCCACATGTATGCGGATGACACACAAATCTACTTTGTCTCCTCCAGCATCGACTCCAGGTCCGCCGATGTTCTATCAGCCTGTCTGGCAGACATGAGGGCCTGGGTGAGTGCAAACTTCCTGTAGGTGAATGTAGACAAGACAGAAGCCATACTCTTTGGCTCCCGTCAACGTCTTCACTCCTGTGGATTTGAACGCCTCAACTTCCCTGGGCTCTCCCTCAGACTCACTGAACCAGTGCTCAATCGAGACATCCGGTTCAACCCCCAGCTGTCCTTCCTCCCCGCATCCGGGCCCTGACCAGGACCGCCTTCCTCCATCTCTGCCACATTGCCCGCCTCCGACCATACCTTACCCCAAATGCAGCCAAAACCCTCGTGCATGCGTTTGTCACCTCCCACCTGGATTATTCAAACGTACTCCTCGCAGGTCTCCCCAGCTCCACTATTCAAAAAATCCAGTGAATTCAGAACTCTGCTGCCCCCATACTGACCCGGACCAAACTCAGCTTGTCTCTCGCAATCTCCGCCCCACCACTGGAGGCTCGCTTTCAGTCACTACGCCCCAAAACTATGGACACTCTCCCTCAATCCCTCCGCCTTGCACCCTCTCTCCCCTTTTTTAAGTCCCACCTGTAAACCTTCCTTTTCGACCGCACTTACGGTCACCTCCCCCACTCCCTGGCTTGGAGTCAGGATCCGAAAATGTTAAGCGCTCTGAAACACTACTGGAGGGCGCTATGTAAGTGCAAGTTGTTGTTGTTGATGTTGAATGTATTTGCAGCCAATTTGCACACAGCATTGTCCCCAATACAGCCATGAAATGAATGACCAATTTTATTTGGGGGATCGTTGGCCAGGACATTGGGGGAAACTCCATTTTCTTTGCATATAATGCCATGGAATCTTTTACAGGCAGACAGGACCTTGATTTAACATTTCATCCAAAGCACAGCACCTCCAACAACACAGCACACCTTCAGCATTGCATTAGAGTGTCAGCCTAGACTGTGAGTTCAAAGTCCCAATTAACAGCTTGAACCCACAACCTTCTGACTCAGAAGTGAGAGTGGTACCTATTGAGCTAGGCTGATTCCCAACATCATAGACAGATATAGATGGTGTTAATACTGAAGGGATAAGCTCAGTGTTAAAACTAAAATAATGCTCAAGCCTTTTGATGTACATATAAACTTACAGTTTAAATAGTCTGGCAAAACAGAATCAGTCACTAATGTATGAGAGGACAGCAACTTATATACTTCTCCATGTTCCTGTTCTGGGAGGAAATTTAATAAATTCTGATCGACGATGTCAGACTGGAAGAGAGGAAAAGGCAGAATAAATCAGTTCTGGTGTAATATTATCCCAGCTTAATCATCAATTTAAAGGAGAAAAATGCAGTTAAACCTCATTATGTGTTGATGGCAAGAAGCTCCTGATTATTGAGGACAGCTAGTGTCGCTATCAATATTTATCCTTGTGAGTGTGACAGCATTTTATCTGCAGCATTTTTTTAGAGTGAAGAAATTACAATTATAAATTGAATCCAGTCATTGATTACTCTTTCATATTCTTTATTTTAAATTCAGTTTATTTTTAAAGTGGATCCCGATTCATTAAGTGTTTTTTTTAATGTTGTGAATTATTAGTATTGACCCTTGTGTGAGAACCTGGCTTATTTGCGTTCCGAAAAAATATGATTTTACTCACAGGTAAATGTCCAAGTAGCGGTGTAATGCTATCAGAAACATAAATGATATTTCCATCTGTTGTTACAGCTATGATAAAGCCATCTAATGCCTGTAGGGAAGAGGAAAATACAGTCAGTTTTCTTCAACCAAACTGATTATGCAGAAATGGATAACACTATAATTTTAAAAAAGTTATGAAAGTGATTTTCAGCATATCTAAATAACCTGCAATGTTCCTTGTTGGATACATTTTGGGGCAACTTTTAAAGGTTGGTTGTTAAAATCAGTGTTTGCTCAAACATTCCAAAAGTAACAAATTATGCTTTTTTTGTTAAAACATTTTCTTGACACTATCAAAGTATAAAGAATACTTACATTTTGCAATGTAGTTACAAGTAACATTTAATGTACTATGTATAATAAGGAAAGAACGCATAAAAAACACTGTCAAATTAGTGGCACAGAGAACTCTGACATGGTCCCCTAGACAAGAGCACAACACTGTGTGACAAAGCGCCCTAGACTAGAGCAAACACTGTCTGACATGGTGCCCTAGACTGGAGCACAACACTGTGTGATATAATGCCCTGGAGCACGAACGTGCAATCCGCTGAGCGGTGAGACATGACCTACTCATGAACTTCTGCACGTTAGGATCCTGGAGTCCAAATTCTACCAGGTCTTAGCCTGTAACACAATAGTTAAGATGACACAGTCTCATTTGGAAGCCAGTTCTCTAGGAATTGCAGAAAACTGCCTTCCAAAGTAAAACTGTGTTTAGGGAATTGTCCACAATACACCCGATTCCCAAGATTAAAACACAGGACAGGAAATTGCGACCCATCATTCATCATTGTCAAATTAATACTCTGTTGAAAAATGTAGACAAGTGTCTTAATTATGGATTCTTTTACAGATGTACACCCCTCCCCCCCCAATTCCATCAGAATCCTTGGGCCCTAAGATGGCTACTTCACTAAGTGCACTGCTTGTCCACTGCAAACAGATAGTAAGATAGCAGCTTAGTATGGGACATTGCTGTGAGCAAATTGTCTGCTGCGTTTGCCTACAAAATACATTCATTAGACTTTACAGTAAATCCTGTGAGGCACTTTGAGTTGTCCTCATGTTGTGAAAGGTGTATGTCAAATCAAATGCAAAGTTTATTATTATTATTCAGCGATGTGTTAAATCACAGGTTGCACCTTTCACCTGACATAGCGCAAAACAAAATCAAATGAGCACCACTCTTAAAGTAGATTTTCATGCAATTACCTCTAACATCAGTTGTGTAAATTCTTCATTGCTCAGAAATGAAGGCTTCCAGTTATGCTGAATAGTATTTGTTTCAGTTTGTGTTGATGTTTCTGGAAAAAGAAAAGAGAATGATTATCTTTCAATTCTGGGGATCTTACTCCAACAACCAGTTTACCCTCTTTGCTGGGGGATACTGCTTTCATATTAAAATCTGAAAAGCATATATATATATATATATATATATGTAATTTGAGTTTATTTTTTAAAAAAGTGACACAAGAAAACATACACTAAGTGAAAGTCAGAGTACACTGATGCAAGTATATTCCCGAACTATAGAAATCAGAAATCAGAAATCCATCCTTTCTTGTTAGGGAAACCTGTCCTTTTAAATAAGACTTTCTAATCTATGAAAAAGCTAAGAGGAAGAGTTGTACATAAAAATTCAAACCACATTTACGCTCAGGAACACAACTGGAATCTGTATTCTAAAAGCAGACAGAGGGCAAAGGACTATTTAAGAGACTGGTTGGGCAGACACAATATTTTACTGGTGGATCAGACCCATTGAAAATGACAGACCTAAATACATTTAAGGTAAAAAAAGCACACATTATGATGAACGTCAAGAAAAAAAATGCCCACAAAGCCGATAGAATAGAATAGAATGTTAAAGAAAATAAGCAAAGTTCTGATTAATATTTTAGGGCATTCATGAATAAAGAGGTTACATATTTCACCCCAGGAGTAAAAGAAGTGTTATACCAATATTAACCTTAAAAAGGCATTACAATACAACAACAACAACAAGATTCCATTTATAGAGCGCCTTTCACGTCGGGAAGACGTCCCAAGGCGCTGTACAGTTGGGTCAGGACCCGAGCAGGGGGGAAATGGTCAGGGTGAGGGGAGGGAAGGGAGGGAGCGAGGAGGGGGTAGAGAGTCGAGAGGGGAGCTGAAGGCACGGTCAAAGAGAAAGGTCTTGAGACCGGCCTTGAAGGAGGAAAGGGAGGAGGCGACGAAGGCACTGGGGGATGGAGTTCCAGAGCCTCGGGGCTGAGAGGCTGAAGGCCCGGCCACCAATGGTAGGGCGGTTAGGGCGGGGGATGTGGAGCAGACCGGAGCCAGAGGAACGGAGGGTACGGGCAGGTAGGTAGGGGGATAGTAGGTCGGAGAGGTAGGAGGGAGCAAGGCCGTGAATGGCCTTGTAGGTGAGGATGAGGATCTTGAAATCAATCCTCTGGGGGATGGGGAGCCAGTGGAGGCGAGCGAGGGTGGGAGTGATGTGATTGCGAAGCCTGGTGCGGGACAGTACACGAGCTGCAGAGTTCTGAATGACCTGCAGCTTGTGGAGGGAGGTGCCGGGAAGGCCGGCGAGGAGAGAGTTCCCATAGTCCAGCGTTGAGGTGATAAAGGCGTGGACTAGAGTTTCAGCAGCGTGAGGGGTAATACAATAATAATACATTTGCTATTAATGCAATTGCAATACCGGTAATAACTTACAGCTTTAGGGTAATCAATTGGATGATGAAATATCTGAAAGTATCTATATTGATAGAAAAACACGGAAACTGTTGACCATTCATGGCCTACATAATATAAAAGCTGATATACAATATATTTATATAGCNAAAAAAGGAGGAAGAAGAGGCCTGATTGAAATTAAAACAGATTGCAAATCAACAATTGGGGATTTGGTTGAAAATATCAGAACAAACCCCAATTTTAAAATGATGGAAACACATGTAAACCAGAAAAATAAATTTTCTATCATTAAAGAAGCAATCAAGACCAAACAAGAATATGACATTCATCAAAAAGAAACAGAAAATAGCTCATCTCAACCAACAAAAATGGCACATGACAAGGAAGTTTTCCTTAAAAAGAAAATGATGTTGTTTAGAAAAAGACGAATGGGAAAAGAAAATCATGCGTGGTCAATTTACAAAAGAAATTAAAGAACAAGGCCAAGATATGAACAAAAGATACAACTCTTTGAACCATGGAGATCTGAAGTCCCAAACAGAAGCTCTCATAATATCAGCACCAATCTATTACAACCCGATATTATGAAAATAAGATCTTAAAGAGAAAAATTGATCCAAAATGTGAATATATCATCAAGCACTAGAAACAGTAGACCACATATTGTCAACATGCCCAGCCCTAGCAAAATCGGAGTCTGATTAAATCTGATTAGACATAATATCATAGCTAAATATATTCACTGGACAATTTGTAAACAATTTGATATAAAATGATATGAACCAAATTGACCAAATGGTATGAACATCAACCAGCAAAAGTGACATTGAGAAACAAGATCACAATAATTTGGGATTCACAAGTACATGTGGAATCTTGTAGCTCAGTGGTTAGAGCGCTCGCCTCGCAAGCGAGACACCTGAGTTTGATTCCAGGCATATGAAATGTTGGGCAACTTTCCTTATTCCACACGCCTCTGTTTACCTAGCAGTAAGTAGGAACCCGATTGTTAGTCGATTGGCAGATTGCTTTTCCGGGGGTAATAATTCCTTCAAAAATAATAATAATGATAAATTGGTCACTTCAATCCATGACTGTTTGTGGGACACTACTGTGCGTAATTGACTGTCGCATTTTGCCTATAAAATAAACAGTCAATTCACTTTACAGTATATTCTGTTAAGCGCTTTGAGACGTCTCAAAGATGTGATAAGGCTCTATATCAAATGCAAGGATTATTATTATTACATTGACAGGACAATTAGCTGTAACAGACCAGATATGATCATAAATAATCAAATGGATTGTACATGTAATAATAATACTTGCATTTGATATAGTGCCTTATCATGTCTTTGAGACGTCTCAAAGCACTTCACAGTATATATATTGTAAAGTGTAGTGACTGTTTATTTTGTGGGCGAATCGTGTAGTATTATTGATGTGGCTATCTCTAGTGGTTACAATGTGAATAATAAGTAACTAGAGAAAATCAGGAAATATATCAATCTATAAATTGAATGCGGACGTGACAATATAAAAGTTTTAGTTTATAAGTAGTTTATAATCATCGTTGCAACTGGAACTGTTAATAACACTATTCAAAAATGGCTTGACAAAATACTTGGTGAACAAAAAATAGCTATTTTAGGAAGCTCAAATATATTAAGAAAGTAACATCCTTTCATATGTAAAGTGTTACTGGTCTGAAAACCATTTAGAACCTACCTCTATAGAATGATTTAAACTGAAATAACATAATAATAGAATAGAATAGTAAACTGAATTGAGGAATTATGGAACTAATTGGTCCAAAATCCGTAGTGGAAAAGGTACCAAAGAATGAATAGAAAAGTGAAAATTTGAAAGAATTTGCAATTTTATACACCTTGTGGCCCTATTTTAACTTACTTTTATATAAATGCAGATTCAGTTAATAATAATCCTTACATTTGGTATAGTGCCTTTCACATCAGGAGTATGTCTCAAAATGCTTCACCGGATTTTACGATAAAGTGGAGTGACTATGTGTTTTTGTGGGAAAAAATGCAGTTATAATGCAGTTGCAAGTGGACTTCATTCACTTGCAACAGCCAGGCCACTCGATTCTCGGGCGCTGGCCAGCTCTCACATTAATGACCAACTTCACTCACCACCAATGTCATTTCCCATTTGTTGCAAATGGGCAACACAGGAAGTGACATTACAACAGTCTGATGACCCAGCAATTGGCCTTATTTAAGTGTGGGAACCGTTGGGCATGTAGGAGAAATAGGCCAGTGAAACTGGCTATTGAGCAGGTTGGATTTTATGAATCGCAACCACTGTGTTCTATAAGACTTCACAGTAGTGATTGTTTATAGGCAGCTGCAGCAGCCATAAGCAGCAGCAAAGTTCCCCACAAACATTACACAAAGACTCACAGAAGTTCACAGGAAAGGTTCAGATAAAGAAGGCTGCTTCGGCTTATTTGAATTCATCCTTCCAGAATAGCCACCCTACCACCCTCCTATAACAGAATCAGTTTCTTAAATGAGTTCAGAGTCCAGGCCTCAACCATCCTTCCTGGTAATCTCACTCAGTCATGAATTGCCTTCTGCATAACATTTTTTTTCTTAGAATCTGACTTGAAATTGCCTTGTGTGCAACTCTGAATATTTGCCCTCTTGTTCTGCTGCCTTGGCATATAGTAAAATATTGTACTCGGTTTAAGTTTCTCAACCCTAATTAAATTTTAGATGCAACTACAAGAATTTGGAAAAACTAAGATAATGGATAAAGAGTCACTAACAATAATACACTTGAATTTTCAATCTATTGGGTAACATTTCACAAGTAAAATATTTGAGGAAGATTAAACCTCATGGAACAAATGGAAAATTATCCCACTAGACTGAAAACTGACGTCCTTATTGTAATTGCATGCTACGAAGTTCTGGTAATTTTCCTGACAAGGTGAAAATCGCTCTCTCTCTCCGGTCACCCCACCCCCCCCCATACCACCCACTGCAATCTGTCCCTCGTATTTCTATTTGTAACTGCATTATTAAACCGTTTATGCTAATTCTATCAAAAACTGGGATTACAGTTTAATTGTTTTTAATAATTCTTGCATTTGGTATAGCACTTTTCATGTTGGGAGGACATTCCATAGCGCTTCACAGGATATATACACAGGATGTACACAGGATAAAGCAGAGTGACTGTGTTTTGTGGGCAAACATAGCAGGCAATTTTGCCAAGTCAATTTTTGATATTTTTCGCAAAGGGAACTGTAAGTTTTGAATTTGCATTGTTAGTGGTTCGTGTTAGCACTAACACACTGCACCCTAATCATCTAACAATAAAACAGTCAGGATATTACAACTTGCACTTTTAGAGATCTTGAATTACGATTACAGGGTGTTATTAAGGGACTTTATTGTATAATTTTCAATTGATACTAGGCAATAAATATTTTTTCCTTGCCAATTCTCTCCCATCACCCCTCCTTTCCTGACAATGCTGTTTCCTCTTTACTTTTACTGTACTGTGGTTATGTTTCCATGGATTTCAGTGACCCTCAGGTTCTTTGAACAAGAGACCATTATTCACTTGTGAGCCTCAATAGTGAGAATTGGCAGGCTATTCCACCACGGGGAGAGAGATGCACAAAATCTGGTTCATATTTCCTTCTTTAGCACAAGGTTCTAAGGCCATTTGAGGCCCGCACACTTCCCACTGCTACCCATAAATCAGCATAAATCGGGGATCGAACCTTGGACATTTACACACTATATAATGACAGGAAAACAAAATAGTGAGCAAAAAAAATCTCACTGAGCCATGAGGGATCAAGTATCAGGGACTCAATTGATTTTTAATTATCTCTAAAAAAATCGCATAACAGACTTAAATACTTTATTCTGAAACGTGCTTTGAATAAGCAACAAATAAGCTAACCATAGTTGTAGTTTAACCATCTACTTTAAATCACTGATCACGGTCTGCTCTAATGGAACTGCAGTCGAGAAAAATAGAAAATTGGCAATGTGCTAGAAATTTGAATGAATCACCAAAAGGATAAAAATCTTTTTATAAACATTTTTAACTTTGCAAAATTTTCCTTTTTGTTCTTGAACACCTCCTTTTTTAGGGCAGGGACTCATTTTGCATTTGTATTGCTGGGAGACAAGTACAGAGTTATGTGTGTAGCGGGAAGCCTGAACCTGACTGGAATGGGTTGAGGCCAGGATGTTGGACTCATTTAAGAAATAGCTTGATAGCGTGATGAGATATTGGGATGGGAATTATAGAAATAATGAGATCAAATACCACAACTGTGAAGCTGTCTTGACAAATGTCAAAGTATTATAGCGCTTCTCAATTTCTTGCCGAGGTTTCCATTCTTTAGCAGGAGTGGTCATCAACAGGCTATTTGCAACTCTACAAGCGTTTTTTCTCTCTCTCAGTCAGTGCTGCTGAAGCTAACTGTAGGTCACATCACTTCTCTGGGTAAAATTACATAACTCTACAGACCCAGGACTGTAGAGCGGCGCCAGGACAGCGCGGGGAGGAGCCTGGGCCTACCTCTCAGGTATTTAACCTCGACGCGGGAGGGAGTCCAGCCAGACAGGGTGTGCAGCGTGTGGGGCTGAGGAGGGAATGGGTGGGGGCGGAGCGGGGGAACCGCTGACGTCATAGTTGTAGTTTTCAGAAGTGTGCGCGCGCAACAACAAAAAAAAAAAATCCTCTGCGCCCCCCCCCCCACCCAGGGCTCAGAGCCCACCATGGTCCTGTTAGGTTGGCTGCCCATGGGATAATGTGTCCATCCACCTGACCGCTCGCTCTCGGTCCCCGCGTGCGCAATATGGCTGCCGCTATGACCCGAGCCCCCTCACCCCCTCCCTCCCTCCTTCCTCCCTCCTCTCTACCCCCAAACCCTCCCCCTTCTGCATCTCTCCCGCTCTCTCCTCCTCTCTCTCCGTCCCTTTCGCCTTCTTTCCCCACTTGACCCTCCCACAACCTCCCTCTGTTCCAGCCTGGGAATCCTCCGCTGGGCTCACCGTGGCACTCGGCGTTGGCTGTCCAGCAGCAGCCACACCGACTGCCCCATTCCCCACCACACTCGCCAGCCACCCCGGACACAGACCCGGGGAGCCAACCTCTCCTCCCTTATCCCCATTTCCCCCACCCCTGTCTCACAATCTGGACCCCCCTCGCCCCCCCACACACCCTTCTGTCAACCGCTCCATCCACATCGGACTACAAAATGTCTGCTCCCTCTGTAACAAGGCCCTGGTCATCAACGATCTCATCCTTGATGAGAACGTTGATATCATGGTCTTAACGGAAACCTGGCTCACCCCAGGCGACACCTTCCCCCTCACGGAGGCCACACCACCCGGCTGCACCTCCCACCACATCCCTCGCCCCAACCGCCGTGGCGGTGGTGTTGCCCTTATCTCAAGGACACCACTTGTCCTATCCCCCTACTCCTCTGGCTCTTTCCTGAGCTGTCCTTTCTCCCTCATATCCGCGCCACAACTGGCACCGCCTTCCATCACCTCCGGAACATCGCCAGACTACGGCACTACCTCACCCCTCACGCTGCTGAAACTCTGGTCCACGCCTTTATCACCTCAAGGCTGGACTATGGGAACTCTCTCCTCGCCGGCCTTCCCGGCACCTCCCTCCACAAGCTGCAGGTCATTCAGAACTCTGCAGCTCGTGTACTGTCCCGCACCAGGCTTCGGGAACACATCACTCCCACCCTCGCTCGCCTCCACTGGCTCCCCATCCCCCAGAGGATCAAATTCAAGATCCTCACCCTCACCTACAAGGCCATTCACGGCCTTGCTCCCTCCTACCTCTCCGACCTACTATCCCCCTACCTACCCGCCCGTACCCTCCGTTCCTCTGGCTCCGGTCTGCTCCACATCCCCCGCCCCAACCGCCCTACCATCAGTGGCCGGGCCTTCAGCCTCTCAGCCCCGAGGCTCTGGAACTCTATCCCCCAGTGCCTTCACCGCCTCCTCCCTTTCCTCATTCAAGGCCGGTCTCAAGACCTTTCTCTTTGACCGTGCCTTCAGCTCCCCTCTCGACTCTCTACCCCCTCCTCGCTCCCTCCCTTCCCTCCCCTCACCCTGACCATTTCCCCCCTGCTCGGGTCCTGACCCAACTGTACAGCGCCTTGGGACGTCCTCCCGACGTGAAAGGCGCTCAATAAATGGAATCTTGTTGTTGTTAAACTATAACAATTCTAAGCTGCATAAATCATAAATCACAAAACAGGATTCATTTAATCACTGAACCATACATTGGGGACTCCACTTCCCAAGTGTTTAAGTACAAGCATGAATCACATTTCTTGGTGTGTTTTACCTTACCATTGTGCTTTTGTAGAAAGTCGATGGTCTTCAGTAACACTGTAGATTTGTCCATCTTACGGATACTTCCTGGAAGCATGGAACTAAGTTCCTTGATGAGGACATTGAACTGATCTCGTCTCTTTTTCTCAGACTTGTTACGTGAAGCCCTAAATTAAAATAACATATTTTAATCTAGAATGTCAGCTAGAGCACAGGTCAGTATGTATGATCCAATAAATAACTAACGAGAACATTAGTTCTCCAGCTCTCACATTTTTTTAAAATAATGTTGGGTTGGAAGACATCTGATCATCACACAAGATTGGTTTGGATGAAGACCTTCAGTCCATCTGATCTCATCCATCCACAATACTCAGCCTACCATCAGAGTATCAAGCTGCTTTTTAAATGAGTCCAGTGTCCTGCCCTCAACCACCCTTCCTGCCAACCTGTTCGTTAATTACTGTCTGAGTAAAGAAAAACATCCTGGTATCTGTCCTAAAGTTGTCCTTTGCAATTCTAAACTTCGTGTTGACAGATGGAATGTCAAACAATCTTCAAGCCAGTTAGGTGCTCACTCATCTAACTGAAGGTCACCTGGAACAGATTCTGCTGCATTCTGCACCATCAACACAATGGTTTGCAGCTGAATCCTACAGTGGGCTGTCTCACAGTTGAGCTGCTGCTAAAGAACCTATGTATATAGACACACAAGTGAAATATTTGTGATGGAATACAGGAAATAAATAATCCACTGTGGATTTGCTGAAAGTTTTTTCTATAGAAATGAAAAAAATTACCTCCTAAATCATCCTAATATACAAAAAGACAGTGTACAAGAGATTAGGCAAAGCTTACAGTGTATCCTGCGAAATGCTTTGGGATGTCCTTCTGGGGTGAAAGGCCCTATACAAATGTATTTTTATTTTAAATACAAGTTGTTGTTGTAAATGTTAAGAATGATTCTATAGATGTGAAACTGACAACTTGTTTTGTTGTGAAGAGATATTAAACCTTTTGATAACTTTTTAATTACAAATCTGTAGTTGCTAGCAATAGCAAGCGGAGGAGAGTTTTCTAGAGAATTTCTTCTGTCAACTTTTGTAGTCATCAGACGATTATCCCCAGCACAGATCTGATGTTATTAGGATGCTAAAGAGCTGAGTATTTATAATGGAACAAAGTCTTGTAACCTTGCAAAGTAGATATAAGTGGGAAATATCAGTTAATTCTATTTTAAGGGTAATTGATTTAGCCTTCTCAATGCCGAAGATATCATCATTTATCTCCCATTGTCCACATCTCTTATCTGTCTGCGATCCAGTTTGCAGCTTGATTTTCAGATGGTGAAGTAACCAATCAGCAGAGGGAAATGACAAAAAAAGCATAGAATCAATATTTTGTGGATAGGTACAATTTTTGCCTTTTTCCATTTGAAAATCACAATTTTGGATGCATATTAGCCACTTTCCACCTATCCTTTATGCTGATGAATATCACTTAGCTTCCATGTCTAATAAGCTGATAATTGGGTATTTCATGGCAAGACTTGGTATAGAAGTAACTGGCCTGTTACTTCCCTAACCTTCACTATCTTGGTGGAGTATTTCTACATTTTGGCTAACACTACATCTTTCATTAAACTAGGATTGCATGGCGATGGCAATGATTAAGTACTTAAATGGGAGAAAAGGCAACAGTTATGCGCTTTGAGGCAATATAAAAACTTGGATTTAATAGGTAGATGGAATGTAAGTCGAGGTAGCAACTTAATGACTGACTGTTCCAATTGAGCACATTATTTCAGTCACACCACAGGCTTCGTATTCCATTCAAGGTACCAACTGAGTGCTACTTAGGTGCAGATCAAGATGTGCAGGTTAAATATGTAACTCTATTGAGCTCTTGGAGATGTCTGTCAATACTTGAAAGAATTAGATATTCTGCTTGGCATCTGAATCATGTGTTTGAGCTATCAGTGACTCCAAACAACAACATAGCCATTGTGGACTGTGTTTTGTCTCTCCACTCTCCAGCCAATCCTTTCAGGGCAGATAAAGTCACCAATCAAACAGTGGACCTCCTGGGGGTAGATGATCCAATTCTGTCAACTGTATTTGGCAGGCGGGTAAAAATGGAATCATTAGCAGATGGTGGATTGGAAAACCTTTGCCAGCACATCTTGCTCTCCTTGAGGAATGCTTATGTCCAAAGGAATTCAAAAAGTACTGGATTCTAAATGTTGACCTGTGCAAGGTTACTAACCCAATAGGGGAACATAGGGACCATCTGCGTCCTGCCAAATAAGATCAATCCAAGTTGGACCCATATCCTATTCAAAACCTGCGTCAATAATGTGATGCAACAATCAGAATTGAGTTTCAACATTTTTAGAGAGATTACTATTGTGTTGAATCTAAAATGTAGTTATAATCTTTTGTTGCAATTTTCTTCCCTACCCCTCTGCTGGAGGTACTGACTAGTTAGGGTACGATTCCAAAAGCCACACTCTGTTACCTCACCAAACGGCAATTCTTCATGGTTAACCATGGGAGCCTAAATTCTGTTGTTTGATAAAATGGTGATTTTTTTCACTAAGTCTTTATAAAAATAGTTCTAGTATACTATGATGAGATTGCCCATTATGCTGTGATGGGAATTGCATTATACTGTGATGGGATTGCCCAACATACTGTGATGGGATTGCCCATTATAAAGATTAAGTGAAAGAAAGTATTTTTAGCAATAGGTATAAACTTTCAGTCCAATGACTGTTAGCAACCTATTGCACTGGGGAGGTTAACAGAGCTGTACCCAGTCTAGTTCTCACCCAATGTCTGCACAAGAGTTTGTTGATGTGTTCTGGTCTATTCTATTCTATTCTGTTTGCTGAGTCTAAACACACAAGTCTGTTAAATTATACAAGTAAAAATGCATTACAGAGCAAAATCCAAAGATTATCTTATCATCTTATCTCTTTTCTTACTTAGAAAGTGATGTGGAACAAATGTTCGGTGGGAGAATAAGCTAATATTGTGACTCTACTGCTGACCTGCCAAATGAAAGGAAATTAAATTCTAATTCCTTATAAAAAAGTCCATATCTTTTTATTTTGACTGAGTTGTCACCAATGTATCCATCAAATCCATCTGACCCAGAGACAGAATGTATTGGATTAGGGGATTCAATCCCTAATTGAAATAAGAACATAAGAAAAGAAAAATACCCTCATGTATATCTGATTTAAATTCAACCCTTTCAATCTTTACAGGCTTTTCATATTAGTTCTGAAGCACCATTTCCTCTTTGAAAAGGCTGCATTAAATAATTAACATTGCATGATTCTACCACTATATTCCCTAACTTAGTCAAGCGTTCAAACAGACTGCCAAAAATAACTTCACATGACCAGGAAAGGCAAGGAGAGGAGAAAAATGCAGACAGATGCCACAATTGTAGTTTGACGCAGAACATCTTGAAGCCTTACTCATTTCACTTTATTCCACTAAAACAACATATCTCACCTCTTTGCCTTGTCCTTGTCATCTTCATCCATTAGTTCTTCTGCACAACTCTCTCTGTAAAATAAAAGGGAGCTTCATTATAGCTTTCTATTGAAGTCACTAGCTTCACCAACACACCAACTTCCAGGTTGTTCAGAGATGTAAAAGAATGTGTCATCATCTCAGGAACTCCCCTTTGACTCACGTAAATCATTTCCTCTAACATCTTTCTCCAAAACTGCAGCAATATCAACTCTTCTTTGTCCCTATTTTGCCTAACAGGGAATGGTTGAAATTTAGCAGACGTGCACAGGACAGTATTACTGCAGTTTAATTCAACAGGGTTACTATTCAAAATGATCTGTAGCATAAGATGTAAGTAACTAATTTAATTCAATGACATTACCATGCCCTCTTCTTTACACAACAATTATCAAATGTTCTTGAGCATAGTCAAATTTAAATAGAGAATAAAACAGTTTCCTACACAGGGTTTTATTTTTTCAGTTTCCCCCACCTGCACCAAAAGAACAAAAAAACAGGAACAAATAAGTGGAATAAATTTAGTTACAGCAATGAAGTTAGATTAAACTTTTGAGTGTTGAATATCCCTTGCAAGTTAGTAATTGCTCAAGCACAAGAGGTAGGAGGTAGAAAAGCAGGAAGCAGGGAGAACTGACAAGAGGGTTTTTGGTTGGATTGTTTGATTCGTAACTTGTGAGCTAAGAATAAAAAGAGTTTTCTACACATTGAGTGTTGCGAATTAACATGCAGAAGTAAAACTGAATGGATTTGTAAAAGACTAAGCGATTGAACAGGGATGATAAAAGAAGACAAAATGGGGTGTTGGAGAAACAGAGCTGGATGCCTTGACAAGATATGTGCAAATACAGCATACATTGAGGTTAGACGGAAACTTAAGTCATAATTGGCAAAGATTTGAGCGGGATTTTGAAATATTTGCACTAGCCTCAAATCTGAAGAAATTGCCACAAATACAGCAGTCGGCTATTTTCCTAAATGTGGCAGGAGAAGAAGCAAGGGATTACTTTGCAACTGTGTAGAAAAATGTGGACATGCCATTAGATGCAATGATAGAGATCATGCGGGAAAGCTGTTGTGGATATAACAATGCCACAGTAGATAGATACAAATTTGGAACAAGAATACAAAGGCCTGTGGAATCATTTCATCATTACTGAGTGGTATTATGATCGCTAAGTAAAACATGTAATTATGGAGCTTTAAGAGAAGAAATGATCAGGGTCCAAATTGCAGTAGGATTGAAAGATAATAAAATACGCAGCAAGCTCTTGAAAGAGGAGATTTTAATGCTGCAAAAAACTCTGCAAATAGTTAGTATAGAAGAAATGTCCAAAGCACGCATGAGGGACATTGAAAAAAAATGCAGAAGAAGCTGGAATGATTCAGATGAGGAATATGTAGTATGGAGGATATACAGGCCCAAAAGGCAAACAAATATAGAGGAAACATATGAGAAGTGTGGGTTAATGCATCCTTTTCAGAGATGTTCAGCAGAAGGAAAAGAGTGTTATGTGTGTCATCAGTATGGGCATTACAGAAGACAATGCAGAAATTGACAAAGAGAATCCGTAAGGAGCTATGGCAGAGGAACCCAGGAGAAAAGTCGTACAGGACGAACGATTACAGAAGGCCAAATAAGCCACAGAGAAGTAGAATAGAGCAAATAAGATCAAAGCAATATGAAATAATGAACAATTCTGATACGAAATCCGGAGTGACTGAACAAGACGAGTATAACATTGATGCAATAAAAGTCATTAAGAGACTGCATATAGAAAAAGAAAATGAGTGGATGATATCGTTATGGTGCACAGAAGAAAGGAAATGATTAAGGTGCAAATTGGATACAGGAGCTCAGGCCAATGTAATGTCATTAGAAGAGAATATACAGCTGGGAGAACCCAATAAAGACAACTTAGAAAAGGGGAAGAGCAGACTGTGGGCCTACAATAAAGCACAGATTGAGTCAGTGGGCAGAGTAGCTATAGAGTGGTGCACAAAGACAGATCATACAAGTTTAACATTCTAAAATTAAAAGCCGATACTCTACTCGGACTGCAAGGTATCATTGAAATGGGGTTGGTCAAAAGAATTCAGAGTGTGAAGATAGAAGACTACAAACAAATGGAGACAGAAGAAATACTGGAAAAATATCAACAATTTTTTGGTAAAAAGGGACTGATGAAAAGTGAATACACAATAAGATTAAAAGAAAGAGTAAAACCAGTAATACTGCTGCTTAGGAGAGTGCCAGAAGCATTGAAAAAAAGACTAAAAGAAACGTTAGATAAAATGGAAAAGGACCAGATAAAAACAAGTAGACAACCCACTGATTGGGTAAGTGCCATGGTAATTGTAGAAAACACGGATAAATCATTAAGAGTAGGTCTCATCCCACAACAATTGAACAACGTAAATGAAATGGAGGGAAACCACAAATTGAACCAGGAAAGGAGAAATTTGGAAGGACAAAAACCCAAGATCATATTGGATTAAAAGTGATATAGAAGAACATCATGGGAAATACAGCAAAGAAGGACAGAGGAAGAAAAAGAAGAGCAGAAGGAAGATCTGAGGGTGGCAGAAACATCGAGAACCACCAGGTAGGAAGAGTAGTAAAACCAGCACGGAGACTAATTGAACAAGATTAAGACACAGAGAGAGAAAAAAAAGAAGAAACCAAAAACGAGAAGATGTTGGATACCCTTTAAGAAAATAAGGACCAATTAATTAGGACCAATGAAAGGGGATCAGGAGGTAGAAACATAGGAACAGGAGTAGGCCATTCAGTCCTTCAAACCCATTCTGCCATTCAATTAGATCATGGCTGATCTGAACCTCAACTAATCCTGTCAATTCCAATTTCCCGCTTTTTCCCCAAATCCCTTTGATACCCTGACCTACCAAAAATCTATTGACCTCACTCTTGAAGGTATGGATGGATCCAGTATCCACAGCCTTTTTTGGGGAAAGAATTACAGATTTCTATCACCTTTTGAGTGAAAAAATGCTTCCTGATTTCACTCTTAAATGGTCTGGTTCTAATTTTAAGACTATGCCCCTTGTTTTGGATTCCCTCACCAGAGGAAATAGCTTCTCTGTATCTACCCTATCAAATCCCTTTATCATCTTAAACACCTCAATCATATCATTCCTCAATCTTCTAACCTCAAAGGAATACAATCCAAGTTTACACAGCCTTTCCTCATAATTTAACCCTTTTAGGCCTGGTAACATTCTGGTGAACCTGCACTGCATCCCTTCCAGCACCCATATATCTTTCTGAAGCTGTGGTGCAGGAAAGGGAGAACTGACGAGAGGGTTTTTGGTTGGATTATTTGATTTGTAACTTGTGAGCTGAGAATAAAAGAGTTTTCTACACATTGAGTGTTGAGAATATAACAGCAACAATCAGCTAACTCAGCTAAAAAAAACTCAGCTAAATCACACCGAAAGACTGCCCTGGCAGGTTATTAGAAGCATTTTCCTGCTAAGTTTGAATACAACAACAACTTGCATTTATATAGCGTCCTTTACACGGTGCAGCATCTCAGAGCTTTTGACAATGCAGAGCTTGACGCTGAGCCAGGGGGAGAGAGGAAGTAACCGTAAGCACGGTCGAAGAGGAAGGTCTTCAGTTGTGACCTTGAGGTTCTAATTGAAGTTGATACTTCATTTAAAAGCTGGGGGAATCGCTTCATTGTTGGAGATGCTGTCCTTCGGATGAGATGTTAAGCCAAGGTCCTGCTTGTCTGTACAGGTAGTCCCATGGCACTACTCAAAAAGGAAGGAGTGTCCAGACCAACAAAACCCCAGATAAAATTGATTGTGGCTCTTTTGATTGATTGTGTGCAAATCGGCTTGTATGTTTGTCTGCAAATACACAGTCACTACATCTTACAGTAAATTCTGTGAAGTGCTTTTAGATGTTTTGACGATGACAAAACTTTGACTTAACAATGGCACTTAACATATGATAAGGCAATATGATAAGTCGCTATATCAAATGCAAGAATAATTATTATTATTATTAAGATTCTGAACAAACAGAATATCAGTATCATTAGAATTTATAATTGAAACAATACTGCTCAGGCACTGAAGCTAAGTGAACACTGCATAAATATATTTGTTGACCAGTTTTGATCTGAAATACTTAGGAATAAGATTAAATATTTATGGGAATATTACCAAAAGAGCATTTGCCACCGATAAATACATCATTGTACACCAAAGAAGAGAAAACCTGCTTTATATGTAATTTATTCTTCATTGAAAAATTCACCATAAAATAACTCAATCACCTGAGAGAGCTTAACATTACAATGATTTATATAGTTTTTTTTGTCTAAGTAGAAGATAATTAAACTAACATAATAAACAATATTAAAGTACATTTTAATCAAGATGTTCTGGTCAAGATATAACATGCATTTTAATGTATGAAGTGTTCATGGGTATACACTATATGTTTAAAAACTTTTCCTCAACAATAAGCCGTATTTATCTCTATTCACATCTCTCAATCTTTTTTTCTCTCTTGTAATTTGAAAGTAAAATTCCAGCTATATGTATTTCTGCAAATAAAATCGATCTCAAGTAGCTGAAAAGTTTCTGAATTAACCAAGTTATAAATCACAGGCCATTGTACAACAGCCAGAACCTTATGGCACCAGAAGTTTTACTGCCCTAATAAAAGAGCTTATATACTCTTCATTTTACCAGAATATTAGATGATCATTTTTCCATTTACTTTAAAATACATTTTCGTTTGTTTGTGGTCATTTGAAATGTCTAGCTATGCTTACACTCCATTAGATAGTCAGCAGCTTCTAAACATACTAAATAGGGTATTTTTTGGTTCAGCAAACCCTTCTATGTGCAGATCTTGACTGGAAATAAAATGTCTAAGTAAATACAACACTTTATTTTAAGACTTTGGCAGACTACCAGTCTGCCTCTATTCTTACTATAAGGAAGCGCAGTGGTAAAGCGTTAGCCAGGATTTATACACGTTGTGGAATGGAAAC